TAAAGTTGTTGATTGGCCAACACAGATCGGAGAATCAAACTACAGGGATTGATAAATGTCCTGGATCATCACCACGGCTCATGTTGAATAGGATTAGTTTTGTATGTGTTTTTATGGCTCACTCTACATGCTAGCAAACGGTCATGGTATCAAACATATGAATTCTTGTGAAAATGAAGTTGCTGATTTCACCTTCAAATCCACACATTTCTCATGAATGTTTGAGGATGACCGTATTTTGCACCTCGGCCCATGTAATCCGAGCTAGTTTATCCGCTGTGTGAAATAGGTCTGTTAAAGTGAACCAAATGTGAAATAATGATTGATCTATGGTGGTGCAAAAAAAAAATATTAAAAAATAAACAATAGGGAAATATTGATTGTACTGCAGCTATGTTTGTCTTTTACACAATTTTTCTCACTTGTGTTTATTTTAGGACGCGCTGAGCTGAAGCGGCAGTGGATTTCGCATGAGGCAGTCGTTCATCATTCACACAGCTAGCGGTCCTCTGAGGGGGCAGTGGCATTCGTTGTGGTAACCGATGTGGACAGCACTAATGTGGGCGCCAGATTGTTTCCATATGGGCCTTGTTTTAACAGCATAGCGCTTTACTCTCTTTCTATAAACCAACGTCCATTACGGAGTTTACCCAATTAGAGTGAACAATGCGAAATAGTTATACAAGTTTAGCGCCAACCCTGGTAAACAACACGAGGCCTTTAACCTCTCGGGATTAATGCAAGTGTCTGTGGCTGCTGTGTGGTGTCGCTCCTGTGTTTGTTAGATGTTCGGATTGTACTTTGAATTACATTGAAGACGTTTGGACATTATTGTAATATTGTTTTCTGTGCCTGGAAAAGCAACCCATTCAGGACAGACGACAACTTGAACTCAAATGTTAAAAGTGGATGGCAACTGCATAATCTCAGCATTAAGCTCGACAGCAAGCATTAATGCCAAGCCCCTAAAATTAAATTAATAATCTAATTGTATTGACTGTCATGTAGTTCATAATACAAAATACATCAGTTACAGTGTAGTTACAAAATACACAATACCTGTAATGAAATGTATGTTCTAATCTACTCTGGTTCAGGGTACTGTATTAGAAATTATTGAAATACTTTCACATGAGTTAGCTTTTAAAATGCATCACAGGATCAAAAAGGATGTTTTTGCCCCATAAATTAAAGGGGTTACTATAGTTAACCCTTTAGGTGCAAAAGTAAAGACAGTTGAAGATCGCTCTATTGCAGGGGTTTCCAACATGTGGCTCGGGAGGTACCAGTAGCTTGCCAGCCCCTTTCAGGGAGCTCGCCAAAAGATTTAGTATTTAACAAATGATCTTGAATTAATACATTTTGAGTCATTACATATCTACAAGTATAAATATTGTGTTGTACAGTATAATGGTATGTGTTCTACATGTTTTGCCGTAATTATTAGATAGATTTTTATTATGACTGCAAAAAGGAGTAGCTCTCTGCCTCTAATTTTGTATAAAAAGTGGCTCTCCAATGGAAAAAGGTTGAAGACCCCTGCTCTATTGGGTTCAGATAAAAGTGAAGACTGGTACACTTTGGGAACATGTTTGATCACGCCCTCAATCTCAAATCAACTTCCTGGTAAACAACAAAATGAATAATATTAATGAAGATAATGATAATAAACATAAAAGTATGTTCAAAATGGCCCTAAATGGCTTTCACAGCAGTTCACCACAGACCAAGACAGACATCAGCCTGACGATATCATTTACATACACGCCAGTTCAAAGGTGGTACCTTATTTATCTTTTTTCATCTGCATTCGACCCGTCCTGATGCCTCTCAGGCCCCTGTCAGGAGCAGTGGGTGCTGTAGTACAGTGCCCGAGGACGCATCTCCAGATGCTTGAAAGATTTACCTATAGTGCATGTTTTATAGGGGAAACCGGAGTACCCAGAGTGTCTACGCAGACACGGGGAGAACATGCCATCTCCACACAGTTCCTACTGGGATTCGAACCCAAGACCTTGTTTCTGAGATTGCTATCCATTATTATCCCTGCAGGACTTCAAAGTTCTGCCCCCTCACGTTACCGTCCTCTGACTCTTCTTTTGCTGCCTCCTCCTGAAAGAGTGTGACTGTGTCTGCATGGACTGAAATGTACTGAGTGTACAGTGTGTATTGTGTGTACTGTGTGTACTGAGTGTATTGTGTGTACTGAGAACTGAACAAAGACACTCGCAAAGTCCTTGATCTTCAGCTCAAACACTTGGGAGTGGAGTGGGACGCTCAGAGGACAGAGGTGAGGGCTCCCACACTGGGCCCCAGATGTCAAAGCTTTCATGTACATAATCTTCTCTTTCACTCTACACTTGTGTGTCTTCTGGATGAGTTGGCATTTTAGAGCATCATGAAATCATTACGCCAAATGAACATGGCACATTACACAGCAACATGTTCAAGCATCAGAGGACATTGGTGTGAAAAGAACATAATCAAATAATGAAGCTGCATAATGGGGAAGAATAGTTTAAGGAGACAAATCATGAAAACTTCTCTCCTTTCACCGTGTCAAGACATTGTTCCCTCATCAGTCACAGACCAGAAGTTGTTTTTTTAGATTCATCCACACTAATGAAACCCCTGGCACAAACATGTAACTCTGCCCATTGTGTCGAAATGCTCCTGTAACAGTCTGATGTATATGTGCCATGACATCACGCTCAGAGCAGTTTTCTGCCTTATAAAATAAATTAATAACTGTACCAAAGGTAGAATAGGCATAGGGTAGGCTGATAGCTTTTTTACTTGTTTCAACATATATTTTCTACTAATTAATTGAATGAGAATTACTGTAATTTATTTAATTCACACTAAGTGAGAAGGTTAAAAGTATAATCATTTTTAATGGAGAGAAATATTGCGTGATATTTATTCTTTAAGGTGCAACACCAGTGCATTTGGATCAGTTTAATAAAGATTTTGGATAATACTGGTGAGTTTGTCAAATAAATACTTAAAAAATAGACTATAACATCTCAATCTGAAAATAAGATCCATTTCAAACAAGAACTTTTTGCAGTAAGAACAAATCCAAAATTTCTTCAAACCATGACATATGTACAGATTAGTGTACTTCTACCATGAAAAAGGATTTAATACTCAGTCAGAATCAGCGTTATCGTAGACTAATGTTTGTAAATGGAATACTCTATCTCAAGTTATCAAATGTGCTCCTATGTGGAAGTCGTTTAAGAGTAAACTAAAGTCATTCTAGTGGACTTTCTATGTTTGGTTCCTGCTGATCAACAATATGAACCTACTCTACACAAGAATGCATGTTTTTCAACCTGTTTGCCGTGACTCGTTCATGAGCCGTGAGATGTTGCTTGGAGTGTCTTTAGAACTGATCTAATATCCCCGGATTGGTAAAAAAAACACTTGAAAAGAAAATCATGTGAAAATCCTTGTTTGTGCTCGTTTGATGTTCTGTATAACACACTTTAATGAGATTGACTTTGCTTTGTGCATAAAGGCTGCAGACTTTGATGTCTGTATCAGTTTTGGGTGGTGTTCCAGTGACCGTTTAGTGAAAAGGTGCGCCATGGCTCAAAAAGGTTGGGAACACTGCTATAGTTGTCCTCGATAAAACACTTTTTTATTGCACACATTCCTGAAGTTGGTTTTGACTTAACTGCAGGGATTAAATAATACACCTTTAGTTTTAGCATTACCTTCCATGAGCTATTGTCTTGAATAAGTTAAAAGGCTTCTATCATTAATGGCCCCTTGAGCAAATAGCCGAGATGAACGGGGGCAATAAAGCAGCAATAATTTGTGAAAATCCAAGACGCTTCAAAAACACAGTTTGATATTTGTTGGGTTAATATTCAATAACAAAGAAAATACCTCAGCAGTGCAGTTGCTCAGCTTGCAAACCCAATATATCGCACCTCGTTTCTAAATATACCAGAACAGTAAAGACAAGCACAATCAGGGCTTTTTTCTGCAGTTATATTTAGACTGTGGTCCACAAAACAGTTCTCATGTCACATTACTGCATGCCTCGAGTTCAATGAACAATTCCACATTCCCAATGCAACTCCATATGCTAGGATGTTAATTGCAGTCATTGTTGTAACGTGATCCAGTGCATAGCAGCCGTTTGGGAGAAAAGAGTTTAATGCAATGCAAAGGAAAAATGTAACTGACGGAGCCATTTTCACCTCAAGGCCTCCACAACACATCAAGTGTGGTTTAACATAATCTAATGGGTCATATTCCTGTGTGATGGGGCTCTGTGCGTCGCAGATGACAGCGTTGTAATTACAAAGTGTATAAACAAAGTGCTGCTCACTAAAGAATGCATAGCTGTGGATTAATCTCAAGAGTGAAGCAAACAACCTGAGCTGCTGTGGTGAGGCATGAATCGTGTCCAAGCGCTAGAATTCTGGACATACAAAGAGCTGCCTTGGCTTCAAGCACATTTAAATAATCAATAATTGATTTGGATGTTCACCGTCATAAAACGTAGCCATGTAAATGTATAGTTTCACTTATAATGAAATGAAATGTGTTAAAACCTGTCAAGAAATATAGATGTCCTTTGAAGAAAGCCCAGTCATATCATATACCTGCTGAGAGCTGGCTGTTCCTTACAATAGGAGTACAATGGATGTAGTGAAAGATGTTACCCCCAGGGGCAGTAAAGCTCATAATTCTAATGTTTTATGTCCATAGGGAGGTCCTAAATCAGTTAACTGGTGCACATAAACGATTAGTTAAAGGGACTAATGCAATTGGATCTGGTGGTGCTTTTGTGTGATTTAACGACACATTATTTCATTACTATACTTGTCAAACTTTATGTGCATAATAAATTATCTTAATAAAAGACTTGAGCGCGCCACAACAGACCAATAAAGATAGAATCCTAACATGGCTTTAATAACGCGGAAACAATATGAAAATAAATGCATCTCTTTGCCACAGTTCTGCAGCCTCATGTCTCATCACACGTCCGTCATCTCATCCTCCATTTCTCCTTCTGCGTCTCCTTCATCCTCCTCTTCCTCCTCCTCCGACGTCATGTCCAGCTCCTCCATCTGAGACGAGCACTTTGGACACAAGCACTCGAACAGGTAGTTTTCCCTGAAGCAAAAGATCCATTTTGTTGCAACAAACTTTTTTTTTTTTTTTTTTTTTTTTTTTTAAGATAACAATTATGGCAACAAAAATTCCTGTTTTTTTCAGAAAGTTAAACACTAATAATAATAATAACAACCCACATAATTTAATGCATTTAGATAGATACCTTAGAACTTTGTTTCTGCTGTGGCGGCTTCGGTCCCGCTGGCAGCAATCCAGATAACTAATGCAGATCTCCTGAAAAAGAAACCAAATTATTACTTAAGTGAAAGGGTATCTTTGGTTTTGTTATCAACCAGGATAAAGAGTCTGTAGTTTTGATCTCCAAGAGCAGCCTTTATCCCAAAGTTCAATTGATTAAAACCTAGATACACCGCTCCAGTTGTTTTCATTATTTACACACGTGCAGTGAGGATCCCACTCACTCGCTGTGGCTCAAAGTGGATTGATCTCAACACTATTGCCCCCAACACACTCACCTCTCCGGGGCTGATGTCACAGAGGGCAGTGAGGTGGAGCAGGAAGTTATTATCTGGGAACGAAGCTTCTGCGTTGGGTATGCAGCTGTGGTTACCTATAAACAAAAGTGCAATCGTTATTTTAATCTCATTTTGACATCAAACTTGTGTGCGCGCTTACAAGTGCTCTGAAGTATAAACAGCCCGGAACCCTCACAGTTGAGAAAGTCTCCAGTTTCTGAGAGAGACAACAAGAGAAAGTATTATGCAAATGGTGGAAGTATCGCACTAAGAGTGACATACAAGACTGGACTATAGAGGCTCTGCTGAAACAAAATGCATTCATACAACCACTGCACAGTGGAGATAAAGAGGATGACCTTTCTCTATGTCCTTGTACAGCTGGTCGATAAAAGAGTCCAACTGCTCCCTCTGCTGGCCAGGAACCTCCAACGCATCACAAGCGTTGACCCATTGACTCAAAGAACTAAAATGAGAAATTTATTTGATCCCAGGTGAATATGTGATTTCGGTCTCAAACTCAAAGCAGAGACTTACCTAGTGCCGATGCCTTGGCCGTTGGTCCCCACCAGAGCAAATAAGGAGCAGAATCCTTCGGGGACAAACCACTGTAACAGAGAAACAATCGTATTGATCCACGAGGCATTAAGAGTAATGCCCCCCAGATCTAAGGTTAGAGGTCAAAGCCCACTGAGACCTCACTGTGCTGCTCACATTTCATTACTTTAATTTACATTGATGCTTTTGGGTCGTAACGTTGATAGTATCCCAGATGACCCACCAATGTAAAAGCACAAAGATGTGTCCCTTTTCCAATATCTAAGCTTGTTTCAGGACTCACAGATTTGCAAAGAAATATGATCAGCAGAAGGAAAGCATTAGTAATGAGCTGTGAAATAAAACACACTTACCCGACTGAGATGATCTTCAAAAAGTGCTGATGTAAAGAGACTACGTAACAAGGACAGTTGCCCCTGTAATGTAAAGACAAAATAATTACAGTACGCCCTATAGACCCGTTCACAAAGGTCCTGTTAAAGAGGAAGGACAATAGCAGAACATGCAGAGTGAGTTCCATTCACATAAATATGAGTCCCAGAACATCTGCTAGTGGATGTGTATCATGTGCATCAGTCCTGGACACATGTAGGGCCGGCGTGTCCATGTGAGTGCATCTCCATCAGTGCATCTTTCATTTATTTCGGCATTTATTTAAAGAGGAATAACCCCATGAGATGCATCATCTCGTTTTTGTGGGGGTCCTCTATAGACAGGTTACAGCAGAGGTAGCCACCACACTCCACCACATTACTTACTTTGAACTGCTCTCCTAAGAGCTTGTGGGCGATCTGCTCCTCCTCGTTCGCTGTCCGGCTGCAGAAGTGTGAGTAGAGTCTCTGCCAGTGAGCTTTGTCTTTAGCCTGAATCAAACAACATTAGGGCAGTGCTTTTCAAAAACTTTAAAATACCAACAGGAGACTCACCTGCTTCACAGCAGCAACCATTTTGGCCATGAGCATGATGCTGGAGGTCTCTGGAGGATAATGAATACTCCTGTAGGTACAAATGTGTATGGACTATAAGGAGATGTACATTGTTGAAGTTTATTTTACATTAAATGGTCTGATGGCTTCTTTTCAATACGTATTTTATCTCTTGTGCTGGCGATAATTCCAATGAGTAAGAATTGGTTATGTTAAAATTAAAGTAAGGCCACATTATTCTTCCACAAAAGCACTGGGGCTAAATTTGATTTGGATACAAATATCTGTAGAAAGACTCTACGTATACCATCGACTGTATATATTAACGGACAGGGTCACGCCTATCTCCGCCGTTCTAACTAATGGGCCAAAAAATGTGCTCTACTGGAGCTATCCAAAATGGCCGCGAGTGGTCCCGCCCACAAGAAAATGGTGAAAAAACGCATCTGCGCATGCGTCAGCTGGCGCAGCTCCATTCATTTGAACGAGAGACTTCAAAAATTCACCGCGAGTAAAATAGAGTGGACCAAAAAATTTCACCCCCCTCAGCATTGACACACATGTGGAACGGAGCTTTGGGCCAAGAGCCAACTTTTGGTCCATCCTTTCGACGTTTTCGAGAGGTCTGCCAACGCTACAGTGCCTTGCGAAAGTATTCCTTTGAACCTTTCAACATTTCGCCACATTTCAGGCTTCAAACATAAAGATATAAAAATTTAATTTTTTGTCAAGAATCAACAACAAGTGGGACACAATCGTGAAGTGGAACAAAATTTATTGGATAATTTAAACTTTTTTAACAAATAAAACACTGAAAAGTGGGGCGCGCAATATTATTCGGCCCCCTTGCGCTAATACTTTGTAGCGCCACCTTTTGCTGCAATTACAGCTGCAAGTCGCTTGGGGTATGTCTACCAGTTTTGCACATTGAGAGACTGGAATTCTTGCCCATTCTTCCTTGCAAAACAGCTCGAGCTCAGTGAGGTTGGATGGAGAGTGTTTGTGAACAGCAGTATTCAGCTCTTTCCACAGATTCTCGATTAGATTCAGGTCTGGACTTTGACTTGGCCATTCTAACACCTGGATACGTATAGTGAACCATTCCATTGTAGATTTGGCTTTATGTTTTGGATCATTGTCCTGTTGGAAGATAAATCTCCGTCCCAGTCTCAGGTCTTTTGCAGACTCCAACAGGTTTTCTTCCAGAATGGTCCTGTTTTTGGCTCCATCCATCTTCCCATCAATTTTAGCCATCTTCCCTGTCACTGCTGAAGAAAAGCAGGCCCAAAGCATGATGCTGCCACCACCATGTTTGACAGTGGGGATGGTGTGTTCAGGGTGATGAGCTGTGTTGCTTTTACGCCAAACATATCGTTTTGCATTGTGGCCAAAAAGTTCGATTTTGGTTTCATCTGACCAGAGCACCTTCTTCCACATGTTTGGTGTGTCTCCCAGGTGGCTTGTGGCAAACTTTAAACAAGACTTTTTATGGATATCTTTGAGAAATGGCTTTCTGATTTTTTTACGACTGATTGTTGTCCTATGTACAGACTCTCCCACCTCAGCTGTAGTTATCTGCAGTTCATCCAGAGTGATCATGGGCCTCTTGGCAGCATCTCTGATCAGTCTTCTCCTTGTTTGAGATGAAAGTTTGGAGGGACGGCCGGGTCTTGGTAGATTTGCAGTGGTCTGATACTCCTTCCATTTCAATATAATTGCTTGCACAGTGCTCCTTGAGATGTTTAAAGCTTGGGAAATATTTTTGTATCCAAATCCGGCTTTAAACTTCTCCACAACAGTATCTCGGACCTGCCTGGTGTGTTCCTTTGTCTTCATGGTTCTCTCTGCGCTTTAAACAGAACCCTGACTATCAAAGAGCAGGTGCATTTATACGGAGACTTGATTACACACAGGTGCATTCTATTTATCATCATCAGTCATTTAGGACAACATTGGATCATTCAAAGATCCTCACTGAACTTCTGGAGTGAGTTTGTTGCACTGAAAGTAAAGGGGCCGAATAATATTGCACGCCCCACTTTTCAGTTTTTTATTTGTTAAAAAAGTTTAAATTATCCAATAAATTTCGTTCCACTTCACGAATGTGTCCCACTTGTTGTTGATTTATGACAAAAAATTTAAATGTTATATCTTTATGTTTGAAGCCTGAAATGTGGCGAAATGTTGAAAGGTTCAAGGGGGCCGAATACTTTCGCAAGGCACTGTATACGTTAGCATTGGCTAATTCTTCTTCTGGGTCCACCCCCATCGGCCCGGGGTGGTATTGCAAGCATGTCAGCGCACGTCATTTTGGCCACTTATGAGCTGGGACCCTCCCCCACTGGCGTATACCCATCCCTGAACGGGACACTGGACACACCTCCAGGCATCTTTGAGTTTGTTGAGGGGGTGATCAGGGTCGTCCTCAGAGGAGCCAATACAAAGAATCCGGTGATACTGATCTGCAGCCGCCTGACGACACTCACTGCTGCAGTACATCACCTGGAACAGAACAGCAGAACACTCATGACCACCCCAATGTGCACCAGGACAGGGGTCGACTTGCAGGATTCCAATGTGGTTTTACTGCAAATATTTAGTGTGCATAGGACTGAAAACCAGTCAAACAATAATTTGGATTCAGACTAATCTCAGCCCCTTCCTTTTGATTGGTTTTGTAGAAGTTGCTCCAACACATGTATGGCAGCAGGAACCACATCTCCTCACCCAGGACTCACCTGGCACTGGGGGCAGGCCTGGTGCAGCTCCGGACGCACTTTGCACAGCTCTGTGTGCGGGAGGCTGAGTGCTGGGTTTCCACTGAGTCTTCGAGCATTTTGTTCTGCAGTCTCAAGCGCCCGTAAGCAGTACTCACAGGCTGTACATTTACACAACAACAAACACTTTAGATCTGAATATAAGACAAATCAACCAATGCAATAACCATAGTCACCTTTGTATTTATAGAGAGAATTCCAAAGAAACTGAGCCGAGACGAGTGGGCGCTCAACGAAAAGAGTCTCCCCCTTTTTAAAACTCTTTTTGGAAAAGAGTCCTTTCCCCTAAACACAAAGTTGTGTGAGATTCTAACATTATAGAGGATCAAACAAACAAAATCAAGTCTGACAAAGATTGATCTGCATTCTGAATAATTCACATCATCATCAAAAATATAATATGAGCCCTGAATCAATGAAAGAGGTCGAGTTTCAAATAGGAGGACAACGCTAAAAACAAGAGAAATCCATTTCAGCAAAAATGGCCGCTCAATGAATAAATCAAACCTCATGAACCATACCTTAATATTATTCAACTATCAAAACATCCTGTTACAATTATTATAATGAATTGCCTTCTGTTCAAAATGTGTGCACTTTGATCTGCTCATGTTGTCATTGGGCAAGAAGCAGCTGATTATTTTAAATTTGAATGAGTTCAACTATGAGTTAATAGCAATTAGCAATTATTAATTTGCCAAAACAAAGCAGCCCTAACAAGACACTATGCCTGATCCAAAAACTTGTAAACCGGCTAGTTTTAATAATGTCCTATTGGTGTTTATCATAACATTTTGTGATTGGACGTAAAACTCCTGATTGTGCACGGCTACCGGCTACAAGGAAATGTAAACAAGATTCGTAGTTTGGGTTGCTGAAATGTGCAGCTGTTATATTATATACACACTAATATCAGTAATCGTAGAGAATAAAATATTTCGGACACACAAATCCCTTGTAATTAAATATGAACAAGTTAAATAAGTAGATGCGTTTAGCGTATACTACATGCAAAACATTATAGGGTGCAATATGTGTAGGCTGTAATGTGGAATGAGGATGCACAAACGAACCCTCGTGCACACAACAACAATAGCACGTGCTTCTCCCACGTCCTCGCGCCATGCCGTCACTGCCCGCGCGCTCGGCTCTTTACCTTGACGTGGTCGATAAATCTGATTTCTACGCCGCTTGGAACTTTCGCTGGCTCCACGCACAGAGAAAACATGTCATCCACGGGGGCCGCCATGTTGGACTTCACCCCGGACTGTGAGGTCTGCAGCTGGAAGGTGGCGCCGCTCTGTGGACACACTGTGAACTACCACTTCGGAAGTTGAGATTCACAGGACTCCCAGCCAGGCGTTATTATAATGGATCCATGCAGCCAGGACAGTCATTCTGTCTAGGACTGTGGTGATCCAGGACCAGGATACTCTACATTCTACAGCATGTATGACATTTATCAACAATCATGGACATTGGTCTCTCCTTATGGACCAAGACATATGTGTTCTATATTTGTGTCTCAACTGTTGATTGTCTGATCTGTGTTGGTGATTTCAACGGTTTTGTTAAGTCCTCTGAGATGACTACGCTTGTGATTTAGGGCTACACAAGAATAAAGGGAATTTAATTGTTTTTTCTTTTTCTTTTTTTTCTTTTTTTTACAGTCTACAGTTGTTATCTTTAATACATGTGAAAAGTGGTTGATATAATTGAAATACAGCAAAACTAAATGGGAACTGCTGCAAGAACCTAGTGTGTTGCTATGGTAACTATCACTTGCCCCAGGCTTAGATTGCTCTGAAACAGTCTAAAATTAAAAGCCGTCAAATTGACTGCTCTGGGAATTCTAGTGTTTTTGCCATTTTTTCTGGCATTTTTTTTTCTTCAAAACCCTAATTTATGTACATTCTGCTCCTTTTATTATTAAAAAGTGTGTTTGATAAATAGTCATGTGTACCTATAACCCACAGGGGGATTGTCTGTTCTCTGTACTAAGTGTACTATGCATTGTGGATTGCATGCTTTAACTTCTGTAGAACAACAGCTGCATTTCAAGTTGTATTCTGTGCCAGTATGAAACACTGTAAGTGTTTTACTTGTTACTGTATATACCATGCACATAAAAAGTAAGTAAGCACATTTTTATATGAGTAAGATGTCTACAATACTTTTAAAAACCTAAAACTTGTACTTTTGTCTAGAAAACATATTGAATTTAAAAGCACTCGTATAGAGCACAGTCCTTCGCCCAGAGGCGCAGTTCCATTCCTTTAAAAAAAATCTGGCAATTTATTTGTTCACTTGGCCATTGTGCACATTTCCTGAAAAATCCTAAAATAACGTTTTTAGTTATGTAGCTCACAGACAAACGCCAGTGATCACCTCACCCCCTGGGCGAGGGTGATTACATACTTGCTGATTGTCTTTAGTAAGTGGAAAAGCTACATGCAACGATTTTGAATGTCAAAGTTTACATGTTAAACATCATCCTAATCCTAACCCAGATTTAATGTGTAAGAGGTCAAATTGCCAGAAAGGTAAACAAGGTAAACAGGTACCTTTATTGGATCAACTGTATCAGATTAGCAAATATTAAAATCATTTGTCAATTTTATTACACAAAGATACAAAATAATGACATAATGTTAGGTAGCATATGCACATGAATTCATTGATATTACACTGGTTAAAGAAAGCTTTCAAGGTAAACTCTCTTTCTGTTGAGGCCACCACCACATCTCCACTCCATGTTTACACTGATGTGATTACATTTTAACTATCAAAACATTTAAATAATGCAGATATATATCTATGTATTTCTTTTTAGAATATATTGACTATATTGAATTAAATCATGTCAACCCCCAGCTGAGTGCCTCCACACTCACCACCTGGCCCGGACTGGCCATCGGGAGCATCGGGAGATCTCCCGGTGGCCTGCGTGTCAAAGTGGCCTGGGCCTGCCCTATCATCACGGTCTTTTTTTTTTTTTTTTTCTTTTAATTTAATTTCATCCTCACGGTCTTTGCAAACTCCTACCCTGCCTGGTGGCCTGGTCCAATGAGCAAGGCCAGGCCAAAGCCAGTGTTGTGCGTGAACGAGTTCAAAAGAACGCGTTCATTGAACACGCTCATTTTTTCGTGAACGTTGAACTGAACGCAACACATTTTTTAATAAAGAACTTGAACGTGAATTAGTTCATATTATGTGTCATGAACGGCAGACAATTTGTTTTCCATTTAAAACTGAGTGAAATCTGTTTTCTCTTTTGAAACGCAACAAGAGAAAGTTCCTCCCTCCTGTATTCTCCGCACTGTTTCCGCCGAAAAATTCCTACGGTTTCCACCGTCTGTGAACGCCCCCCGACTCAGTGTACTTGCGGTGCGGCGCTATATGCTAGTGCTATTCATTGGTTGTTGGACTCACATGTGCCGTGATGAAAACACAGGGGTAAGTCAGTGACACAGGGACATTTACATTTGACATAAAGTATAGACACACGTTCTGCAGCGCATTACAGTTTGTACTTATGAGCAGAGATGGGACAACTCAGTTCCCATTGAAACCCATGTAAATCTTGTCTGCATTGGAGTCAAAACATCCTGTGCAGTGTACAGGATATAATATATAATTATATATATATAACGCTACCACGTATTGTGATTTCTAGCTCGTAGTGAAAAAAAATTTTATTTGAATATCTCGCAAAAAGTAAAATGAACTGAACTTTGAACTAGTTCAGAATTAAAATTGAGAACTTCGAACGTGAACTGTTCACTTTGAGCATGTATGAACTGAACTTGAACTAGTTCAGAAAAGCTGTGAACTGGCACAACACTGGCCAAAGCTTTACTGTCATTGGGCCAGAGCAAAATTAAACAAATGTGACGTCACACGTCGGCTACACAGCCAGGCCAGCCTAGCAGTGCACCCAGTGTAGCTTCCCCGGTTGAAATGAGTGGTCTCTCCAACTTATGGTTCATACACGTTTTTATTTTTCCTTTTATATGAGCTGTAACGATGTGATTTTACCTTACTACTTTTTTAACAATAATTGATTAGCTTGTTATAGTTATACACTAATGAACAGTTCATTGTGTGTGTGTGTGTGTGTGTGTCTTTATTCTCACTAAACTCCATAAACGTTACGTTGCTAAGCAACGTACAACAATCCTTAAACGTCCGAGATTATATAAACAGTCAATATAAAAAAAAAATAAAGAAAACAAAAGTTTTGACGGTCAATCTTAAAACTATTAAAAGAACATCAAAATACAATGACAACAACCCAAATTTAGAACCTTGTTTGGCCTGAATGGATGAAAAGCTCCCGGCCTGAAATGTTGTCCCACTCCGGCCCTGCTCACCACCACACCACTGGGCGATACATGCCCTAGTATGAAGTACTCTAATGGAACATGGAGCCTGAAGTCATGTAGCCAACACACCAGCCCCAACCTTTGACCACTCTAGTATGCACTTCATTAAAACTGTGAAGTGTTATTTTCTATTAAATCAAAGTATGTATTCCTGCATTGCACACATATTAAGGTTAAGGTAAGGTACACATATTGCTGCTGGTTTGCATTGTAGTTGTCTGAGACTTGTTGGCACACGGTTTTGGATTCACATAGGAGCAGCTTACTCTGAGGACAGTAATTGTGCTACTGTACATTATTACATGTTTTTCAAACGGCTATTATTCAACAAGAGAGATTGATCCATTAGCACACAAGTTAAAAGTGATTGGTGTATATTGGCTTAGTTGGCACATCTGTGGAGGCCTTACAGTAGAGTGCATTTAACAGTCCATTTAAAATGAAGCCACGTCACTTCTGTTTTTCTCGTCTTCTGCACACCCACCACCATCCATCACAAACCCTTGTTGTAGGTCACCACCTTGCAATCAGTTGCCATGGCAATCTCTGGCTCAAGGCGAGACACCTCGATCTGCAAGAACGGAAGAAAGTCTGGATTTATAGCAGCTTTATTCTCTTGTCAGCACACTCATTTTCTATTCTTATTTTAAGAATGGGTGCCCTTTCAATCCAAGATCACGTGTTGTTTTCTTTGCATTGCTGAAAATGTTTCCACAATCCGACAAACAGACAGACAAACAGATCTAGCCGTGCTGTGTGAATGACTATAGCCATGATTTGGTAACTATTCTTCGTTCCAGCTAGAACATATAGATAAATGTCCTATGTCTTTACTCCTCTCCTCACTACTATAAACCCAACATATACGAACACACACAAAAATGTAGAAACATTTTTTTTTCGGTGGATAGAGAAAGCATCTGGTACACACAGGCTTATGGGCAGAATTTGTGCATGTTTAGTGATCTAGACATAATATGTAAAGTCTGCAGCTGCGTCCAGAACCCATCTGTCTCCTACGCCTCATCTGCCCTTCACTGCAGACATACTGTATCTACTGTACCTGAGACATCTGTGGGAACAGGCTGATGGCCACGGGCAGAGACAGGCCGAAGGTGACCAGGCACACTGCACTGTGGATGGGCAGCAGCAGTCGGCGGTTCTTCTGAAGGAATCGTAGCCTGGATCCAGAACAAAGAAATGGACGATAAGTCGAGATGCGAGTGAACCACAGAGTGCAAAGCAGTGCGTCACATGTTATTGGGTCTCACCCCGCTGTTTATAAATTCCAATAGAGATGGCCGGGAATTGAAAATGTATTGTATGTCTGTAACCCTTGAGTCGTTAAATCGCGATAATAAGTATATATGTTATGAATTTGAGGGATAGACATTCTATTCTCCACAGAGATATTATTTTTAGTCTGCAACAGCTAAAACAAGTGAATTGAAAGATACACCAAAACTAGATGGTCACCATAAAAAAGACTAATAATTTTTATTTTCTTACTGTCTGAATCTAAATCCGTTTATTACTTCTGTCAATATTGTGGCATTGAACCAACAGAAATAATGATGGTGAGAATAGCTATCCTAAAACAAAGAAAAGAAAAAATTGCACATCTTTTATAAATGTAAACTGCTTTATGCTGTAGATTGTTTACCCGGCAGTTCCCTCCGGTTAAAGATCATACTTCATCCCTGATATGTTCGATGTCATATCCTATGGCGTGACATTCTCTCCAAAGCAATAACGTCTCCATGGAAACTCAGTGTGCAGCCATGTGTTTGGTCAACTTCAAAACAATCAGAATGAAGGATCTGAATTTGAGAGGATTATTATCATTCTTATTAAAATCTTTTTGTAAGAAAGATAAGATTTGTTTATTTATTCCAAACATGCACAAGATAGACACAAATATTATTCACACGAAATAGAACTTTATGGTAAGAGTAAACAAGACGAAATGTGCATGGTTTGAGAAGGAATTGGTCGAAGCAAAAAAGCTTACTTAGGCTACAATACCCTCCCTCAAAATACATAACAGCAAGTGACACACACACACACACACACACACACACACAGAGAGACAAGACAAGACCAAGACATACATTTAAAATATCTTTAACTTTAAATTAACGATTTTCTCTCTTTCCCCCATTGCTTTTTTGCTCTTTCATTACAGTATCTCACAGAGGACAAGTGCCGTTTACAAATTGGAATCTACAGCAAAGCAGCAGGTTCCCGCTTCCTCAGACTCGCTCCAATAACTCGACACGGCTAAATCTGTCTCACGCTAATTATAAAGAGGGGAATGAGCACCAGACCTTTCGAGGAAGGACATGATGATGGGCGGCAGGACAAAGATCGGCATCGGCAGCACCACACGTGTGAAAGCTGTCTCCATGATCGCCTGCGGATCCAAACCAGAACAATGTGCACATGCTTCAAATCAGAACGACTAGATACAATCACATTTGTGCTTGTAGGAGGCCAGACATCGTGTTGTTGTTTTTTTTTCTTCTCATCACAAAACAATTACAATTTAAGATTATGAAAAATGTCAAACGAACAAGGTAGCTGAGTATGCACTTTTGTCTGTAGAGGGGAATGAACTGTGCCGTGTAAAAGTATGTTGCATGAGGGTTATGTTTTTCAATAGGAAATGTATGATGATAAAACAATAATGTAGATTTGTTGTTATTTGTTTATTTGTCTGCAATCCTGTACGAGCATCGCACAAAAAAAAACCTGTGAGCTCCGTCGGATCAATAAGGTGGCATTATTTTTTCGCCTTTTCCTTCACTCACTCGCTGACTCTCTGAGCTTTGAGCTATGAGTAGGCTGAGAGGACTGACAATGTCTCAATGTTCTATAGTTATACAAAAGGAGCCTCATGAGACTACTAGACTATATTTATCATGTTCCAACAAATGTAAAAACCAATATTAGAAATCTGTGAGAGTGATTTTAGCACTGAAATACCTTAATATTAGAAAGATGCAAGAGTGGCTCTAGAGCAGGGATGTCAAATCAGTCGTGAAAGTGCCGGCTCCGCTGCTGGGTTTAGTTCCAACCTGAGCAAGACTTCACCCCTTTCGTCAGGTGAGTCTCGTTTTAACCTGGAGCTTTGAGGGAAATGGGTAGAGTCTGGTGCGCTCCTGTTTAGGTTGGAAGTAAAACCTGCAGCCAGGTTTTAGTTCAGGGGTGTCCAAACTGACATTTTGCTTTGACCATTTTTTTTTTCTTTGCTTAAACAAAGTACGACTGCAAAACTGGTCTGACTGAAAATGTATGAATGAAAACCTAATTGCTGGCTATCTAGTCAATCAATCAATTAATGGCAACTAATCAATTATTGTCAGTAACTGGCAATTTTGCAATCAATTACTTATTTAGAACCACTCCTGGAGCTAAACATCCTCAAAAAAGGTTGTATGACTCCGAGCAAGCAAGGATTCTCTTTTAAAAGTATTATTTTAAATCTAGTTTATATGAAGAGGTTCTCGAGTGGCATGTTTTGGTCAAATTGATTTGATATTTGACTGATTTCAATAAGGGATTTCAACCACTAATCGATTAATCAAAAGAACAATCGGCCCACTTAGAGATTATCAAGTCAATGGTTACTTTCATTTATCAACACTTACAGACTGTGGTTACCGGCCCCTTATGGACGTTATGTGTTTTTTGTTATATTTCTTGTGTTTGAACCGATTGTTTCTCTGATCTGTGTTTGACGAATTCAACGGTTGTGTAAAGTCCTCTGAGATAGTTACTTTTTATAATTTTGTAATGCTTTTTAACTGTTTTATTGCTTGAATGCATGCATGTTTTAATGGATTTTATGTAATTTTATTGTAAAGCACTTTGGTCGCCTTGAGTGTTGTAAAAGGCTCTAAAAATAAAATTGATCGATTGATTGGAATGGAATCACAACCCCACTATTTACATATGTCTACCAGAATCTAGGGCAAAAAAGCTTTCCTCACGTGTCTGGCTGCGATCTTAGAAGAGCCCACCACGGAGCCTTTGCTGTCCAGGACGTCGATACCTTCTGACAGTTCATTGTGTCTCATCAGCCCCACGTTACAGATGTTCGCACAGGCTGTTGACAAAATGGACAAAAGGGGGTTTTAAATTCATTACAAATCACTGAAGCAAAGAGCGCGTGAGCAGATAGTATGTCCACATTCAAATGAAGCTCTTTGGAAACGCACCCACGGCTGGAAACGGCACCAGTCTCTGAATGACCTTTCGTGTGGCAGGGCTCAGTCTGTGGGCTTTCTCGATCAACACGTTCAGACCCACCTTCAAAATAAACAATGGAAATAGCACACACTCTTTTAATATTTTGTCTTAACTTCCTCCTACTCCTTTTCGAGCTGACTTTTTGTTAATAAAACAAAACATATTGTATTTGTACTGTATTGTTTTTTTTTCTGTTCTGTTGTTGTTTTGTTTTTGTTATTTGTTCTTGTCTGCCATTGCTCGAAATAAAGAATTCATTCATTCATTCAAATCCATTTATTTTCCTTCATACTGTTAATTCATTACCGTTTGTCTAGTCTAGAAAGGTAAACAGGTAAACAGCTTCAAATGTAGGTTTTATTTTTTAGACTACATTTTTATTACATGTGCACTGCTACACTGCTTTTTCATAGTGTTATCTGCCTTACATGATTATATAAAAATGTATGTACTTGGTAGGATATAATAATTCCATTTTACTTAAGCAGTTTGTGACTCTTCACATTAGAACAAAGAGGTTCTGAACTCACTGCAATAGAGACGGCGCTGGAAACAGCTCCAACATATCCTTGGAGAAACTTGGATGTTGGCGTTGGCTGAGAATGGATCAAAACATCATAAAAACATTATAGAAAGTTTGTTTTAGTATACTGTGAATCGGCTTTATACCTTTGTAGCGTTACGATTTGCATAGTTCACACAGGCATTGTGACTTTGGTTCAGCCACTATATGGAAAAATACATTTTGAATAATAATAAATATTTTTCCAGAAATTGAAATTGAAAATTCAAAGTGCAGAGATGCTCTGATGGACATAATGCAATGGCTTCTCACAGTACCTGCCATATAATGGTAGACAGCACAGTCTGATTTGGCAGAAGAAGGCCTATGACCTAGATGAAACCAGGGAACAAGAGCTTATTTTGCACAAAATAAGTCTACAGTCTCATTTCATCTATTCTGCGCACATGGACATGTTCATGGGGATCTGTATGAGTCGTGTTGGAACTTACTATTGGAGTTCCAAATGGTACATAACCTGCACAGTGAAACATGACTCAGAGTTGATCAACAATGACTAAATGGACAGACTCGAGGCTGAGATCTTCATCTGAGGTCATACCTGACATACGGAATGGCATGAAGATCTTCTCTCCTGTGTCAGGATGAATGATGGCCTGCAGCAGAGAGCACGTCATCATGATCATCATGATCGTGTCTGTAGTGTTTCATGAGCCGCTCTCATGGAGGCAGAGACCTACCTGCTTGATCTTCTGAGCCTCCCACAGCTGCAGGAAGAAAACACATCTTTACTTCTCATGTGCAGTAACATGTCTGCTGCCACAATCACACAATCACACCACTACTAAATGCTTTTATGGGGGTTGATTTCCATCTGTTGTCGAAAGCACTCATTCACCCGGAACAATTCACATGTTTTTAGTAATTAGGAAAACCAGAGCACCTGGAGGAAATCTAGACACATACTCGGAGAACATCCAAACTCCTCACATACTGGGCCCTGCTTACAGCAATTGGTCCATTGTGGTTAATGTTTTATGCACAAAATCATAAGTCATTACTATTTGACTTATCTTTAGTAGGTTGCAGACGAGGCTTTTGGAAGCAGGTTCCACCCATGATAAAGCTGAGTTATATAACTTTCAATTCATAAATAATAGTTTGTCCCAACAGAAGAGTTACACAAAAGCAAAATGTTTTCTTTTGCACACTTGTGAAAGAACTCACTGAGTCACTATTTGTCTCTTTGGGCTAATATTATTGTGTTTGAAAGTTTGGTTCCCCAGTGTGAAGGGACTTATTTAAGTGTGAAAAATTCATAACATTTAAAATAACACTTGGACGATGTGCACGAATCACAATCAGCTGATCAACACACCTGTACAACTACCTCCCAAACAAGAAAAGGAATTAAAGAACAGAATACTTCTAATAGAGAAAATTAAATGATGGTGATCCAACTCATTGAAAGTAAAATACATATTGTTTTTATCAGAACAGACCACCATGATCAGAGCACACACACTCACCTGATCGTCAGACACTCCTGCTGGAACAATGCCACATTTAAAATCATTCAGAAGCTTGAGGCTGGCTTGGAGCTGCGTCTGTTTTAGATTAAAATAAAATAATTACATAAAATTTAGTTAACAACATATTCAAGGCGTATGTTTTACCTCTGAGACAAATAGAGTGGTGGGGTCAATGATGTCGACAAAGTGCCTCAGTCGGCCGAGGAAGGACCCCTTTAAAACAAGTCACAACATTTCAAACATGGGACTTGCTCATAAATTAGGACAGGTAGGCCTACTGTGGAAAAAGGATGCTGAGACACTGTATAAATCTATTTGGAAAACATAAGAACTGAATTCACTTTTCAGAGTAACAGAAAAACATTGAAAGAACTTTAGAAATGTTAAGTATTCATTATCATTTTTAGCACCGCACATTAAATGAAAGCAGATACAAAATTACTAGTCATACATAATACACAAAGCTTATGTAAATGTCCTAACTAACACACATCTGAATAAACGGTTTTTAGATGTGAATTACAGTTATGGCATCTTTCTTTTGCAAATTATTTGCTTTATCAAGAAAAGCTTGCAGAAAACCTAGATGCTCAATCACTAATGTATGTTTGTTTGCTTTGTATTTGAACCTTGAGACATGACACACAAAACTGGACAGCAACAGAGAGGCCTTAATAATAATAATAATAACACATCGGTTTTATATAGCGCTTTTCAAAAACTCAAAGACACTTCACAATTCAGGATATACACACACACGTTTAGACAGACACACAAAAATAAAAATCTAAAAGCAGGAAAGAAGAGTACAAAGTTGAAACTAGGAGTCATATGCTTGGAGGCTGTTTTTTGAAGGAGTTTAGTGAGTCCGAGTCTCTGAGATGAGGGGGGAGAGAGTTCCAGAGAGTGGGAGCAGAGATGGCGAAAGCTCGGTCCCCCAAGGTTCGGTGCTTAGATTTGACAGTGGGAGTGAGGAGATGTGAGTCTGCAGCTCGGAGTCAACGGGAGGGACTGTAGGGCTGTAGAAGTTCAGTGAGGTCTGGAGGAGCGAGGTCATCGAGGGGTTTGTAGGTAGGAGGATTTTGAAATGAATGCGCTGTTTGATGGGGAGCCAGTGGAGTTTATGAAGGACAGGGGTGATGTGTTAGCCTTGGCTAATAATCTAACATAGTGTCAGAAGTCTTAAATCTAGGGTCAACAAGAAGATGCCGTTTTGCAACATTGTACCTGTTCATTTGATGTTAAGAGAGCCATTATCATTCGTTCTACAGCGGGGAAATCTCAGTGTTGCTTCACAAGTTACAGAATAGTAGGAAGGAGGAGCACACAACCCAAGATAAGTGAATATTAAGAATAACACAGTTCAAATTAAGAAGAAGGTTATATTTAAACATAGTATATACACCCTGCTACACACTAAAACTTTCTGGGAAGGCGGCAAGAACAAACCAGGTCTCTCTGCTTCTCTCTGATTTCTATAAATTACCCTTTGTATTTTTGACAGATTTGCTTGTGGCCAAATAGATAAAGAAAGTCAAGGCACGTGATGTGAGAGATATCTACTTGCAAATCACCTACCCCGTTGAATTTCAGCCAGTAACTTATCCATACATGTGCATACAGTACATCTTAGTGACGTACAGGTCATTACAAATACGATTTCTCAGTTTAAGCCTGAAGTGAAGCATTCCTCCCGTTTACTTTCATGGGCCTCTCTCAGTGTGCCAGCAGTTAACAGTGCATGCCAATGAGTCTGGAAAGGCCCATGTCCAGCTTGAGCCAAGTCTTGCTGGGAAAACTCATTGGTGAGAAACTAGGGGCTTTTTAATCAGCTTTGATTTGAGATGTGTGGTTTTAATTGCCAGGAAAGGCTGCATAAAAATACATCAAAAGGAATAATATAATCGATTGCAATACATGGAAATTCTAGTTGTAATGAGGCAATTTCGGCCGTTGCTTGGTGGTAGAATATTGAACATTTTTGTTTTGGAGACATGCACGAGTTGAATATTGAGCATATTGTTTTGACTTAATTATCTGATTAATAACATAACAATCTATTCAAATTCATGCAAAAGTGACACACCTATTTCACATTTGGCACTTTACTTGATGACAATTCAAAGTCTTAGCTACACATTTTTTTTCAAAAGTATACATTCATTTCTGTCAATATTCTTTGGAGATCTTTTCTTTGACAGCCTGTATGTGGTGCAGTGCTGTTTTGTCCTAGTGTGAGATCCATGCGAGGCGCCTGCTTTAATAATGCATGAGGCTGATGTCCTCGAGGAGTGCAAAACAAGGCCAGGAGAGAGGGGGGCGCCATGAGGGGGGACATTCACAAACACCCCAACATTTGTGCTGATTCAAAATCCAACTCATATGAACTACACTGATGCAATGGAGTGAAAGTCAAACCGTTGTGTTACCTACAGAGATAGAGCCCACATACTCATGCATAAAACAGTGATTTAAAACTTGTTCCAATATTCCGGCTTCTGGAAGACTGGAATGTTTGTGTCTGGGAAGTTGTGCCTGTGTTTAAGCTGCTTTTATCAATTATCATGAACTGCTATTAGCCAATTAGCAGATTATTTTCAATCTATTATTTCTATGAGGAGTGATATGAGACTACAGCAGAGAGAGGGAAGAAAGTCATTTTGTGACCACTATGCATGAAGGGGTTAATAAATTATTATTATTATTATTATTATTATTATTATCTGGATTTGAGAATTTTTTGACTTCTGGACCTCCACTAGATTTTTAATCATTCTGGAAAAGTTTAGCTCATTATATACATACTTATAATTTTGCCGCTTTTAGACCCCTTTTGATGTCACAAGATAATCAGTAATCAGTAATCAGTTGACCAAGATTTTCTGGTCAAAACTTAGAACCTGCAGAGATGTTTGGTCAAGTCTCAAGTCCAGATACTCCAAGACACACTATAGATGTTGTGTATCTGTGTTTTATTTTTGAAGCACTTTCGACAGACATGTATTAATTTACATTCTAGTCAGCCAACGCTGCCCTGGTGAAGACTGAGGGAAGAAACACTGCTAATCTGTGCAAACGAGTCCTAACCCCAACAACACTGCACGCACACATCTGTTGGATTCCTATAGATAGCAGAGATGTTTGTAGTGTGAAAAAGCAGGACTTTTACATGTAAACTTTTAAATTGCATCTTAAATGAGCATAGTCTGTACATGTGATTCATTTGTGAAGAGCACTTTGTCATTGAAGACTGACACTTTCTGAATGATATAACACTATGGCTCATATTCACCTGTGTAGGTGTAAGTTATGTATTATGGAGGATCCTTGGAGAATCATGGAGTAGCTTGACAAGTGTATCGATCCAACCGACAGAATTGAAAAGATAAACATCAGGAGGACTCTTGATGTTGGGTATTTTGCATCTTTTAACGATCCAAAGATACAGACCAGATGCGCTTCGCGCGCGTCGTTTGATATAAACGACCACCAACTTCAAAGTAGGAGCCGCGACCAAGTTGTTGATGAGACGAATGAGACAAAGAAGAAAGCCTCCGGATTAGAGAAGTTTGAGCAGAAGGAGGGCGGATCACAGCGGAGGACGCGGCTTGTTTCCAGTTTGTGTCCAAAAGCCATTATGGGCTGATCAGCGGAGGATGGAGCGCACTTACCTGATCGTACCGGGGTCTCCCCAGTTGGAATGAAGAACACACTGCAGATTCCGCCATGACACCCAACTCTTTACTTATTAATGGAACGAATCATGGACGGGAGGATTGTTAACTACCGCGAACTACATCCAGTGTCGAACAAGTGAAGCGACGAGTGCTACGTCAGCAGCGACGCTGCGGCCAGACGCACGGCTTCATCTCCAACAGCATCGATCCTCTGGCCGCTATTGTTGCGTAACTGTTCCGATTGATCTTGGGAGAGATAAGAGTTGATTGGTCCGTTAATTCATGGCTATGTGTGCGGAGAGGTGTGGCCTGGAGGAGGATACAGTGTGTACAGTGATGCTCTGATCAGGTGCAAGTGGCACAAAATAACACTGTAATATTCATGTTGATAATAACAAAACAACATCGATCTATACGATCAAAAAGCACATTAGTGTCACGTGAGGCGAGTCCCAAACATTAAAGGGTAAATATGTAAGGTGCTCTTCATTTAAGGGCACTTACAGCGTTTGGGATGTCAACAAAGCCACAATAATGCTATTTATTTCTATGTGTATATGTTGCCAAAATTACACTAGTTTGTTCATTGAGTTAAATTATAAATAGGAACTACCGACATGTTAATCACAATTTACCACGTATACTGAGCGCCCTCTAGTGGACAGATGCACGCACTACAGTAGTTTTAAATGAGAGTTCAAGATATTTCTTGTGCACTTTTTTAATTACAGTACTGTGGTCAGGGAAAGCCTTGCAATTCCAGCTGTGGCATTGAAACATCGTACATCAAAAACGAATAAACAAACAACAATTGCATGGAAATGATTGGCTACAACGGAGCCTGCTACATCATATAATGTGCATACCAGTCAAGTAAACTTAACATGATATATTATCTATATAACATTTGTGAAGAAAAGTCATAAATTCAAAGTGCAAATAAAAATTACTTTGGCTTCCCATCACGTTCACGCACATATCAATTCAACTCTAAGAAGCTGCTCTAATTCGGAACAGCCAGACAGCCAACACAAACACCAACAGAAGAAGAGTAAATAAATGTACACTGGTCTTTTTGCTTTGTGCATAGCAGCAGGTTTTCAATATGATGAACTGATTCTAGTCTGCTCGCATTGAAGAAGGCCGTTTCCTTTTGCCAAATTAGCAGTTAATATTAAGTGACCAACATGCATATTGTCTGTGTGGTGCTCTGTGTCCAAATATCAAAGGCAGTATTTGTGGTGAGAGAAAACCGGGAACGGTGCGTCTGTTTTCTGTAACACCTGTCAATGTCGCCTGCAACATTAAAGGGGCACTACGTAACTTTTTCTGGTGAGGGTCTGCCACACGCCCGTTTTTATTTAAGCACCATCTTGGGTTCATCACTCATGTCTGACTATTTCTTAACTGTCGGACAGATATCTTGCATGGAACCCTGCGTCAGAAGAGTTACATTGTGCATCTATAAAGAGGACATATTATGGTATTTAATGTATTTCGTATTGGACCATAACATTATTGTGTGATTTTTACATTTCACTTGTTCTAAATGGCAACAATGATCTAAAGTGGCTGAATTATAAAAATGGGTTGATTTCCTTCCAAAACTGTGAAACTGAGAAATCTTTGTTGGATTGTCATTTACTTTTACTTTTTTGAAAACTGACTATGTGGTAATGCTACATATTTCACTCTCATTTTCATTTTCAACTGGATACTGAGATATGGGCGAGGATAGGTGGTAGGTGAAAACAAGCATTTTTAGGGCTGCTATGAAAGCCATATTGTTGATTATTCTGCTGAAGCTGGGTTTAGTTCTTTCTGTTAACAGCTGTGTGAATAAACTTTGCTTTGCAGAGTATTCAAGCCTCAATGGTCCTTAAAAAAACAGGATTGAGCTAAAAAGCACAGATACATCCAAAACAACTTTAAAGCTGGGGTACCTAACTTTCACACCAAAAAAACGTTCAAACCACATGAAATTGACCTATGTAATAAAACACCTAAAACTAGTTTCTCGCTCTTAGAACAGCTTGGTTCTATCACTACTTTCCACACGTACATATTGGTTGGCCTTTGTCACAGCTTTGGAGCAGCGTTTACAGAAAAGAGAGGACCACCCTCTCTCAGCCAATCAGCTCTCAGCCCAAAGAGTCAAATAACTACTCTTAACTCTTAACTACAAAAATTAGATAATGTTTTCTAGTTAGATAAAGATTGCATGTTGTGGTCTGAATTGTCAACAGCATTTTAGTTTTACAAGACTCTTTCTTAAGGGACAAACTTAATGAATTATGTATGAATACAAAGATAGGTACCTCAGCTTTAAGTAGACCAACAATGAGGAAATATTGTTTAGCATTGTACAATAAATTAATATTCATTTGTCATAATATGTCCCCTTTAAGAGAGTGTGGGATCACTTGTGCCTGGTGCGCACTTGCAGCAGAATGGGCGTCTGCTCCATGATCCTCAGCAGCAGATTGTCAATGTAGTCTTCCAGATCTCGGACCTGTGCTTTGACCTTCCGCAGATCGGCCTCACACTTGTGCAGCTGAGTGGCCTGGAGCTCGGAGGCCGCCTGCTGCTTCTGCATGTCCATCTCCTGCTGCAGCAACAGAGAGATCAGCTCCATGTGGGTCATGTCCTGGTACTGAGACACGTCCACCGCCACCTGCAGGACACAATGTGACTGTTGAGGACACTTCATACTTTATAGAGAACAGAGGCGACATGCACCTGCATATTTTTATTCAACTACTACTATACTTTTTTCTGGTATCAGTAAAATATCCCCAGTTAAATTAATTGTTGCGTTTTGTTACTTTTTACCCATTACTGTATATATTAACGGACAGGGTCACGCCTATCTCCGCCGTTCTAACTAATGGGCCAAAAAATGTGCTCTACTGGAGCAATCCAAAATGGCCGCGAGTGGTCCCGCCCACAAGAAAATTGTGAAAAAACGCATCTGTGCATGTGTCAGCCGGCGCAACTCCATTCATTTGAACGAGAGAGTTAAAAAATTCACAGCAAGTAAACTAGAGTGGACCAAAAAAATTCACCCCCCTCAGCATTGACACACATGTGGAACGGAGCTTTGGGCCGAGAGCCAACTTTTGGTCGATCCTGTAAAGACATTTTTGAGAGGTCTGCCAATGCTATATGTTAGCATTGGCTAATTCTTCTTCTGGGTCTACCCCCATCGGCCCGGGGTGGTATTGCAAGCATGTCAGCGCACGTCATTTTGGCCACTTATGAGCTGGGACCCTCCCCCACTGTTTTTACCCTATAACTTTTACATATAAAAGTAGGGCCTATCATATGTTTTACTTAAGTAGCAAAATTGAATCTTTGTTTTACCTAAGATGAGTAATCTCACAAAGGCAACAGGAAGAATTCAGATATATGTTGATGAATTTCTTTTTTCAACGTGGACACAAAGGTGTGGGTGCCTCTTTTCAATGCACATGACATGTTTTCTACACATAACTTAACAAACAACTATTCAAATATTGTGTCTGTAATCGCAGACTCCTGCATTGTGACATGGCTGCAGTAGGAGTGTTTTTGCTGATGTTACCGGAGCCTTCTCGGCTTCAGCAGAGGCCTGTTGAGCCACTCTTCCAGGACTGATGGTGGACTTCAGCATCTCCAGCACCGAGCGACCTTCTTTCTTCTCAGACTGAGTGGAGGTTAATGGCTTCACTGGGTGAGTTCTGAAAAGTCCATATGTTAGTGGTTGTAGTTATGACATATAAAAGTGTTGCAGCTCAGTAAACATGAGAATATTGAGCAAACATTATTTTATAATGAAAATAATAAGCTGAATCAATACATTTTCCAACTAATCCTGCTTGAATTTCCCATTCCTAAGTATATACACAAAATCATTGCACATAAGATAATCATGTGCAATGATTTCTTATTTAGTCAAATAGCAGCCAAATACGTAGGTGTTGGGAAGCTGAAACAAAAATACAGTATATCATGTTGATAATCCAGCAGCCAAAACTGAGCAGCCGATAGCATCCAATAACTTGGATGCAAAGAGCAAACTTAAATGTTAAACAGCCAGGAGCAAACAAACATCCAAAGTGATGCAGTTACATTCTCTTAAAATGGTAATTATTAGCATGTGTCATTCATGTGCTCTCACCTGCTGAGTGGATGGGACTGGCTGCTAGGCTGTGTCTCCTCAGGCATAAGTGAGTGGTGTGCATCAACCAGGGGCGGCTCAGAGGTGCAGGAGGTGAGGCCTGTAGGTGTGGGCCCCGTGCCTGAAGCTTCGGAGCAAGGGTCAAGGGCAGAGGGAGGACAAAGCTTTACCTGAGGCTCAGCTGTCAGCGAAAGTGCAGAGAGAATGGAAGGAGACGGTTCCGGCAACATCCTAGAATGGTTTCTTGGTAGAAGAAGATGAAAATCTTCTAAGCTCATCATAGTTTTCTTTTTTCCAGTTTTGCTTTCTGTAGGCTCTTCCACTGTCTGTTTCTGCCCACTTTTCTTGATGTTATTGACTATCATGTCAATCTTTTCGTCTAAATCTCTCATTGCGCAAAGGGCTGATTTTCGGGGTTGATATGACGTGGGTCCCTCCTGGGAGACATTTTGAACAAGCGACAAAAACTGTTCGAACTCTCCTTCTCTGTGTTTGCTTTGGTTGATAGGACTACAACTCCTACTGTTATTTGTGCTGGAAACTCCTCTGGGTCTAAGTCGTGCGCTAACTACCTTTCCTTGTACATTACCGTTATTATCAATAGCAGTTTGTGTCTTTTTCAGCTCATTGTCTTCTACTGTATCTACCTTGCACTCTGTTTTCAGTGTAACTGAATCTTTGCTTACGCTGACATTGGCATTCAATTCTACGTTCTGAAAGTCACAAAGGCAGTCTTGACACGTGTCTGGACCTATTGAGGAGATGTTAGACAAAGTATTTGTAGAAATTTCAAATGAAGAGTTCATTTCAGGTATGTAAGTGTCCTTCAAATGAAACACGTCCTCTGGAGTGGTCCGTGGAGATTCAGGAATACTCGCTCGTAAAGTCCTTCCGATACCGTTTTGGCCTTTATAGCAATCCACATTATCGGAGTGTGAAGAGGCATCAGAGTCAATGAAGCCAAAATCTGAGTTATTCATATTCAAATCACCTAAAGTTAAAGAAAATGATATATTGTTGTTCAAACACGTTTCTAAAGGGCTGGATGAAAACTGTACACAACCAACAGTTGTTGGTGAAATGCAGTCTATTAAAGGTGCATCAAGTTTACGAATGGCAGGTGACATTTGCAAAAGATCTGTATCTGCCATTCCACTCCCGAAATGCTTTGAAGGTCCAGTCACATTTGAAACATTATTCTCTGCTTCTAGAATCTCACTTCTAAGAGACAGATGGTCATTTACTGGGGTTGGCACATAATTCATTGAGCACATAGGCCCAAACAAGTCCTCTTCAAAAAGCATCCCACCCCAGCAATCAAAGTCATCTTGCAGCGGGGCATACTTTAACTTCTCTTCTGTTTTATTTTGAATGTTCGGAGTCTTTATGCCAGGCGGTTGGACATCCTTGGAGATTCCGGGCATATTGCTTTTGCACTCTGTTTCCCTTACACGCTGACGAGAAGCCGCTCCAGTCTGCGATAGTAAATACGCCTCTTTGTGCACCGCTAGTTCTTGACCACGATGCAACCAGCCATCAGAGAAGATCTCGTTGACTGGCGTCTTAAGAAGTCTTCTTGGTGGCAAAGGTGGAGGGATTTTTCCGTTTTCACATCTATTGCTTGATGTTGACTGAGTTTGAGAATTCCTTTTAGGTGAGCTGAGTCTAATTGAGGCAAAGACATCAAAAGATTCCTCCCATTCTTCTGCACTCTCTGACATGGAGCGAGGACCAGAGGGGACGTAGGGGTAAGAGGTTTTTGGGAGCACAGGGAGCGATGTCTGCCTAGGTACTGGTTTTGGACGGTCGCGCTTTATGGAGGCTATGATCGCAGCTTCGTTACTGGAGCTAGATGCATAGACTTGGGAGGGTACAGTGGTGTAATGAAAAGGAGAGGTGTCGGAAAGGGAAGAAGGAGTGAACGGGGGACTTTGGATGTCTATTAGCTCTTCAAAGAATGGGTTTCGCTGCAGGTGTGGGAAAAACGGATTGGACGGAGAGAGCGGTGTGGTAGAGGGAGAGGAGGATGGAGGTGTGGTGAAGGGGTTGGTGTGGGTTCCTTCTAACGGGGACAACGGCAGTGGGGGGGGCACGGGGGAGCGAGCAGGTGGGGGAGGGGGTACGTCTGAGCTGCTTTCTACCTTAGGAGAAACTTCCAGCCTGTGGAGGAAAATAGGGCACAACAGTCCTCTTAGTTAATGATGTGCCACGGAACCAAAAGGGGTACAGCTTTGTCACACAAACAGCACATTCAACAAACACACAAGTGACCAAATTATAGTCATGGAAATTAAATATAAAAAGCAAAGCAAACTAGCAAATGAATTAAGCCTTAAATAAAAAAAAAGCCATTCTGATCCAGCTGGCAGCTTTTATCGTAAGGATGCAATCTCACAAAGCTTTTTTTTAAACGGAGCATAGCTATAGAATGTGGTGGTGACACAGCAAGAGAGTGAGATGGGTAATCTATGAAATCAATCTGCTGAACTTCCGTGCGCCCTTTTAGCATTGATTTGTCACCTGAGACCTCTGGTGGTGACCCACACTCACCTTGGCTTGTTTTGGGAGTCACTGGATCCAAACCAGCCTCGGAGGCGTCCCTCAGAGGTGGGCGTTGCCTGGGGTGAGTCCGATTTGGAGGGCAGGGAGTCGCTCCGCCCCGAAGAGAACAGCGTCTTGCGAAACTTCCTACCTTTCTCTGGTGACGCTGTGGCTGAAGCTGCTTGTACCGGCGACTTCTGAGATGGCGGCGATGACTGTCCTTCCTTTTGATCATCTTCCTTCTTAGTTTTGTCAAAAGACCATCTCCGCCCTTCTGAAAACATACTCTTTTCCTCACTTTTTTTGGTTATATTCTGCAAGGAGCGAGACAGAGGTGAACATTTTTCAAGCAGAACAAGTTTGGATGGAAGAGCGGCTGACATCTTTGCGATGGAGGGCTCGGAGTCGTAGACGTGGCTTCCGTTGATGCATAGAGAGGACTTGGACTGGGTCATGGTCTGACCTTTGAGGGACTCCACAGAGCGAGGGACCGCAGCGGGGGTGATCCGACTAGCCTCATCGCTTAGGGCACGCTTATGGGTCATCACCTTAGTAGTGTGCTGACTTGTGAGCACTGTGGAGAGAAGGAGAGAATGTCATTGTGTTTGACTATCTAGAAGATTTTATCTCATATTTATGAGGAAATTGAATGATTTGCAATTTCTTTTGTCCCTATTCCATGTGTATATATATACATGTACACCAATAAAGTAAATTCATCCCCTTAGAATGATATGAAACAGAAACAATTGATGAAGATAAAGCAATATACAGAATTGATGATTTGGTCAAAAATGACAACACACATTTAATAAGGTACAATTATCAATCCAGGTGCTAAACTGTGTATGCAATAGGGGTGGGCAAAATATATTGTAGACAATAATATCGTGAAAGTCCATTTGAAGATATGCTTTTTTTGTATTATCGTCCTTTTCTTTTTACATACATATTACAATTAGAGAAGGACAGATGCCCATTTGGTCTAATGTGTGCCTAAAAGCCAATCTTTATTTGTACATTTCAGTAAAAATTGAGCTAGCCTTTTTGGATGGAGGATGATATTTCCCACAGGGATAAATATATAAATATAAGTATACATTATTATTACATTATTATTTTCCACAAAGGCAAACCCTGGATAGGAATTTACCTGAAAGTGCCACCTTTCATAATACAAGCTAATATATCGATACTTTTATTATTATGTTCATTAAAGCAGCAACTACAGGTGTTGTTGTAAGTAAAGTAAATTAGTATAAAGAACTTTTCACAAAGTGCAATTGAATAATACAGCGATTATTAGTTTAATTCATAATTATTAATAGATACAGACCATATTTAAATATAAATTACATGTTGTTTAGATGGTGTACAGTCCAAAAACTAACATTGATGAGTATTATCTATCTATAAAAACATTTGTTGTGATTAGTTTGTTTTGCTTTCTTTCCCAGTTTACATTTCCAAAGGATAATTTCTAATACATCACCCTGTTTCCCATTTAATGTGTGTGTGTTTTCATCATCACCCACCATGATTTCCATTCTTGGCAAACAATAATGAGAGCAAAGCTGTTTATTCATTTTTATTTTTTTCCTTTTCTATTGATGTGTTAATATTGTATAGCATCGTAATGTATTTCTTTTTATCCTGTGTTGTATTGTACCGGCTTGGAATAAACTAAACTAAACTAAAGCGAGAAGGAAGAAGAAAAGTTTTCTCCGGTGCCTTACCTTTTTTGGCCAGGTCTGTGTCTCCATAGTGAGGCTCCACTCTGACTTTGCTGGTGTAGATGGGAGAGCTGGGGGGGTCTGACATTAGGTCCAGGCTGGGAGGAGGGTTGTCACTGGCCATAGACGAAATGCTGCTGTCCGAGGCCAGCGATGAGCATGACCTGGTGTCAGAAGACTTGCGCAGCTTTCCTTTAAAGAAATCCTTCATCTTGCTCCTCTTCTCCTCTGGCACCTCGGCCTCCCGGACCACCCCTGCCGTGTCCCCTCCGAAGGGCTGTCCGGTGGGTGCAGACAAGGCAGCGTAACGACCTGGGACGATGGCAGAGGAGGACTCCAGATCTCCCCTCTTCCGCCCTGTCACCCGGTCTTTGAGTTTGCCGAATGCCGAGCGCGGCTTGTCCTTCATGGTCAGGTCGAACATACTGGCCGTCATGTTGTTGCGGGTGAACTGGACGGTCACCTGGAGCTCTCCGCGCTCCTTCTCCTTACGTCCCACCTTAGAGTGCAGCTTGAACCACCTAAGACAAGTGAAAAATAATCACACCATCTAATTACAAACCAGATATAACGTTAAAGGTTCTTCCTTTTGCAAACCCTTGGTGCAGAAATATGACCGAAGGAGTGGGTGGTACAAGTATGCATTAGGTTCTAACTCTGCAAATCCTAACCCTACATATTTCTAAAACATATAATGAATATGTATTGATCAATGTCTTTGGAAAGATTAATAAGTAAATTGAGTACTCCAATAAACAAAGGTTTAATCACTAAATGACTAAAATATTCAGTACTCTCAGCCCTAACACATTGCACAATAAAATGTTTAAAACGAGGAGATAATAAAACTGTTAGTTGGCTCTTGAGCATGTGTTACATAATGTGTTTCACAGCAGGAGCAGATCAAACCAATTCGCTTTCAAAACAAAGTTTTAGGCCTCAGATGAGGAAATGGCATACATTCCTGAAGGTGCACCCTCTTACACCTGGAGTAGTCTATAGAGTCAAAATGATGGTGGTTTAGCTTTAAAGGAATATGGCTAACAGCAGCAGAGGCCCCAAAGACAAAATATAACCCAGATGTGAGTGTTGCTCCTTCCAGCTCTTCGGTCAGGACTGTGAATGTTTCCCATGTAGGCTAACAGTACGTTAGTGCTGCTGAGTTTTACAATAGAAAAGTAGGAATCAACATTTGTGAGCTAAGATAAGATAAGATAAACCTTTATTAGTCTCACAGTGGAGAAATTCCAGTGTCATCGTTGCGCACATTACAGCAGAGAAAGGAAATAAGAGCACTCAGATTGCACACATTCCCACCTCTACACCTTCTCCACCGACTCCCACTGATGACTGCTGTCGTTGTGTCCTTGGGCAAGACACTTAACCCCACTTTGCCCAAAGCCCCAACTGAAAGATCAAGGCTATGCTCACAGTCAGAGAGCAGCCGTCCTCCTGTGGACTCACCACCTGCAGAGGGTCAGTGAGGGGCTGGTGCTATGAGACTTGGGTGGCATCTCTGATTGCCACCCCCCTGACCCAGAAATGGATTAAAGGGTAGAAAATGGATGGATGGATGGAGATTGCACACATCAAAGTCTATTATTTAAGATAATAGACAATAAATTTAAGATAAAATCAAATAAAATAAGATAAACTCTGGGCTATAATTGCTGCCTTTAAATGCTTTCATTAATTCATAGTACACTTTAGTTTTGAAAATGAAATCATTCTGAATAGTCAATGCAACCTTTTCCTTCCAATGTTTGGTCAATGTTGAAATGTATGCCAGTTGCCAGTTTGTATTTGGGAAACAGGCTAATTGATGATCCTCCATGCTCATCATGTGTCATGCATGTGGCTACAGAAGCCTGTCCAACATACTCATCTCTTGGACACGTTCCCTCCTGAAAGATCCTGTCCAGGGGAATGATGGTCTGCCCCAGGAACACATCCAGGCCGATAAGGACGCGGTGCATGACGGTCAGAACCAGGTCTGCGCTCCCGGGGGGGAACGCGCTGCGGGCTCCGTCCTCCAGGATTCCCGGCAGAAGCTCGAAGCAGCTCTCCTCGCCCCACTGCGGAACCTCGGCCTTGTCCACCAGCCCGGTGGTGTACCTCTCCTTTCCCACCTGCACGATGGTGTACAGGTAGCGGCTGCCATGCTTGCTCTTGGTGCGCAGTCCCCTGGCGCGGAGCACCGTCACGTTCAAGTGCGTGGGCACCCAGCGCTGCTCATCGTCCAGATCGATCAATGACATCATCTTGAAACGCTACAATGGCCGCAAGCCTCTAAAAACGCAGTGAAATTGAATGACTTGAATGGTAGATAATCCTGGCCATGTCCTTTCTGTGCTGCGCCAAACCTCTGCAGACGCGGCCGCTCTGACTCTACGCAGCCGTTGTGCTCATGATGAAGCGTTGCGTGCCATCCCCAAATTCAGTCAATGCAAATCGAGTTAACCCAGAAGGACACTCGGATATGGTCCCATGTTCACGTTCTGCAGCAGCATGTCTCTGTTGCATCACAGAGTTTAGTGAATGTGCGTGCGCATGGCCCACCCTCCAAAGACGGGGCCAGAGAGGAGAGGGGATGCTGCGGACTTAAAGAGAAAGAGACTCGCGTCAGGAATGTGGCGTTTTACGCTCACACTTGATGCAGTCACCAATGGAACCATAATTAGCTTTAATGTCACTTGAATACTGCATCGTACTGGTGACAACGTGTTTAATTACCTTTTCATTGTTTGCATGATAAGAAAACTAACCTGTCCTTTGTTTTACAAAAAGTCTGGCCACCATAAATGTGAGTATAACGCCGCCTAGTGGATATAAAGGCGTTAAACTGTTACAGCTGCTGTTCTGTTTACATGGCTAAAAATAGGCCTATACTATAATTTATGGAATGTATTAGATTCCCAATCCAAACACCCGATCATTATAATAATAAAATAATAATGCTAATAGGTTGATCTAGTGCTTTTTTGGACACTCAAATGTCTCTATTCTTTCACTTCATACACGGTGGTGATAAACTAATACAAAAGCCACAGCTGCCCTGGGGCACACTGCCAGAAGCGAGGCAACCAGTCTGTGCCATCAGCTCTTCCGACCACCAGCAACCATTCACACACACACTAGACAACTGGGTGAAGTGTCTTGCCTAAGGACACAACGACAGTTTGGCATTTTACAGCCGCAGCCGCCCCCACTGTGGCATCAGGTTCCCAGAGGTTATCCTTGTTGTTGTTGTGCCGTATCTTGCCAAGGACACAACAACAGCAGACATTAATGGGACTCGGTGGAGAAAGTCCTGTGGTGGGCTGAACCCACCAATGCTCTACCAACTGAGCCACTGTCATCCTATTATATAACATCTTTTTCAAAATCAAAAATGTTATGGCTAAACATTCTTGTTCAATTAATGATGTTTACATTGTATTGCATTTGAAAATGGGATCTCCAACTCATAATTCAAATAGAAATACATGTTTAAAGGGTCTATATGCAAATAGTGAAAAGACCACCTGTTTTCAGTTTTCACTGGGTTTTTTTGTTCAGTTGACTTAGACGACAACTTGACAACAAGCCGCCCTTGTCTCAGTGTATTGGGAGGGAGTTACAGATTTATCAAAGCTTAAGTTACTTGAACAGCCTTATTATAATTATTATTATTGTCAGTGCATGGACAAAGCATCAAACATTTAAATAATCCAAAAGAAGTTTATTTGGTCGTCTAAGCCCTTGAGTTTGTGGTGGGCACAGAATGGCAGCTGAAGATTGTGTGGGAGTCAGGACGACCAGAGGATCTGATCTAAGCTGCATGTTTTGTGTGATCAAAGAATGGAAGAAAAGTTTAACCCATTCAATTTCAAGTTAAATTTATTTGGAATTAACAAAAATGCAATTTGCATCAGTTAAAAACAACTCGTGTTTCACAGTGTGACTTTGAGGACAATATGCCTCCATAAAAATGCTGAGTGAAAACAAAAAAACCACAGTACATGAAGAGAGGCCAAGTCTTGTGTGGCACGGCTCTACTTGGCTATGAGGGAGAACATCTCACACCAGTGTGTTCTATATCAAACACTTACACAAAGTGGCAAACGTTCTGATTATATTTCCTCTACATTCAACAATAGAAAACACTAGCTGGATAGGAACTTTACTTATGACAATACAAAACAAATATGTGTCATCTTTCTGAAAGGCATAAATGCTTAGTTCTCACTGCTTCACCGTCAGTGAGCCTTATAAGTGCAAATAAGATTCTCCTTTAGAAACAAGTGCGTTTTATAATCGTATTCAACAAATTCTTCATAGTTTATGAAGCCTATAAACAAACCTAATGAATATTGTTGATGGAGAAAGTTTAAGGCATTCAAGTATGTAGGCAGCTGCCTTAAAAAACAACAAAACAAATACCACTGCTACATTGTTGGTGAACAAAAAAAGTGTACACATCAAGGAGTATAGTTTGGCCAGACCTGGACACATGCTACTGCTGCATTGTGGGTTTGAAAGAGTATGAAGTACGAGGAGTGTAGAGAACAACAACACAACTCGAGGAGTAATTACACAAACCAATCAGCAAACTCATCAGGGTTTAACGGAAAAATAACTAACTTCTGTTTGAACAGAAATAATGGACAGTGTGGATGGTTTAGGCTTTTCAGTCAACTCAAACGATTGTGGTGGAATTGGAAAAAATGATTCTAGGATGTAAATATAGGTCCAGAAATTAATTTCAAAGCTTCAATAAGACTCAGTACAGTACAGTGTGACAAAAAGACTTTTGGGTCACAAAGGTTGAAAATAAAACAGCTTTCTCCCAAATTACAGAGGTAATAATGGCACAAGGGAATGTATGTTTTTGTAGAAGGCAATTTGCCATCACACAATTAAAACTGGTAAGACAAATATGTAAAGAGTGCACTCCAAAAATATGTGCAAATGCAAACAAACTAATTTTATAAATGATAAGAGACCTGACAAAGGCTACAATGGACTTTTTTACATCTGCCACTTAAGTATGTAAAAGGATTTTGTTTTTGAAAGACAAAACGTGTCATGGGCTAGCATTATGATGAGTGAGAGATATTTACCAATGCTAAAATATTATAAAAGGATTTCAACTTGGAATGTTTCCTTCATAGTACCATGACAGGATTAGGTCATTGTTTTGGCATGTGTAGTTTTACAGCTACAGATCAGGAGTGTAATAGCTTCAGTCGCACTGGGCGTTGGGGCAGCCTTTGAGATACAGTTCGTCCTGTGACAAAGGGCCATCGAAGGCCTCTGTGTAGAGGCTGCTGGTGCTGCTGCCGCTGCTGCAGAGGAACGTGCCCACAGCCCGGCCCTGCCGCGCATGGCCCACCGCATCACTGAACACTTTATTTATCTGCTCCTCCGACGGCATCCACCAGTCCAGGTTTGAGGCACAGTGCATCCGGATGAACTCTGAGGGACCACATTGTCAATATGTCAGTGTGCTGTACTGAACATAAGTGTGGTTTTGATTCGTGCACGTGTGTACCTCTGAGACAGCTGACTTTAACAGGATTCAGTGGCCGCCTCTCCAGTCCTGGCTCTCCAGAGAGGGCCGATCGCTTCCTTTTTCCCAGGCCACACGAGAACTTGAGCTCATCCGTGGTGAACACGTACCGGATCAGGTACCGCAACAGACGCCTGCCGTCTTTCTTTGAGGAATTCACTGCTTCGTCCCACTGTTTGTTAGTGATGAAGAGGGGGTAGTTTTCCAACAGCTGCTTACTTCCCTGCTGAAAACAAGTGTTTTGTTTATTTGGATACATTTTGGGTTCCATAAAATTTTCACTCCATACCATGTGTATCTGACCATAAAACACTTTAGACTTTAAAAAAAACAAAAAACTAAAATCTTACCTCAAACACTGACTGTCTTTCTTCTTCCTGAAGAAAAACAAATGGTTTTGTTAGTAAATAAGTGATATTACAAAAATATGTTTGGCTCCTAACCTCGATAAATGATTCCTCGGGCATTGGTTGGAGAAGCTGGTTGTGAACATCGAGAACTGTCTTGAAGTAGTCGAGTACATTTTGACACGGGACTGTAGAAAAACATGTTGGTTAATGAATGACAGTTATCAGAGAGGGAGTGGACGCACACCTGGGATGTTGTCCAGTTTGTTACGCAGCTCCTCGTTCTCCTGCTGCAGCGACAGCACCTCCTGCTCCAGCTCCACACAGCGTGGACAGCAGCTCTCCTCCTCCTCCTCCTCCGGCAGAGTGGAGGATGGGTGACCGTAGGACTCGGAGGGTGTGGGGGAGCCCCAGCCCAAGTTGTGTCTCTGAGGGGACAGGCCAGAGCTGGGCTCTACAGAGGGGCTCTGGTCCTGCCTGCGAGGGCCTGACAGTAGGTAGTTCTGGAGAGAGTCAGTGAAGATGCGCAGCACGGCGGAGGTCTGCTGGGGGCTCACATGACTGGGCTGAGCCTCCTGCTCCAGCTCCGTGCTGGACGACTCTTCACATTTGGTCTTTGTGAGGACAGGAGCCTGCAGTCCCGGACCATCAGAGCCCAAACTGTCCTCCACCTTGATGCTGGACATGAAAGAGCGAGAAGGCTCCAGAAGACGCCCGTTGTTCAGGAGACTCAGGACTCTGCTGCATTGTTGAGCAAAGGCATCCAGAATCAGACGGTTTTCTGTGGCACAATGTGAAGAAGAAATAGTGTTTGGACAGAAATAATTTGAATGGGTAACCTTTAAACTGAACATTATGTACAGTCAGTGCTGACAGTCTGAGCACGTCTGAATATCTGAATGTGATGAAACCTTCATATCTGCATGTAATGATTATGGACCCACTGGCCTCACAGGAGACAAAATGATTGTGTTGTATGCAGTCGTTCGGTCGTGTCTATCAGACCGCCGCAGATGTGTCGCATTTATTAATATGCGTGTGGTCTCTGTTTACTCGTCGAGATGTATCTGATATCATGCGCCTCCTCCCTCCAGCACCACCACTTCTGTGGCACCGAGAACTGAGAGCCTCATAAAATTTCATTTAAAACAACACGCTTGGCAGCAGAAAATTTATGAGGCCCATTTATTTTAATCACAACTCTTTTTCAATGCAATTTGTGTTATTGTGTGCTGACCTGAATGCTGAGTCTGGGATCTGCGTTTCTCTTTGTGCAATCATCATTTGGTTACTTAAGGAGATTATAAGTTCAATCAATTCATAGTGTAACATACAGAAGAAAACTGGAGTACCAAAATCAATATTTTAAGATGAGTTTGCTCATTTTGAGAAGCTATTTGAAGTCCTTTTCAAGTTTACGCTGACAGAGGATTTGTAACCTGAGAGCCCACACAAAAATTGTGGGAGTGAGAATGGAAAATAATGAAGAGCAAATTGAGCCAGTGTCAGTAGCAGTGATAAAGAGAAGACTGATCTGATTAGAGCATGAGTTGTCTGATGTTGACCAGGATTATTTTCATTGCTCTCATCTTAATAGCAGTTCCCATGGACCCGCCCTCCGCTCTGGGAGCACATTTCTTCCACACAACACCACTGTAATGAACAGCAGCTGAGAAGAAAAATGAACATGGAACAATATGTTTGGACAGGAGAATGAAGTCACACAGACGCAGCAGAGACGCGCAAAGACAATTACCCAATGTGATATTTGGCACATGCATCACACACTAGAGATTCAGGAATGACTGCTCTCATTATAGCACCAGCTCAGAGAATGAAAACACACAGCACTGAGTAAGACATGGAACTGACTTGTAGAACGTCAAATCTTTCTTTACAAAATATATCAGGGGTCTCCAATACACTTCCTCCCCAAATTCAGAACAGCATATGCTGAATAGTTTGATATTTTGCATAGATGCTTTAAATAGGACCACCTTACTTTGAGGTCTAAGAAAAGTATACTGGGCTATTTAAAGCTTGGACTCTAACGGCTAAAAGATACAGCTCTCAAGAAAACAATGTTGAAGGCTCGCTGGAAAGTATGACATATTTTGTGAGTTAAGTTACACATGTTGAATCTTGGAGGAATACAAACACAAAGAAGCTCTGTAATCTAACTATGGTTTTGACCTCACCTGAGCTGATGGCAAAGGTGCAGTCTGGAGCTTGACTCTGAGGAGCTCTTAGTGGAGAGAATTTGGATTCAAGTTCCCCACACGCCCCACGCTGCTGTTGCTGTAGACCACACGCAGAGGTGGAGGTGGAGGTGGAGGTGGGCACCCTGCTGCTGGGCCTGCGCTCACATGGGGGACGGTTCTGCTGCTGCTGTGGGTGCATCTGGAGGCTGGTTTGGTGAAGCTGTGCGCGCTGCTGCTGCTGTTGTTGCTGCTGATGATGATGGTGATGGTGATGGTTGTGATGTGTCTGGAAAGGATGGATCTGTCCTGGGTGGAAAGTGAACTGGTGCACCTCTCCATCTCCATCTCCATCTCCATCTCCAAGCCCCTCAACAGCAGCGGACCGTTCAAAGCGCGACTTGCCACTCGTGCGCTTGGACTGGAACATTTTGAGGGAGCTGTAGGGGCCGCGCTGGAGTCGGCTCGATTTGGAGGCGCACGGTCCTTCGTCTGGGGACTGCATCTCTTCATCCATCCCGGGAAGAGGCCACGCGTGGGGACTGGGTGCAGGTGAGGGTCCCGTGCTGGTGGTTGTTGGTGGTGGGTGACAGGCGCTTGATGACAGGTAGCCTCTCAGTCCGTCACTGTCTGGCTCGTTTCCTACACAGACACAGCGTGAGGGCGGTTCATTTACTGACAAGCCCCCGCTCCAATCCCCAGCCCGCAGCGCCGACACAGACCCCCTCCAGAGGGAAATACAGGCGGGACTACAGCCGCTGCTGCCACTGCTGTCTCACATCTACAACATCGGGGCGCTGCTGAGGTTTTACTATCGGAGAAGGGGGGGAAATCACATTGTCCTAAATGAAGAGAGGGGCCATTTTGATCAGCTCGAACAGTGCCAGTCACAGCGCACGCCATTAGTGCAGGCTAATTAAGCAGTCAAATGAATAATATAATAATATGATAATGTAGAAAATGCAAAAGTTACACAAATTGCCTTATTATAGAGATAGGACTTTTACGGTTTGACAATAATGCGATGTATAGTCTACTTATGCCAATACTGTTCAAAAAGGCTATTCTAAAAACGAAAATCTATAGCATTTACCTGGATGGAGAAACCAAACCATGCTCCTTTCTTATGATGAGTGAGTGGGAATCACAGTCTATGATGGGAATCCGCGCTTATTATATCAAACAGGTTAAAGCGAACGCACGAGGGCGCTGTCGTTCCGTGTGCGTCATTTGTGTGATGCGAGGTCGTTATTCTTTTAACGTTAGTCAAAAATGAACAATTACAGACTCGGTTGAAATATCGATACCTAAAGAAAATATTGTTTCTGCTTTCAAGAACGTGTTTAGTCGGTTAAAGGGGGAGGGGTCATTAGCATCTTAACACGAATGTAAATAGAGCCTCTTAACAGAGGCGCATCTTGATTGAATTAAGTCTGAAACTATTTGTGTATAGATTACATTACATTCGTACTTTCTTGTATTCAGCTTACATGATCTGAACCTATAGGCAAAAATAGCGTAGTTATATATAAGCGTGCATACATAAAAGCTTTCAATCTGTAAGTGGCAAATAAGTGGGCTTTTGTTGGAATGGACACATCCCTGTTACTATCAATTTGAATTCGATTAAAAGTAAAACAATGAAACCACTTGCGGTACTGTTGAGAGGCTCTTGCGCATCGCTAGTGCGCACGTCCTCTCAGTGGGGGCCTCGTGCGCGCGTACAAAGCGGAGTCACAAAAGTAGCGCGTCTCAGTCAGTCTCAGTGGAGTGGACCACAGCTGGTGCGCGGACATGTGCACGGAGCGCTCTTTCCACACAGATCCTGGACCGAGTTTACGTGCGAAGGGACATGAATAATGTTTTCTTGAGTCGTTTATGTTGACCCGCAGTCGATTCGGACTTTGACTGAAGTTTGGACAAACTGCTCAGCTGCAGAGATGACTGTGACCTAAGCCGACCCTTCATTCATGTGGTAGAGAGAGCAGGAGAGCCTGAGGTCGTGATGGTGTGCCTTCTCCACTGCGTCCTGCTTGGATATTTCACGTGGAACCTCCGTATATCGGACGCACAGGGGGAGTACTGTCACGGCTGGTTGGACACTAATGGGAATTATCATGATGGCTTCCAGTGCCCGGAGGACTTCGATACCACTGACGCCACGGTGTGTTGCGGGACGTGCTCCCTGCGCTACTGCTGCGCGGCTCCGGACGCGCGCCTGGACCAGGGCGTCTGCACCAACGACAGAGAAACGGACAACACCGAGTTTGCAGCGCGTAAGTTTCTATGGGGTTCTACGATGAGAAAGCACCAGTGCCTTTACATTGAAGTGATGCTTTCACTAAGGCTGAGTGAGAAGCAGAGGTGTACTTTTTCTCACACAGGCCCAATGTCGCTCCAAAGTAACGGTAGTACCAATTACTAAGTTGTGGGCCAAAAAGTCCACTCAAGTAAGAGATGAAAAAGATTGATTGAGTGATTTTGGTTTGACTGTGGCACCTAAACTGTAATTTCGATGCATGTAAGGGGCAAGCTTATTTAAAGTGAGACATGTATACCCTAAGGTGGAAGCAGTGGAAGAATCAGTTGAATGTTGTTTATACGAACCTTATAATTGCAGTTCACTTTAAACGCTGCTTTTTTCACTGTCCGTGAGGTCACAGGGAGCAGCAGGACAGTCACTGGGCCTCTCCGTTGTCATCACACCAAGAGACTGCAGCTTCATAGATTCACTTGTATTTTTAAAATTAAGTTATTTGTTATACCTTTTACTCCTAAACATTATTTCCTACTACTACGGTTTGGATATGTTCTTCTCCGAATGCATCTCGTTTCCACCTGCTGTTTATGACCTCAACTCACTCAGAATCATAATGTGAAAAAAACAGAGGATAAATGAAAAAATCCCACAAACCTTTGTTGAGACATAAAAGACTCAGTGTGGTCCTACCCCTGTGCTGAGATGTCTATAATAGACCATTTAGAACATGGGCTTTATCAGTTTTCTTTAAATTTCCCAAATGGCTTTGCAGCTCAGTGAACAATTTCCCAAATTTCCTTAACAAAATATATAAGCTTCAGCAAATTTCCTCCGTGCCTTAAATTGGTGGTTTGTACTGGCAGTAGTCAGAGTGTGGGACTCGCACACGAGACGATGAACTTGTCAATAATAAGACATTTTACATGGTGCAGTGGAACAACATAATGTTTAGTATTAAATGCTGATACGTCTGCTGAGAAAGTTGCATATAATGTAAAGCCCACAAACATAAGAAAAGCACATGGATCATGTTCCCTCTGTAACTGTCTCCTCAGAGCCGGTGTACGTGCCCTTCTTGATGGTGGGCAGTATCTTCATTGCCTTCGTCATCGTGGGTTCTCTGGTGGCTGTTTACTGCTGCACATGTCTCAGGCCCAAGCAACCCACGCAGCAGCCCATCCGCTTCTCTCTGCGCAGCTGTCAGGGCGAGACCATTCCCATGATCCTGACCAGCGGACCCCCCAGTCTGCGCGCGCCGTCTCGCCAGTCCAGCACGGCCACCACCAGCTCCAGCTCGGCCGGCGGGGGCAGCTCCATGCGCCGCTTCTCTCTGGGGGGTCAGGGCTCGCAGCAACAGCATGGATGTCTGGTGTCTGCCACAGTTTCCTCATCAGCTTCAACGCCAACACAGACGCCTCCCCTGCCGCCTCCCCTGCCGCCCCCCTACACCACCCCCCCAGGCCCCCCAGGCCCCCCCCACACTCACCCGCCGCTGCAGCTGCACCAGCACCCGTCCGGCTTCCTCCTTCCGCAGCAGTACTTCTTTCCTCTGCAGCCTGATTCCTTCAGCGTCTCCAAAGGCTTTGCAGACTTTGGCCAGAGCTGACAGAGCTCCAACAGACTGCTGCCATTCAGAGGCCATCTTAGGGCGCATTCATACTTGCTGCTCTGGTTCATTTTATCAATTCTTGTTCATTTGGAAGAACAAAAATATTTATTTGTGGATATAAAACCACCAAACAAGTGTGTTCACTAGACACTTAAAGCCGGAGTTTCTAACTTTCAAATAATAAAAAAACTATATATTATTACAAAATCCATGTAACTAGTTTATAGCTAGCATGTGTTTTTGGGCTATGTCACATCTTTAGATCAACCTTTTCAGTGAAAAGATGACCAGCCTGCACCGAGCTCTCAGTATGTAAAAGATAAGAAAGTTGGTACAATCAAAGTTTATTTATTGCATTGGGACCCTCTAAATAAATCCAATATTATTTATGAAACAAATAAAGTACTCCAGCTTTATGTCAGTTTATATCATTTGAGCATTTGAAGCATTTTGTTTTCAATTGAACCAGACCAACAAGTGTGAACGAGTCCATAAATTCTGCAAATCAATTAAGTGATGGAATATTTAAACAGACTTCATCTCAAATGAAAGATAACTTGATATGGTTATTTTTGGTAAGCACTTTTCTATCAGTTGAGAGCAGATTCTATCATATAAAACTCTGTTATCTCAGAATCTTGTAAAAGTGACTCCTTGCATCTGCCATATCAAACAGGGAAAGTTGTGTTTTATTCAACAAACATTATAATTACAGACATTACAGACATGCTTGTCCAGAGACTGTCCTGCAGCGGCTGGATGGACACATGAAGCAGACACTACAAGCTGCTGTAAACAAACTGTGTATATTGCACTTTCCCACCACACTGAAGCTCTCCGGACCACAACTACCCAAGCGGTCTACGCAGTTTACATGGAATACTTTATTATATTATCAATTATTTTTCTCTTTTCTTACACTCAAATCATGTGTTGTTACTCTGAAATCATGCCATTAAACCTACATTGCTGCATCAGTGAATAAGTCATTGACAATCACCCATCTTCCTCTATACGGGGGAGTGACCGCCACACAATGGAAGGGAAATGTGGACTTCATTACGTTGTATAGGCTTGGCCCCCAGAGTGCGCTTGTCAGAGTGGCTCCCAAAATTGATGAATAAATGTCTCTTTCTACTGCCTGCTGTGTGCTGTGAAGTAACACTAAACCGGATGACAGGAGGAGGAAGAGAGCGTATCCTGAATGAAAGGAAACCGGAGTGGCCGCCCGGCACTCCCGCGCTCTCTCTACCTGGTGCTCAGTCTTGCGCCACATTTCCCAGCAGGAATGTGGCGCTAAGATCCGTCATTGTCAGTGTTAAATGAGCATCTCATGGTCACTGTGTTAAAAACAACTCATCCCAGAAATGGAGGTTTAGGTTGCACCAACAGGTACCACCGGGGTTTGGACAAAGACGGCTCTGTTCTCCGCTCAAATCTGACTGGGAAATGGGGCTGCCGATCAACATCTGCTCAAACCATTGTCAGTTTAAAAGCTGCAGAACCTCACTCTAAGTAAGTAAGTAATCAATCTTTTTTTATATAGCGGCTTTCTCAGACCAGAGTCACAAAGAGATTTACAATAGTTATTTTTGGGAATTTGTGTCTCTCACTCCACACAGAAAACGGAGTGAGGTCGCCAGTACAGGAGGCGACCTATTGTACATGTTTTTAGTGGTAGGGAAAACGGAGCACCCGGAGGAAACCTACGCAGACACGGGGAGAACATGCAAACTCCACTCGGAAAGGTCCTGTTCAGACCAGGATTCAGCCACTGTGCCACCTTTAAATACGTCTTGCTTATTCCAGCAGAGATTGGAGTGAAAGTAAAATGTACATGTATTGTTACCAAATATGGCACAATGAAATACTAGTTCTGGTCCAGTTTCGGTTGTGCACCAGAGCAGGACCAGTGCCCGTTACCATAGCAACACCATTTATACAAGCATTCATGAGCTTATCAACTCTTGTTTCTTGTTTTCTCAGTCAGTCTAAATGGGAAAAAAAAGTGCCAGGTTCCGGCATTTTATGAGTGGAAAATGAATTAGGAACCAGCCTCAGGACCGGTCTGGTGGAAAAAGGGAAACAGCCCGATGAGTCACTATTTGACAGTTTGGGCTGAGAGCTGATCTATCATCTGATGGCTGCGTGACCTCCTGATGAATGAAAAACAATGATCAATGATGAATAAATCTCTAGATCAGGGGCCAAAAATAAATGCATTTGAAATATAGTTCCATTTGTTGTGCTTGGAAAGTTTAACGTACACCCACTTTAAGTAAAAAAACATTTTTTTATCTTCAATGAGCGAAGGTTTGAACTGGATGTAGTTTTTAGATCGCATGCAAGAAATAACAATGTTTCCCGAATGCTCTCCCAAGTTTCTGAATTCATTTCCAAGTTTTTGATTAAAGATTTTCCCATAGTCCAAATCAATCACACGAGCAAGACATCTGTTGTATAATTCTGAAGCTGCTTATCTCCTTTTCATCACAAACGCAAACATGAACCAAAACAATTCTCCACTTGTGTGACCTCCTAAAACCGAGCTTCGTCATTCAAGTTTTCAGACATTTCTTTCAATGTTATTCTTGAAGAACCTGATCCAGAAGTAACTGGAAGAGAAAACAAAACATTCTTTGAGGCAGATGAGTAAACAAAACATAATTGGACAAAACAAGACGACAGTAGTGAGAAGATTTGATATTTCCTTTTGAAAAGCACTGAAAGAATGTGTCCCGCGGGTGTTTTGCATCTGAACTTTTAATCACACTACTGGAATAGATTAGTCTCCTTTACTTTTTTGCAAAAGATTTTATGAACAAGAAGCAGATGATCTCAGTTCTTTAATGATTGTAGTTTATTTCAGTAGTCTTTCATGGCAGTAAAAGACAACACTTAAGTTTGCAGTCCCAACATGCAGAACAATCATTGAATAAATTAGAACATAAATCCAACATTAAAATAAAAGTTATAGGTGCAGTATTCTGTAAAGTGGTCAACACTCGAGAGAGAGTCAAAGTACAATTAGCCTAACGCTTCAGAGAAAAGTTTGTTATCCATTCATGCAGCCCACAACTGACAGACAGCCACGTGTTCAACATGGAAATAAAAGCAAACAGTCCAAGCCTTTTCCACAACAACAACATTCAGCAGTTTGATAAAACCATGATGACAACCCAACATGAAAGAGTCAGAACCATCACTAAACCCAAGACACAAAACAGAAGTACTTTGCATGAAGAAAAAAATATTACAAACATGAACACAAATAATAAATTCAGATACCAGATTTCAGAGTCCGTGACTGAAAAGGTACATCGAGTGCGTTGTGCAACATCTTCCATCAAAAGGAGCTGAGCTTCATATAAACGGTGCAGACTGACACTTGCCCCTGGGGGCCATGCATCAGCACACGCAGCAGGCGTAAGGCGCAGGCGGACTGCAGCAGGTCTGCGCCTCCACACACTCAACAACATGCAGAAACCTACACATGCACATGCAGACACACACACCACCTCATCTCCCATAGGGAGGAAGAAAGCAATCACACAGACAATAAGTACTGTTATAAATAAAACAAGCTGTTACAATATTAATTATAGTAATAATAACAAGACATGAACAAAGCTAATTTTACTCTTTCAAGCAATCCTAATCTGCCAGTTTCTCAGAGAACAAAAGTTACAGACAGTTCATTACAAAGCCAGTCAATGCAAAAGTCATACATCTCCAATATAAAAATACAAATCCACAAAATAACTATAGAGACAAAGTAGTTTTGATACTGACGTGGAGTTTCCTGGCTAAGTTCTCTCTCCCTTGAGCTAATGGCACTTGTGTTAGAAGGTCAGGATCTTCAGGTGTAGTTAACATTACCAGTGAGTGGAAGACCACTGCAGAGAGCCGCACATGTGCCACAAGGCGCTCAGTCGTATCACATCCTACAAGTGCAATACTGCAGTGAGTCTTCACGTGTGTGAGGAGCACTGTCCTAGGAGAGCTGGCTAATCTGCTCTTGGCTAACTCATCTACGAGGGAAGGTTACGTAGGCACCGTTGTGATTGTTTCAGACAGGAGTGACATGTGGAATGCTAGTATGTGTGGAGCAGTAAGAAAAGTGGACAGTGTGGCATGAGACTACAGCTCTGAGGGAGTGACACAAACAAAACAGGCACATTTGTAACATACATCAAATATTCAACTAAATTAAAATATGAAGGCATGAGCATATGTAAGGCTTTACACAATAGATGCTTTCTTAAGTGCAAATCAAAAACAAACATGTCTGCGCTGACGTGGTCCATTTAGTGCTGGAATACACGCACAAGTGTGATTACATTTGGTTTAACGTTTTCCCAATTCACTAGTTCTTAAACGATTGTATACACGACTGCTCTTTGGCAATCTTACACAAGTCTATATCCTCGTGGTCACTAATGTTGTACAATAACAGTGTCAAAAAAGCAGCTCATTTGAATGGACTTGAAATATGTGAACCTTTTTTGGTCTGGTCCTTCAACCATCATGTCTTAAACCAGTGCAAAAGGACTGACAGTGAAGAACATCAGACCACAGAGAAAGCACAGTGCTCGTTACGTCTGCTGGACATGACAGCTGAGCGTGGATGTGTTGTGTCCCGTTGTGTTTCCATCGCACATAACTACTCCTCTGTACTCTTTATTTCACTGATAAATCCCTGTGAGGCGTAAGGGCGCATGCTCCCGCCGCACACCAGCGTCTCTCGTGTCCAGAATCAGAGGAGGCGGCTCCGAGGCTCTTGATTGGCTGAGCGTGGAGGCCAGGGATCACCAGGCGTTGCTCCTCTGCTTGGTGGTGTCATAGGCCCGGATCACCTCAGACTGAGACACCACGCCGTTTTCATCTTGGGAAAAGGCGTAGCCGTCTGTGAAAGACAAGACACTTTCAGGAACAGAGCAGGAAAACAAACAAGGCCTGTAGTCAGAACCAAAAGCTGCACAATGGGGATTTTTTTCCTGGTGTTTCTTTTCTCTGGGATTTCCATAATATGACAATAAACTTGTCATCCTGGAGATCTGTGAATAGACAATTCTTCCTTTATTCATGTCTTTAAATAAAAGATTTGTGAGCAAAATATGTGAAATATTAATAATTTATAGTTGTTTTACAGTATAGTGGTAAGTGTCAAGTTTAGTCGCAGCTGCCCAGTGACAGATTGCAAAACTACCAAAAGTGACACCAGACCCTCCAACCTCCATCCAGAAATTTCACACATACTGAAATTCATACAATCCAATGAATTGAATGGTTCGCCTCAAGAAACAACAATTTGTCAGTTTGGATCCAGAGTCGTCCCACTGTGGCACCTGGTGTTCAAAGTGGTCTCCCATCAATAGTAGCTTGGCCTGAAGTTGCTTAGCGACTGAGATCCATGTAGTAGGCAATATACAGCAGAGACGAAAGGCAAGATAAGATAATGCCACACTGTTCTGACATATAAGGGAGAGTTAAGTGGCTTTTTAAAACAAAACAAAACAAGTTCATTGATGCTTGATCGTCTTTAGTCTGCCTTAAAGCTGCACTAACTCTAACTCTAAAATTTTCGAATGTGAGAGCGCTGGCCTCGCTCTTTCTGCTCCCCCTCCCCGCACTCACGAAGCTATCACCCCCCACTCCCCCCTTCCACTCGGCCTGTTCTCAAATGCTAAATGTATACGGAGCTCACGTCTCACAATATGGATCGCACATTTGCACGTGGATGGCGTGACCATAGAATGATAGAACTGGGAAGTGCGGAAGAACGAGACTTTCTTTTGGATGGCTGTTTCGCTGTGTAAGCAGTAACCGGTAACGAAGGGGAAGTTTCAGGTTAGCCTCCGCCACTTGTTTACCTCAGCTGTCTGTGCTAACAAGAGACCAGAGGCTTTTCTCAAGAAAGTGGTGCCCAGCGGTCCGCTGTGATTGGTCACAATCTGTTCCCGAAACAAATTCTCTTCCTTGTTGCACAAAAACTCGATCTAAAATAAAATGATACGCCAGCACAAATCTGCGCTACTTTTTCTTCAAAAGGACGTATGTCCCAATGCATTGCATGGATATGGATTGAATTTTCGTAATGAATGCAAAAATAAAGTGAGGTAATGCAGCTTTAAAAATAATAGTTTTATAATTAGTTTTATTTCAAGCGTAGCAGCATTTTTTGTATAATTTCAGGTTTTATTTGTCAGGAGTATCGTTTGTCTGGAGACAGGATTGCACAAAAACTACTGCTGACATTTGGTGTGTAGATGATAGATAGATAGATAGATATAGTGGATCTGTGGTGTTGGCGGGGTATGCGCTCTCCGGGTGCACCTTCTAGTGTTGTCCCGTTTACGTTTGTTCCATACAAAAAAGGCAAATCGTATTCACGCAACACAAATTCAGATAAAGAATACTCATTTCAAGCAGCCATTTCCGAATTCGTATCTTTTTGCCGTACACTATTTTCTAAACCCCTACGTCCTACAGCCTCAGACTCCGACTCACCTCCGGGCGTCAAATGACTTGATGAGAACATGGAGACCAGCGGGTGAGTTCAACTGACCACGCTGAGACGTGTGCATAGTGGGGGAATAACAGCGCAACAAATTTAACCAAACGATAGGAACACACAGATGCAAACGGAGAGAAAGAGAGAGAGATGAGGGAAGGTCGGAAAAAGTGGCGGGAAGAGAGGCGACTACGGCTAGAGGAGCGAGGTTACTATATGCTCTATCGCTAATTTTCTAAAAGTTTAAGATGGGGAAATAAAATGTACAGGGATTACATAATTATGATTTCATCCCCACCTATGAGACAAACAGAAACAAAGTGATGAGACACGACACGGCAAAACAAAAGATGACAAACAAAAAACACGCACAGACATTAACTTGTTTTAGCCGGACTGCTTTCTAAACAAACTCGCCTCGGCCTTTAGTTTAGTATGAGGTAAGTAGATGTAACGTCCAGAAGAGTTCATTTGGGAAAAACAGATATTTCCGTTTAGAAAAATGTGTATTCCTCTTGCTACAATCTTCAACATGTTTTGTTATTGGCAGTAAATATGAAAAAAAAAAAAAAAAAAAGCTCAAGTAGAGGTGAAACTTGATATGTATGGCATTAAAATACACCTGGCTTTTCAAAAACTACTCTGTAAAGAACAAACTGTAAGCATTTCAAATTGTCTACTTTTTTTCTACTGTTAAGATAAGATAGGCTTTATTGATCTCACACTGGAGAAATTTACATGTCACATTTGGCAGAGATAGAGTCACTCTGATTGTGCAAAAAGACAGAAGTGTGCAACATGTTGAAGGTTAAAATTATAGTCTGTGAAGGATATAATTATGTACGATAAAAAAGTGGCAATAAATGAAATGGTGGCTATAGTAGCGCAGGTTTTTCAGTCCTAGTGCATTGTTACTTATCTGTTTTTTGCAAATGAACTTTTCAAACTTACAAGATTCCTCAATGCAGGATTGTGTGAGCAGCGGTTCTCAGTCTGTGGTGTGTTTTTAGCACTGGTGATACACAGATGCATTTTTTTTTTTTCGGGGAATATCTGCAAGAGTTTAGAGTCAATTCTGTGGTTCAGTCCAACTCGAGATCAGGGGAGATGGGGATTGTTCTCACTGGTACTTTCTCCAGAGGTCGATAGATACTTACTTACAGATGCGGTTGCCATTTCGGGGTAATAACTTTGAAAATAAATAAATGTGAAAAGGTGAATTTGCAGAACTTACGGAGCAGGTTTTGCTGCAAGGACTCGGAGCGGTACAAACTGACGGTGCTCTTCTTGAAGACGTTCTTCAGAAGCTGGGCTCGCTCTGTCAGACTGCACAAAGATGCTCAGTTTAATGACACATCCTCCACCTGCTGCTCTCAACACACTCACATCAGAAACACACTAAGGATTATCTGCAACTTCATTCCCCCATTGCATTTATGAGGTTTTAGTCCCTGCGCAGGTTTGACACAACATTTAAACCAGCATTGACATTGATACCCAGATTATAGTAGAGAGGAAATACAATTTGTTGTTTGATTAAATTGGTTGAACTATTTAGTAATCACATAATTAAGTATATTGTTAAACGTGGGCAACCTAGTTTAACTATTTCATTATTAACACATTTTGTGCGTGTTCCAACAGAAAGATTTTCAAGTAAAATGTTACAAATCAGTCTACACCTGTTTGTGTAATGTGAGGCATAAGTTCCTACATGGAGTTAAAACTAGGACCCAGAATCATGAAACTACTACACTCCCAGAGCCGTCACTTTGACTGCTCCCATTCAAACCAATAGAATTTTGTGTAATTCCCGCCAAAAAAGTTAAATTCTCCACTTTACTTTTTACGAAGAGCTAAAACTAGTGTAGCTAACTTAAAACACAGAAATAAACAGTTTGTTGAACGCTAACTTGAAGCAAAGAAATGGTGTGTTGCTATAGTAACTATGGTAACAGACTGCTCATGTTTATGACAATTTCATCATAATAATAGCGTATAAACAAACTACATATAGAAACAGAAGAAATCACAAAGTTATGAAGACCAAACATCTACATATGAGTAATTAAACTTCCAAAACTAAAAGCCATCAATATGACTGCTCTGGGTGTTCTAGTGTTGAGAGCTGATTGGCTGAGTGAGGGTGGACGTTATTACATGGTTCCATTTTGTATTGGTGGAAAACTAGGTAGCCCAGCTTTAGTCTAGTCTCACAAAACCCCGGCCCGATGCTGACCCTAGAATGCGTGCAACTGCATATGACTAAACATGGGAGGTCCCCGCTCCTGAACTAAAATGTTTTTTAACGAGAAGAATGAACGCCTTCTTCTGACATGATCACCAATCTCACTGTCAAACTACAGCAATTTAGCAATTTTAAAGATTTTGCCTTTCCACGTAATAGCCAAATTGGCATGGCTGCAGAGTGCTTTAGGGGAATCACAGAAGAATTTGGGGTCAAACAAGCTTGTTCTCCAACTTTGAGAATTGGGAGAGGAAACATAATAATGGGGTTTCAATAATGACACAGAACATGATTTATTACAGTTTGGAGCCGAGTGGTAAAACTTTGTAACTAGTTCATTTGTTTGTCCATTCCAATACTGCTCATATTAGAGGTGGGCCAAATACCACATGCCTAAACAATAAGGACATTTACAGTCTATTGTCTATAATAGTGGGCTCTGGGTAAACAAAGAAACAACTAAAATATCCAGCTCTGATTGGAATAATGAGATACTATATAATTGTTTCGATATTGTTCAACAAAAAACATTAAAAATTCCTATCATTTTTGACCGCGATACATCTTTTTAAGTTGGAATGATCTGATAGTTATTCGTTAAATTGATCACCATTGTTACAGTCAAACATTTTATATTCCGTTTTTATAAGATGAACATTTTTCATATAGATTGCACAATTTGAAGTCAAAACATACTTCCCATAACAATTACTCAATCACCAAATTCGATTATTGAGCCTATGTGCCAGATTAGCACCACAATAATTGCTTGGATGTGATTAAACAAGCCCTATATCTATGACATTATACTTTTATTGTTTTGGTTTTACCTTTTGCCATGAACGACTGCTCCGGGGTCTTTGGATAAGGCTTCCAGCTCCTGAACCTCATCCACCAGTGTCTTGAAGCAAACCTTTTTCACCCTACGGACAGAAAGACACAGCATTCAGACAGAGCTTTGTGACATATGCAATCGCCTGTGCGTTGATGTCATCCAGATTTTGTGAGGAAATTTCCCATGGATTTTTGAGCGAAAGCCCATAAATTTTGTTGAAAAGTCAGTGAATTATTGAGCTGCGTTGGGAACAGATAGCAGGGAGTTTTTTTTTTCCTCTATGGGGTCGTCTATTGCGGTGATGCCGAGAGGACTCACACTTTGTAGGCCACGTCAAAGACCAGAGAGGTGACGGGGATGAAGACCAGGCCCATCCAGAAGACGCCGGAGCTGAACATCTTAGTGGCCTGAAACAGAGATCCACTCACTGTCAGGTCACCGTGCTCAAAGGGACAGGCCAACGCGTGGTCAGATAAAAGCCAGTCCCTCAAGGGGGGAACACCTGATAATGAAGCATCCCTTATCATCTGCCATTGACTTAAAGTGAGAGGGTCGGCTGTTATAGAATCTAGAACACCTGTGGATTACTTTCGTACTTTTTGAACGTTTGGGAGAAAGGATAAAAGACCGGAAACAAGTCTGTGGTCGTGTGAACCAATTCGGTGTAAAGACATTACAACTTGGGGTGGGAATTTATACGATTTTTTCTTCACAACAAAGCAGTAACATAGCAGCAGATCACAATAGCAATGGATTACTTTATCAATATATGCCATTTGTGACTTGGCCGATATCTATATGCATCACCCAAAGAGAAGTAACAAAGCACCACAGTGACACAGGTGGCGGTGAGAGTGGGGATTTTTTTTTTTTTGCGCTATCCCTAGATGAAAAACACAACTTTGAGCGGGTAAACAAGAAAAGTTGGCATATGTCACCTTTAGGCCTAAATAAATTGCTGTTTTGGGGGGAAATCGACACCCTATTAAGGTGTTCAAAGTGCTTAAGCCCCATGACTAAGTGATCCCATGTTTTTGTATGGGTCTCCCTCAGGCCACAGGAAGCACCTTATGCAGTGTTTGGAGCTCGATATCAGCTTCACAGGAAAACAGCTCGACTGCTCAATGCATCACAACCCCCTGACGGCCCGTTACTGCGCACAATGCAGCGGCCACTTGGTGTTGGTGGGGGTCTGACAGGCTCAATGTGTGGACATCTACCCTCCTCCGCTCTTATTTTGAAATGCTAATTTAGCTCACTATAACAGTAGTATTGGTTTGGATGTTTAATTGACATTGTATATCTTTCCTTTACTTTATACCAGAAAATAACCATTGTAAAATATACTTGGCAGTCATAATCATTGTAACTTTAACTATTGTTTATTTCCATATTTTACAGTGAAATGCAACACAGTTTAGATAATAATAATGAAAAGGAAAATTATACAAATAAAAGTAGATTCAATTTATCAAATCCATCTAACTAGAGACTACTACTAAGACTATCTGTAGGGACACACCATTTTATTTACGTATGGGATAACATATATTAGGTACCCCAGCTTTAAAATGTTCCATCTCAATCTTTTTTGGAAGAATTTAAAAACTTCAGAGACACAATAAAGCCAAATAGTGAGCAATATCTGCTGCCACGGGTCTAAATAATGTGTCCGTCTGCTTTATTATACTGTATATAACTGGATTTAACGACTGTAAAAATACTTCTGACACTCACGCTCATCATGTGGACTGGACATGGTAAAAAAGCCATCAATTCTTAACATCTGTAACTGGATGTTGTGACGGAAAAGGGACACAGTCTTTTAGCGTTTAGGGTTTGGATGGTGTTTTCTTTGGCTCGGTGCAGTGAGATAATCTGTCATCACGTGTCAGAAATGCTAACTTGCGCTGCATTGTAATGTGGCCCTTGTTTAAACGGAGGCCCCACAGCATTCTTCCTGTAATCGGACACACTCAGTAGCAGAGGCCGCGGACACTGACGCTGCTATCAGTGTCTCATCTGGGATAATCCGCTCACTATTAAACTGACTTCTAATTGATGACAAACCGCACAGGCCACTGGATCACTCAAATCACAACATTTCATTTGAGAAAAGTTTGAATAGATTCTGACAGAGAGAGAAATATTTAATTGGATGCAACTTTCTGAAAAAAAAAATATGTATCACATTTGGTTGAATAACCCGACTTTACATGTCTGTGTTTAAAATACATTCTCCTGTACAGTTTTTACTATCAAAAACGTTTCCGCTCTCAGAGTTGAATTCATGAGTTCAACTTTTGGTCGTAGGAGGCTTTTGTAGGATAGAATTTAAAACTAAAATCAATACACCTGAAATCATTACAGTTGTTACAGATCAAAGCAATTGTGTGCCTTATTCAGTCACTCCACACACTGTGGTGGTCAGCTACTACTGTGGCCACAGCTGCCCTACCGCGGACTGACAGAAGCGGAGCTGCCACACTGGTGGTACCTCTGGACCCTCGGACCTCCACACAGCCTTCTCTCACACACCAGACTCCTTCAAGGCAATGTGGTTTTCCAAAGGACAAAGAATGAAAGTAAGTAAATGAAAAGATTTTTTCTGCATGCCTTTTTTCATCTAGGATTTGAAATTGTGCAGCCCCGGCGGAAACATTTGCCGTTTTTGGGGTCATACGTCAGTTTAATTATTTTCACTTGTACAGTGCATTTTAATGGAGAATATCAAGACGCAGAGAGAGAATTTTCTTTACAAATTAACTTTTGATGTGTCCACAGTATGTTAAATCAAAGTCAGGAGCCTGGCTCCAAAAATAAACCATCAAGTCTTCCACAAGTTGAATATAATAAATACTGTAAAGCTTTTACATATAACAGAACACATTCTTGAGCATAATAATAAAACTCACAAATATTCTCCTTTATAGATCAGGAAATGTAACTACTGTATGCATCATAATTTAGAACAAACTTAGATACATTTTCAAATAAACATGTTTAAAGTCTACAACTTCCATCTGCTCTGCATCTATCCAAACTTTACCAACTAAAACATTAATTACTAGGGTCAATTAACTTTAAACTTTTAGGAGCCCGCAGAGGCCCTGAATATGATGTGATTAAGAATAGGGAAAGCACTCACAAACAAACGGTTTCAGAACGAGCGATACTCTGAAGCAGGATGCTGTGGTTAGACATTTCACAAACATAATATAATCTATAATGTACCGAGACTCAAATGTACATATTGCCTTTACCGATAACAACTCTACTGTTCTTATTTACAACACATTTGGAAATATTCAAACAGAATGAGCAACACATTTCCAAATTCTACTAATTAAATGAGCCTGAGAAAATGAATAAATACCAGAATGGTCACTACAGAAATCCCAGCGTCATTAATGAAACAGCCTCTGCAAGTCAGGGCAAAACCATCTGCTTAAAAAACAACAAAAAGTTAATTTTTACCAGTTTGCAGTAGTCCAAGCTTTTTCCTCCTCACCTTCTTATCATTCACGACAGCAACATATGCACCAAGACAACGCTTATTTTAGTATACGTTAAAACGGACACAAGAGCCAGTTATGTTTTAGGAGCATTTATAACCAGAAGCTAAGCAGTGCAGGGCCTTGTTAGTGCTTGCATGGGAGACCACAATGAATACCATTTGCAACACTCTTTCTTCAAGTGAATATGGAAAGTGAGAATGATTGGTGAAAGGGGCCGATTTATGCAGGTTGACTGCCTCACTCACATCTGTCAGTTTATGATGCGGCAGCTGTGGCTACAAGAGGACTGGGCTCACCACCACCATGTGCAGAGTGACGAAGTAATGCAACGGAAAGCAATTTAGAGTGTCACAAAGCACTACATCCGATGCCTTATTATTATTATCAGCTTTATAAGAAAGGGTCAACGCTTTTGACACAAATCAATGTTGTTTTGTGAATCTGCAAATGATTTTCAACAAAACAGATAATGTAAAAAATATGACCAGATAATACATTTAATATAATTTTCCAACTGTTCTGCAGAGCGTGCCGAGCTCATGGCAGCCTTCTTCACCACAGTCGGACTCAAATGTAGAGCAGGAAATGGAATGTGAAACTATAAAATTGTTCAAAATATGGATCAAATCAATCCTGGTCTGAAGCCCTTTGTAAAGTCTGAACATTTTACCATCAGACAAAATGATCAACTCATGACGACAGGCCAGCACCAGAGCTCCACATGGGGGTGAAGGGAAACGTTAGCCGCTGACTGGTCGCATCAAGCGTAAACAATCCAGAAGAGGGAGGTGGAAAAGTCAACTCAGATCCTCCAATGGGTAGTGTTCCTCTGTGTCATCTAACACTGCAGAACATACTCATTTGAATGTCATTTAAGGTCCAGTTTAATTACAACATACTTTGAGGGACTTAAGATTCTCTCTACTACTACTACTACTACTACTACTACTACTACTACTACTACTACTACTACTACTACTACTACTACTACTACTACTACTACTACTACTACTACTACTACTACTACAACTACTACTACAACTACTACTACTACTACTACTACTACTACTACTACTACTACTACTACACTACTACTACAACTGCTAATTCTACTGTACTACTACTACTACTACTACTGCTACAGCTAGTACTACTGTACTACTACTACTGATGCTAACAGCTAAAACTTCTGCACTACTACTACTACAGCTACTACTAGAGCTAATACTACAGTACTACTACCACCACTGTCATGACAATGTGGGAGAAAATATGCAATTACTTAAGGAATATTGATCGTTCCACGTAAAAGCTGGGTTACCAAACTTAAAAAAACACAAACAATTGAATGATGTAGAAATAAAATCCAAGTTCTTGGCTCTCAAAATAGAAAAGCAAAAGAAAGCAGACCACCCTCACTCAGCCAATCAGCTCTGAGCCCATTGCATCAAATAGTGGCTCACAGTATACAAGTATTAAGATGGAGACAGCATATTGTCGATTGATTTGTTTAGTTCAATGTATTCCAGTCAGTATTTTTGAATCCATAAATCTTGATACATCTCCTTTCACAACAGTTTTGTGAACACACATCATGGTTCAGTAAAACATGAGAAAAATTTGGGTGGTTCCGACATTAACTTGAACTACAAACAAATCACATGTTTCGACTTAACTGAAAACGCCCAAATGTTCGCTATATGGCATTTTTTCCATATGTTCCCCCTAAAAAATAAACTACAATGAGAATGTATAGATGTCTAGAGGCCGAAACGACATTAAAATAAGTACAGCGTGTTTTGAAGAAGGGTAAACAATCACAGATCAAATGCAGCAGTACAGAAGGAAGGGCAAAAACGTAAAACGCAAAAAGTCCCAGCAAATGTTCACATCTGCTTGTAATTCTTCTCCCATCATCTATAAATCATACGCTAGATGACGGACAACACAAAACAGCATATTGCAAATTGAATAAAATACAATTTGTCCTGTTTATATAATGTCAAAGGTGTACATTGTTAAAACAGTGCATGGTTTTGGCAAAGTAAAATGTTGTTATTCATATTAAAGCTGAGAGTTTAGCCATTCATCTAAATTATGTTCCCATATTTTGACAAAGCTCTGACGGGGACAGACTTTTATAGATCATTATGAATTATTATATTATACATGACGTTTTTTCCTGTACTCCCATAGTTCAAGATGCTGAAACAAATGTGTGTTTAGGATTTTACAAATTGTTTTACAAATTGTGATTTCAGTTCTTGGTATTGTGTTTAGTGGCTGTCTTTATTTGGAGCATGTTGTACAGAAGTAACTAAGGCGATTACCAACATGTGTCTTCCTTCAATGAGAAAATAACATACTTAAAGGTGATGTGAGCAGCTTCAATTGTATTCATTTTTTTTGTAGATTTTAATTGCATGACCCTGTGCTATCAAGTAAATTACCTATTTTTCCAAAGTAATATATTTCAAATAGTCCCTCCTTTTGGCATAACCACAACCAGTAATTCGCTGAAGGAGAAAAGTTCGACCACTGACAAGGATTTTAATTAATATTGTTCGATCGGGAAGTTGTGAGGGCGATCATGGGTCTAACTGGTGATTGCACTGGACATTTTCTGTCTGTCCTCAGTTTGAACAGAAACTGACATTCACTTTAACATAACTTAATGTACCAAATACAGTTTTAAGAATATTCACCGTAAATGCATAAACTTGTGCCGTGGCAAATGTAACTAGGTCTATATATTGTGGATGTTCCTGAATTTCTTAGAATGTGTTTCCCAACTGGGACACAAGGGTATTACGTGGGGTACTTATACAATTATTTTCAAAACTTGCAAACATTGATAGTGCCCTGACTCTCGGGTACACAATGTTTGAGAACCACTGAACTAGAGAATGAAGCCGAGAAGTGCCCGCAGTTCCCAAAGAGAAAAAATTGCATGCATTTTTTTTCACAATAATAAAGAGGGAATACAGACAGTTTGGAAGAATGCCTGATCAGCAAATGGGGAAAATTAAGACCTATATGTTTTTGAAGAAAAAATACAATAAAAACATGTTTAAACTCCTATGGGGATTTTGAATTGGGAAACCAGGGTGGACTGCATGACTTGATATTGGTACGTGCAAAAAAGGCTCTTCTGTGGCTAGATGTTGCACCTGTCCCGTCACCAGCACAGAGAGCATTCCCGCTGATGTTGATGAATGCGTGTACATGGAGCCAGGCGCTGCTAAACGTCTGCTGATGAGAGAGTGGTGGTGAGAAAGAGCAGAAACAGGAGCAGCTCTGGTATCTGTTATGTGCCTCTCCCTGTGGCGCTTTGCTGCTCCAAAAGAAAGTGAATACAGAGTAGGGCTATACAGTCGCCTATGGTGGCCTCTTCTAAAAATCAAAATAACTGGCATTCAGGAGCAAACAACAAAACACTGTCATAAAATCTCGCTCTCTATCTCTAGTTCTCACATGCACATAATGTTGGCCTCTGTCACATCTTTAGATCAGCTTTTTCAGACTGAAATGTTTAATAAAGGGGGGCTATTCTGTCTCAGCCAATCAGCTCACGTTACATGAATTTTATAATGTTGTTCTGGTTGTTTTTTTGTGGTTGGAAAGTTAGATACCACCGAGATGCACATTGATAATCACCAATCTTCTCTGCTGGCATTGAGAGCTTGTTTTCTAAATTGGTTTGTTAGCACAGCAAATATGCACTGTTTATTGGCATTATGTTTCCTAAAAACGTTAAAAGGAACATAAAGAAAGAGGACAAGAGGCCCGGGAGCTTTAAAAACACTGTAAACGTTGCCCGCAGATGAGTGATAAATGCGCAGCCTGATTGGTTTTGAGCTCTGGGGCTGCCGCGTGTGATGCCGTCTCCAGTTTCTGAAAGATGTGTCCCCGTTTGATGATGCACTGGTATCAGGGGCCGGGGCGTAAGGTTACCCCTCTACCCACAGGACACCATTACTGTCCTCGGTCAAGTGCTGCAGGCCATGGATGAAAGCAGCATGTTTCACGCTGAGATGAGAAGACGGCAGAAATGTAGACTGCTGCTACTACTACTGCTGCTGCTGCTGCTGCTGCTGCTGCGTGCCTGTGTCTGTCTAAGTGAGTGAAGGAGACAGGGCCAGAGCGATCTGAAGAGGAGGCTGAAGACGCTGGTATGTTGCGTATGCGACAGGCCGACTGCTGTCCTGATCTGATCGAGAGACATTTAGCAAAGCTCACTCAAACTAATTATATCTTCTATATAATAATAATAATAATAATAAATCTGTGTTATATAGAACTTTTCAAGACACTCAAAGACGCTTCACATGCTATTATTCTTTCACTCTATACACAGTGGTGATAAACTACCACAGTAGCCACAGCTGCCATGGGGCACGCTAACAGAAGCGAGGCAACCAGTATGTGCCATCGGGCCGAAGGCACATCTGACCAACACCAGAGTCATTCTAGGCAATGTGGGAGATGTGTTTCGACTAAGGACACAATGACAGTTTGGCGCTTTACAGCCGCAGCCGCCCCACTGTGGAACCTGATGTTCCCAGAGGTCTCCCATCACAGTACTAACCAGGCCTGCTTAGCTTCAGAGCTGCTGTAATGTGTGAAAGTATGACATTGAAATAACCCCACTGAGGGTAATAAGATCAAGATTTATCTTATTTTAATAGGGCACCAAACTTTCAAACTACAAAAAGCTATGCACTATGTAATAAAATCCATCTATGTTCCTAGGTCTGGTTCTATCACTAGTTTCACATGCATGTATCTTTTTCAGACTTAAAATCAGATTTTTCTCAACCCAATGTGTCACTATTTGACTCTTTGGGGTTTATTTTTCTTTTTTCCCAAAGATAGCCTTTTACAATAGTTTTATTTTTTTATGAATATAATTTTTTTTTTTTTTTTTAAACCCTTAAAAAAGGGGTTTTTTTAATAACCAATGCTGCTTTAAGTTTATTGTGCTTCCAATTGCTTCCATAAAAACCTTTATTTTAGCAAAAACTGTATCGGCCCATTCATTTACTTAACATGTATTGCAGCACTTTATTAACTCTTCACCTGCTGTTCTCCTTTGTTACAAATACTGTAGAAAAAGCTCTTGGCCAAATGTTTATCTGGGGTTAACTGCATCTCATTCACTGCCAGTGGGGGGTTGAGGTCCAACGCATAATGAGAAACAGCACTACCTACTCTAGAAACTATTCTTACATTTGGTTAATATAAATTCAAACATACTCAAAATAAAACTAAGGTACACTTAATCAGAAATCACACAATCCACACGCAGGTCTAGTTTTCTTTAAGTCCCGAGCACAAAGTGGATCACATCTTTGCTTAAACGGCCTCAAATTCTCAGTACATGTACCCGGTGTCACCTGTGGAGACTCAGAGTAGCAGAGGGCAGAGAAACACAAACACTGGCCTAATTAGCCCAATTATGTCATTTCAAAACACAAGCCAGAAGTTTGACAGTTTACACCCATCTGGCTCACCTTACAAAGACCCACGTCAAGCAGCTGACATCTCCCACTGAGTCTGAATCTAAAGAATCTGGCAGAGTTTAGGTGGTTATAGGAGAGGGTTGTGTGTGTGTGTGTGTGTAGGTGTGTGTGTAATGTGCCTGTACGCGTGTAAGTGTGTGTGCACATGCTAGTGTGTGTTTGTGCGGGCCCGTGTGCATGCGTCTGTGTGTGTGTGTGTGTGTCTGTGTGTGTATGTCTGTCCGTGTGTGTGTGTCCGTGTGTGTGTGTGTGTTCAGGTCAGGCGATTACCTCTCCGGACATGTCGGGAGCCAACGTGATGAGCGGCCAGAGGGAGGAGTAAATCAGGAAAAACACCACCCACAATGCAATGCTTCCCCAGATGGCAATGTGACTGAACTGTAGACAGGATAGCAGGAGATGAACATTAACACAAAAATGTGAATACTATTTGCCATTTCACAAAGCACAATTTCAATAGGCTTGTTTCTTACCGTGGTCCACGAAGATGTTTCTAGACCAGCTTTTAGACAAACTGTGATTACCACAAACTGTATGGAAAAAAAACAGAATATAAAATGGCTATAATGACTTTCCAGTGAGAATAAAGTAGATCAAAGCAGGTTGTCACACAGAGTAAACCACTCTGCAGACAGAGCTGCTGTCACCAGAACTCGAGCACTTACTGTGTAAACCATGTTCCCCAAGAGCAGATAGTCTGGAGTCTGTCCACTGCCAAAAACCGTGTCTGTAAAGAAAATTCAATAAAACGCTTTTGGCGCAGTAATATACAGAACAAACTAGTAACATTGGTGTGAAATGTGTCCAATGCACATGAACAAAAAAACCTAAAACCAGTCATTATTTCTTGGATTTCTTAAGGAGAAGAATGATAACTTGTCTTTCACAACTCTTAATATCACCAGTCATCAGTGTGACAGAAAAGTGTTATTACAATAGGCGTTTCCTAAAATACTAAAGGTGTAATTAAAATACCAGATGGGTTGGATCTACAATTACAGCAGAGGATCGGTGTCAGTAACGGTAACTGTGTGTGCTTTACTTCCGGCTGATCACATGTGTGTGTTCGCGGTGTGTTCGGGGCCCTGACAGCCTGTCAGTCAGACTGAAGGGGCTCAGTCCCTTTGTCTGCAGCACAAGCTTGTGTGGTCCTGTGTGTGGTCAGCCTGCAGCCCCTGGCTCAGATCATCTGCTCTCTGCATGAAACTAACAGCCATGTTTGTGGTCACCGTGAACTTCCACAAGACATTTTTTTGAACAATGTATATTTTTAATGTATTTATTGCATCACAAGTTGGTGACAAATTAATGGCAAATACCAAATGTATTTGGGGGAGAAATCTAGTACACTTGAAATATAGTAAACATGGATTCCTGCTTGTTAGAGTATGTCCTTCGAGCTGGAGAACACACATGTTTGTAATAGGGGAGCATTGTAGCAGAGAAGTAATTAAGACAGAGTATGTGAGCCTGACTGTCCTCCCTCTTCATCCCAGGCCCAGTGCGCTCTCAGGGAGCTACTTACCATGCTGGAACGCTTTCAGGGGGAACCAGAAGAGGATGACTGAGTGGAAGAGGCCGTTCAGACAATGGGCCCAGAAGACCTGCAGAAAGTGGGAAGAAAGATGGAGGAGAAGGGGTGGGGGTGGAGAATCCAAAAACAAGGCAGAGAGAGAGGACAGAGGGAAAAAGAGGATTTGAAAAGAGTGCGAGGAGCTCCAGCCTACCCAGTGACCCCTAACCCCTGACCATTGTGCCAGCGCAGCGCTCGGCTAAGTGGCGGTTTTGTTGAGGCCTCCAGCGTGAATAGCCTCCCCGCTGACAGACACGCTGTATATCCTCTGAGTGTTATGAGCGAGAGAGGCGCTGCAGAGTGTGTGCTGAAAGAAGCGCACAATGTTGGCCTTCAGGTTTAACTTTATTTCTTTACGCTAAGCTTATTTGAAAATTTGGATAACAACTCCGGAGATGTCTAGTCTTTCAATCAACTGTAGGGTCTCGCGCCAGGACAATATACAACGCCATTCATGCAAATCCCACCCAGCCTGGCCTCCCACAGATGAAACACTTTTCATGGTGATTATTAAAAGTCTGGAAAAGAGTGCGCCTTCACGAGACTTAAGAGTTCCTTCATACCGATACTGCCAATCCAAAACCACCTTGTTTAAAAAGGTTCACTATGCAGCGCTGGAGCCAAACACAACACGGCATGGGTGATGTAGCATGTAACAGCCGTGAAATCTGTCCGGCCAAGAACGCCACTTCACGGCTGCCCTCTTTTCCTCCGCCGTGCTAACCCAGACGCTGGTGCTAAGGATACATCCGAATTCAAAGGACAATTTTGGCCGATGGGAAATAAAAACAAGACGGGAAAACATGGCTGGTCTCCATTTTAATCATTACTTCTTTGCCAGGTTTAAGAGCCCTAATAAAATAAGACGTTTTCAGATTCATGCAGCTAAAATCTGGAACAATCTTCCTGAAGATGTGAGACAGGCCTCCTCTCTGACAATGTTTAAAACCAGGTTAAAGACAGTTTTTTTTAGCTGTGCATACAACTGAGGGATTTTATATTTTTATCTTTCTTTTCAATGTACTGTGATTATTTATGATTCTTGCCTTGCCTTGACGTTGAAACTTAAACCTTAAATCACAATATCTTCCATTTATTTAATTTGAATAATTAATTCGAGCTGAGGAACTACCAATATATCTATGAAATAAGATCCATGTCAATAGTTCCTGGGTCTAAAGTTTCTAGTTGTACAGTTTTTACATGCATACTTATTTTTGGCCTCTGTCACACCTTTAGATCAGCTTTTTCAGACAAAAAAGTAAAAAAAGAGAAGACCACACTGCAAAAAGTGATGAAAAAAAAGTCCAAAATGGCTCAAATCTGCCAATGGGACAAGCACAATTATCTTGCTTTAAAAAAATACAATAAATTTCTCCCTTGGAATGAGAAAATAGACTCACCCGTTTGCAAATCTCATTTTAAGACAATCAGAATGAACTCAACTTAAGATAAAAACCACTAATTCTAAGCAATCGTTGCAACATATTTTATCATTTTTTGCAATGCACGTTCACTCACTCAATCTCTCAGCCCAAAAAGCCAAAGAATGACTAACAAGGCTCTTTCTAATAAGTATGCACAAGATAACATGTTTTCCTAATTGGATAAAGACAGCATGTTGTGGTCTGATGGCTTTTTTCGGTTGGGACAAACAAGATAAAAAGTGATGTACCTCAGCAGTTGAAAGAACAAATGCTGAAGCTAAACACAGTTGCAATGGCCACCACCCTCCTAACAAGGATTACCTCACTCTCCCACTGTGCACACAAACCCATGCACTGGTCGGCTGGTGGCTGGAAAGGCCCCCACCCAGGGTCGAATCATCCCTAATGTTGCTGAGCCATATTTATGCCAATTAGCCTCCAGCTGACAGGATTATTGCCTGGTGTTTACATTGTTCCTACTGTCCCAGACGCAGCACCGCAGGGGTGACGTCCCGTGCCCCTTATCCCTCTCCATAATGAATGCTAATGGAATCAACAATGTTCATCATCATTTGTCACAGTGGGATCTTTTACTTTAGCCAACACCTTTTTCCCCACTACCTTGTATCTTGGTGTAAAAAATAATAATAATTCGAATTGGATGCACTCTCAATTGACATGAGAAGTTAAAATATAAAAAAATACGCGGAAAATTTGTATGGCTTTTTCTTATTTGCAAAGTCCAGATGGGATAATCATAGACAATCATATCTCTAGCTCTGTGATGTCAGATATAAGTTTTTGCATTTGAAAACCAAGACGAAAAACGCAGTGCCATTAGAGCTGTTGTTTACAAAAGTAGTAGGAGGCGATGCTAGTTTGGATTCTTAAAACAGATACCAATACCCCAAAAAATAATTTACCTTTGGTGGACCTGAAGTTGCTTGAATGATCATTGGTTATTTTACCCAAAGCAACATTTGATGAGATGTTTTGATTATGTGTGTGATCACGAATAATTAGAAAAAGTGGTAAAAAAAAGTCCAATTAACTAATGTATTCATTGGCAAACCGATAAACCAATCGGCCCCTAGTTGACGTATTTTATCATGGGGGGAAACCTTGGAACATGTCACATAACCAGGAGCCCACCTAGCCACTCCCTGCTCGCACCTCAACACAAACAGCTTTACTTCACAAAGGCCGTATCTGTTGTGTACAAAAGAGCCAGGCGTACAGAGGGACAGGCGGTGAGGGGCCAAATTCCTGATGGATTTTCTCGCCTTGCCTCGGGCCAGCTGCAAGGAAAATATCTGGGGAAGAGGGTGGACAAGCCAGCAAAAACAACCTGCTGACCTGGCCCAGTCATCATTTATGCCTGTTGGAAAATGTGGCCCAAACAAAAATGAAGGTTTGTGTTCATTCTCGGACAAAATAGTGTCACAGACGTTGATGGGAATAAAATATTGCATTTCGACAAAATAAATCATACTTTTGCTGTAATTAACTAACAATCCAGAGACCACCCTATATTCATTTGTCTGTTCCCTTTTGGCTAAAGCGACCGAGCAGAGACGTCCTGCATTGCAGAAAAAAAACTATATGGATATTATTCAATCAATCAATATCCATTCATTGGTTTTAGAAGGGAGCAAATTACAGTTACTGTTTTAGTGTCCCTCCACAAGCTCCCTGTGCGGTTTAGAATTGATTTTAAGATTTTACTGATTACTAGGTCTGGCTCCAAGCTATATTTATGAACTTTTAACCCCCTACAGCCTTAGATCCTCAGGCAGGTCCCTGTTGACTGTTCCAAGGTCGAGGCTCCGGACGAAAGGTCTGGGCTCCTCGGCTCTGGCACGACCAGCCCGAGAAGATAAGGCTGGCTCCATCAGTATCCTCTAATAAATCACTTCTTAAAACCCACTTTTAATTGAATAGCCTTTAACCGAAAGTTTTAAACTTCACATGTTATTTCACTGTTCCACTTTGTCTTTGGTTTGTTTTTTTGCTTTTCTTGTTGTCTGTCTGCTTTATTTTGCTGGATTTTTTTTTTGATCTGACAGTTTTATTGACTGTTATATGCTGACTGTGCAGTGTGCAGGGCTTTGTAAACACTGTTTTTTACAAGTGCTTTACAAACAAAGATGTATCATTTGTATTATTATAATTATCATCATCATTATTATTATCATTATCATTATCATCGTTATTATCATTATTATCATGATAATTATTATGATTATTATTATTATCATTATTATTAAGAACTATAGAATACACTCAAAAGTTACATTTTGAAGTAAATGAATTTACTTAAATCAACTGTGAAAAGTCATATCGTACGACGAGGCCTCTGATGGAACCCCTAGTGTTGTTCGGTTAGTTCCACCAGACACGGGTGTTTCAAACTAGATCCGACAGCCTTGCTCAGGGGACAAACAAGAACTCTCTTAAACAAATTGCATAATTTTCCACAACAAAAGCCGCCTCACAATACGACCACGCTCTACTATTCCCCTTTTAGCCCGATCCTTTTGCCTGCATCCCACAACCTCCTGACCTCTGGTGGCCTTGTCCGCCATGGCTCCAATCCTGTTCTAATCCAGCAGCACCGGAGCTAACCAGGTCACCACGCCTGTGAGGAGAGCAGCCAGCATGACGACGTGAGGAGACATCTTTATTAGCAACGCGCAAAGTATCAGAGAGCGCAGACACGGCAGGTCGTACAAGGCCATCACACAGACACTGTTTGGAGACGTGAGGACTGCAGCTGTCAGGTCAACGCTGTGACATCAGGCCTCAAGGCATCCATGAGCACAGGCAAAAGTCTGAATGTCTAAATCACTGTCAGTGGGGCTGTGTCATTAAGCAAATGTGTAATGGGGATTTCAACTACTGCTCTCATCAATTACAAAAATGGCTGAGGATATGAGCTATAGTTTTACTTGCACAACTAGTTAAGACAGTCATATCTACACAGATTCTTGCAGAGAAATGTCTCAAAATATGTCCCAGGGTCTTCTCCCAGTGGGACATGCCTGGAACACCTCCCCAGGGAGAAGTCCATAATCACGACTGCAATTACGGCTCAAATAATTGTGATTATGACTTTTCCCGTCATCGAGAAACTCAATTGTGCAGCGCATATGCCTCATTTATATATTTATCCAATTACGAGAGGGGATAGTCACGGAAGAAGTACATTTATTGAATTATTGTAATGGCATTGGTTAGTTAGGTTTTCTGGATGGATTCTAACAGTCATCTTTGTATAGATGTTGGAGAAACTAAATGTCTGTCTGTATGAAATTCTTACCTTTGTATTGAAACCCATGGCGTTCTGTGAGGACTTGTAGAGTTCAGGGTACTTTAACATGTTCTCTTTTCGGCACGAGCGCTCGAATATCCCCAAAGTCAGAGGCGGCAATGCGGTAAAGAGCTGAGGGACAGAAACAAAAAATTAGAAGATCATTTTTTTAGGTATTATTGGCAAGAGAACATGAGTTAATGCATGAAATAAGGCATAATAGAATACAAAATTAGCATTAATGATGAAAGGCACAAAAAACTAAGCCATTAACAGCATGCGTTCTGATTTTTTTGTTTTATAAAAAGGCTCTGAATAGGACTGCAATTTCTGTTTGACATTTATTAGCTTAAAATTAGACTTTTTGCGCTGGTGCTGAACAATTCATGTCTGGTTTGGAAAAGTTGATCACTTCTTTGTCATGTTATAAGCTACTAAATTCATATTAATATTGTAGATACTGTGTAGTAGTCACTGTGGATATTAACTTTAAACACTGTCTTTTGTATTACTTCTGTTTATCATTAAAACAGTTTTGTATGGTCCCATTTAAAGCAATGGTTTGTACATTTCTCATCTACTTAAAGAAAAGCAGGTGGTGGACCCTCAACCAGAAAAATGACACATTCGCACTTTTAAAACCGAACATCTGTAATCCTCTCGACTTAGAAGCAGGTATTTACTGCAATGTAATTTCTGGCCTGTAAACTAAACGGGCCTGTATAGCAGCTGCCGGGAGAGCATTGTATTGTGAGGGTTTGGGGGCTCTGCGGGTCAGTTGGTGTGAGACCCCTTTCGGCCCATCTGGAGTGGGTGTCTACGGCTCTGTGCAGACGGGACCATCGCTTCACGGGACATGCTTCACTGGGCTCCTTTCTCATTCAGAGTCGGGCCCAGGAAGGTCTCCATTGAAGGGTGGATTCAGGCCACTGCCTCCGACAGACTCCCACTGAGGTGAAGGAATTCCCTCAGTTTCGGGACAAGCGCAATAGAGCCCATCCAAAGCGGCTTTAATATAATATATAAAATACCTGCGCCTGTGAAAATACCCTCCTCACTCAACAATTGATGCCTCCCAGAAATGACTTCCATTCGAGGGCGGTCGATTGTTGCGTTTGGGAAATTTCATCCCACACTTTTTTCCTTCATTTCTGTTTATTGAAAGAAACGGGGTATCATAAACTGTTTAAAGTTAGATATAAACTCCTTGTGGGTGAAATGACATAGTATTTACGATCAAACTAGAAAATACACATGGTCCACCTCTTCTAAACTCATGACAGATTTGAAATACGAGTTCATTAGGAGCGGTCCCATTACGGAGCCCTGAGGGATTCACCACATCAGCAGCTTTTCGCTTCGTTCCTTCTATTCTTTTTATCATTCAAAAGAGTGAGCGGACATTGCTAACTACACTCTATGGGGCAACCAAAGCTGTTGTTCTTTCACATACAGTACATTTTTTGGGCCACAGAGGGAAGGAGGACTTGACAAGGGGTCATAAATAAGGGGGGACGCTGATGACATAGTTGCGCAATAAAATTATCACTTTTGGGGCACCGCAGAAAGTCAGTTTTACGTCAGCGCAGAAGATCAGAGCGGGTTCTTTGGAGGGTATATGTCAGCACTTACCACATTGTACAGGCCGATGCACCAGCGTTCAAACAGGATCTGACCGGAGAAGCCATTGACAAATGCAAACCAGATCTGGAAGAGGAAAACAGACAGAGCAGAGAATTAGAGCAACAACATAAACAATGCTGGTTAGATTAGAAATACTTTACAAACAAGTTCTTCCTTGAGCCTTTAGGATAACAGTCATATAAACATGTAAGGAAAGTTTTTGTTCAAGCAGCAATCGGCCATTTTTTTTTTTTTAACCAGTCCAGTACATTTGTATTTCCATTGTGTGTTGTATCTATCCTGTAAAGTATCCAAAAGTTTAAAGTGCCCAAAAAGGAATGATTGAAATATGGACCCATCCCAAGACAACCTTTCCTTAAAAATCAAACTCACAAAAATTTACTTAAATGGACAGGAATATACAGATTATGCTAAAATTAGGAAGGCGTATAATTGGATTTTAATAGAATATAATTTAAATATTTCAGTAAAAAGCGTTTTTGTTAGAAATAAGTTAGAACTGAAGAAAATATCTGTGGGATCCGGACACTGATAGACTACACTGGCATTAGAAGGTATAATTTGTTAAAGTCAGCTCAATTCAAAGATTAGGTTTTCTGTCACAGGAGCCCAAACTTCTTTCTCCACAGGAATACATCTTCCACTTTGCTGTATTTTCATTGCCGGTAATCTTTGAAATTATAAAGTAACAAAACTGTCCCCATTTGCCTAACTATTAACTATAATCTGTGGTCTGGCTCTTGACTTCCAACCCAAAAGAAATAGGAAAAAACGGGACCACCAATCATTACCTAAGAAAAGAAATGTGAATTTATCACCGGCATATACTTTTTGTCATTTCTCTAGCCCGGCTTTTCTCTCCCTGACGGGCCTGGTGACATGTTGATGACGGACAGGGTCAGTGTCAGGGCTGAGACTGAGCGATGGGCTTTCAAACGCTGTGTCAGAAGAAGGAGACAGTGGTAATGTGAACCATAAGCAGCAGCCGGCCATCTCCATTTGTCACACTTGTTGCACAGAAACAAAAACATCCTCAGACTAGAGAAAGGCAAGAACTGAAGAGAAGATTTAAGAACATGAAAACTTAAGAGTCATGAAAAGGGCAAAAAGAGCAATATGTTTACAGCAACTTTCTTATGAATACCATTTTTCTCGATCGATTTCCTTTAGACCCGTCTCAAACAGGCGGCCGCCGTAAATGTATTTTTTACATGGGCTCTTTTTGACAACTTTTGAGAGTCTGTGCAAACATGGCATGTCATACATCGTTTTAAATTTCATCAAGAAAATAACCACGCAATTTATTTTATCATAAACATTTAAGACTGAATGCAATAAGCAATAATTCAAAGGTACACATGCACCATAGATACAATTCTCCGAAGTTAGTCCCGACCAAGCCGACTGCTGCACTTTTAGCATTTGGATGTGGGGAAAAATTATGTAAGTAGTACCAAGTGATCCTTCTGATACAAGGGCGGATATTGAAAACTATTTACCTTATATCTGTGAATATTGTCAAAGCCGATATTAGCAGAAGTGGGCCTTATAATGATATTTAACCTTGGAAGTAATTTTTGAAAACCCTGCGGTGTCCAAATTGTCAAAGGAACATCAGGCATGCTGTGTTTTGGCCAAAGACAACCAAGAATCTCCTCACTTCATTGAACATCATTACAAAGGCATGAACTACAAACAAATGTTCAGATTGAGACAAAGGCAAAGATGCAACACACACCGTGTGACCAATAACACAATTTCCATATAATCACATTAGAAACATCTGCATACGGTGTGAATGACGGCCCATTTCTTACTCTCAAAGCTCAGAATATCTTTACATGATTTCTTTGTGAACCTGAGCAACTGATAAAAAATTCCACCCCTTTTGAATCAAGTGCAGTCTAGCATGATGCGTTTTCTTCTTGAAGACGGCAGGTTACATTCGGGGAGTGGTACGTTTTTGGCATAGCCTGATAAGCGGAGGTTATGCTTTGGTGAGAGACGCATTGCAAAGTCGTTGCTATGGGTTATGTTTGATGCATCTGAAGCCATGAGGCAGGTTGAACCATTAGCGTGGCTTGAGCAGCGGTAACGAGGGGCTAGCGGGTAGGTCAAACTGCTGAATTAATTACAGCACGTTTCAATGAGAGGCTCTGGGCTGATATTGTTGTGCTAAGTTTAAAAGGGTTCCTATTCATAGCATGTGGTAACTGCCTCAGTGCAAGTGTTTTGGCCTGGACTTCGGGGTCCGAAAAGCGTCTCCCTCTTTTCTTTCTCTCTCCTGGCCGTCGCTTGAGAGACAGATGCATTGATTTGCTCATTAAGGGAAGTCCCAGCCAGGACTTTTCTTCCTTTTTTATCCTCATTGAGAGCCACTCAGCAGAGGGGAGTGGCTGGCCTCTCTCCCCCAGTGCACATCGTGAAAAACAGCAACGAACGAAAAGTGGAAGCCAAGAAAAGGAGGATTGGGTAGAGGCGATAAGACGACTTGTTGAATATTCAGCAGCAGCCAATAAAAAAAAAACACACAGATTCCAAAAATGCAAAGCTTCAGAGGGAGGGTCTGAAAGTATCTGGTGGGAGCGTGACATTTGTCCCCATGATGCAAGATTTGATGATCTTTGTGCCATGGAATGGGCAAGAGACTGGGCGTAATGCAAGTGTAGAATAAAGGCTGCAGAAAGAAGGCTGCGAGAGATGATGGAAATATGCAAAAGTACAAACGCAAGCTGTGCGCCTATGGCAGGCAAAGTTTCTATGGTTTCATTCAGGGTAATAATAGTCGGAAATCTCCACAGCTAATGTAGACCCCATGGAAGAGCTTACCAGTAATTGCCTCAAAAATACAAAAATAGCACTTGTCCATCAGGGCTTCCAGGAAACGTGTCAGTCAAACAAGAGAAGCGATTCACATCATTTATGAATTAATGTTTTCACGAGAAGAGAGAACAACATCAGAATGTACCTTACAGTGGAGCTGTGAACACAAAAGTTCAAATCTGCCACTTTTGTCCTCAGGGAGTCAATGGGAAACATGCAGCACAGAAGTAAACCTGTTAGTGATGCGGGTAAGCATGGAGAGGTATTCTACACTTAATGGTGCTATGGGAAACCAAGGTAATACAAAACAGGGGCCTTTGGAAAACGGAGGCTGCCAAAGAGTGAAAAATGTGCTATTATCTCATTTCAATCCCCTGAGGGAGTTTTACAGACTGATGTTATGTCATTTCAAAGGAACAAAAGGTGTGCAAGACAGACTACACATGCACTATTACAAAAAAATCCCTTCCCTCGGACATCAGAGCAGTAGAACTCTTATAATAACAACAGCACAGGCTAGGAAGTGGGAAAAAAACAAACTTGCAATAAAACATTGATCAAATTACAAAAGCTTATGTAAAATTGAGTCCATTAATATCAGATGAACAAGCATATGTTTTGAGGATGGAAGACTGAATTTGATACAAGAGTAACAAAAACAAACATCGAGGAATGTGCACACTTTGTTCTACTCTCTCACAGCTTTTTCTAAAAGTATATGTAAATGATAAATATACAATGTTTGCTGATTAGATGGTGTGTAGTGGTTAGATGAAGATAATTTACTATGAATATACAAATTGAGTAATGCTTTTTTGTTGTATTACCTTTCAGTATCCACAAATTAAAGTATATTTTAATGGTCGACAAGTTAAAGAATAATTCAAACTGTTCACAGGGTTGTGCAAAGTACCAAAAATCAATTAATAATCAACACTAAAACTAGTACCTAAACTGGATACTGTATTGAGCAAGTAGATAATAAATACAATTACATGAACCGGAGTGTATCAAAGTCTTGATAGATTGAAAATATATCAGAATTTTTTAATAACTTTATGTACAGTATTCAGTAAGTGTGCATTCAGAGCATTCATAAACAATCGCAAAATTAGTACTGAGTAACGAGATGTTTTTCTAGTAAATAAAAATGAGTTTGAAATGTATTTTTAAAGACATAGTCAAACCATTAAAGCCTGAAACCTGATGACTCAAGGATTCTAAACAGAAATACATTGATTTTCTAAATTGCACAATGCAGTTAACATTCCAATACAAGGTTCAAGGCATCTGGGTTGCATCTTACTGTCAATGTTGTTTAAAACTTATGCTTATTCATGCTTATGTTCAACACTTTTGCATGGGCAGAGAAGAGCAGATCCATATCAGATCTCAGCTGTCAGACAAGTGCAGCAGATCAAGCCGTCCCAACGCAGGCTGCTGATGGAGACTTAGACCCAGACGCACAGCCACACACGCCTGGTCTCAATCACAGACTTGCAAACTCGCAAACATGATTTATGGAGTAAACAACTTGTGCCATTAATATGCAGCCGACTAGTTCTTTTGAAAAAGCTTTCAAGGTTTGGTCCATTTCTGAGAGAAGAAGGAAGAGCGACGTCAAGGCTGGTGGGGCTTCCAGGCAGACGTCCAGTTCATTAGATAATTTTCCTTCATTACTTGGTGTGTTTGCGTTTTCGGTTCGGCCAAGTCCAAACGGTGAAGTGAGACCATTCATAATCCTCAACGGACACCAGCAGTCATCACATAAAAACATGGAAACCCCAAATAAAAAGTTCATAGGCTTTTACGGCATTAAAAATGAATCACGTGTAAATCTCCCTGTTATAAACTAGAGGAGTCACGATTGTATTAGTAGTAGATAACGTTTTCACCAAGTCAATAATTGTTATAATTCTAATTGATAATTCTGGTTTAAAAAAAAAATTATACTGTACATCGATGCTGAATTGTTCATGAAAAGTCTGTTGGCTTGGGTTTCATGGTTTGTATTGTCTGACTAAGCTATACAATGATCAAAATCCAATAACAATTATATGTAATGATTGACTAGTTATATACATATATATTTTTAGATATATATATAGACTGATAATTGCAGTCATTAGAGCCCTGCACTTGAGCCCTAAGCCCGAGGACCATATAATTACCTCGGACACGGGCCGGGCTCAGGCACTTTTATTTATTCATTTTCAGAGCGGCAGATTACATTTACGAACGCACTCAATAAATATAGCGTTTTGAAATTATTATACTGCAAGCCAAAGATTGAATTTGTTTGAGCAATATACATGGAAATAACCACTCAGTGTGTGATAATAATAATACAATAAACTAAGATGCCGATATGAGCATGATGCATACCGTCCTGGTGCACACTGGGATCAGTCTTGCCCAGTTTTTCCAAAGTGGTTTAACTTGAATCTTGAAGGCATCTTAGGCAAAGTAGTAGAAGTCGTCACTAAAATAACTCGTTTTGGGGCTTACCTCAATGATGTAAAGCACGATGTTCTTGTAGAAGCAGTACAGGATGCACTTGGCCACGCGGTTGTAGTTCCAGGCGCCATGCACAAGCAGCAAATTCTTCAAGTATTTGAACTTTGAGGGGGGAAAGACAGTGGAGGAAAACACAAAGACAAATGATTAGCTCTGGGCTGTGGACAAGGTGTGAATTCTAATAGTTCATCGCTCACAAGCTCTTATTACTAAATACCCGTTTGAAAAATCTCACCAGCAATCACAAGTCATTATGAGGAAGGCTGAATGACTGATGATGAGTTTCCCCAAAATAACCCTCCCAACGTCCAATAGTATCTACATTCTGCAAACAAGATTCTGGGTTTCTGAAGATGACACACTAACATTGCTCTCTAAGGGTAAAGTCTAATTGTCGAATCGCTTTCCAATCATTTTGCCATTATCGGTAACAACAATCACTTTAGAGGAGAGGCCAGATACAAATGTTTTCCGGTAAAAACAAAAAAGCCGACATTAGACTAAACTCACACGGACCAAAGCAGAAATGACACGGAAAGATGAAAGCACATCACTGGCACCTATCTGATGTTTGCGTGGTGGTGGGTTCAGTCCGACCTTAGCTGATGACAGATGGACTGCAGGGGTGCCTTAAGCCACGCCTTTATTCCAATAATATCTTCCAAAATCAAAGCTAAATGGATAACGGCAAATATATTCATCTTAGAAACTAAATTACGCAGAACTCTCTAACCACAAAGGCTTTCGCTGATACCTGGGGGTTAATACATCTCCGCAATTACAGAAAGTGGAACAGGAAAACAAGTTACACAACCACCCAGGATTGATTTTTTTTCTTTGCATTCGGCAAATTGCAGTAAATGTACCATCACGCAGACACATCCACGAGAGTCTGCGAGCATAACTTTATTTCAGCTTAAATGAATTAGCGGAAGGCGAGGGGGGGCGGCTTGTTTGAATGGTGCACACTTAAACTTGTCATGTGGATTTAAGAGGGCACTTGAGACTAACCCTGGCCTCTGGAATGGGAAGTTGGACGCTGGGGCAGAGAAAGTTTGCTGTGAACCTTTCGTTTCCATAACTTCTGAACCCTAAAGGAGAAACATGAGGCTCACCGCAGCTTGTTATGCATTGACAGAGCTACAGAGAAGGGGAACTCGAGGCTTTTGTTGCAGTCTTGTATCGCGTATCTGCATAAAGACATGTTGCCAGGGCATAAAAGTACAAGCATTTTAATAGCGTACAGCCTGGATCTCTTTCTGTGTTGAGAGGTGGGTATCAGTGGGTGCTTGTTCTACAGGTGTAACTCCTCCACTGTGTAAGCTGCAGCCCTGGCAGACATTTGAGCCATTGTCATCAAGGACAATGTGTCAGGATATCATAACCCATATCACACTTGAGAGCATAATGACAGGAGTGATTGCCGCAGGGACTTGGTTTTTGTGGCTTCACATTTATAGAAATATATTTATTTCGATATCATTTGTAAATAACTTTTGTTTGTTTGTTCTAGACCGAGATTATTTTCTGTATTCTAGATTCTGACCGTTTTCAACACTATTCTTATGTCAAGAAAGAACTTTTTTGCCAAAGTGGTATAACAAAATTTGCAAATGTCGAGACATTTTTAAGAATTTCAGTTTTATTTTGATCAACCACTGTATAATATCAACTAGTAACCAATGAGTGTGACTAGTCAGGTTATATGGAGTAATGGGGTTTGGCAAGGGGGGCCTCTCTCCATTCATAACTGGAACGTAAGAATTAAAAATACGTTCAAACCCGATTCATTTGAAAGCACTTTTTTAAAGAAAGCACTGAAGAATTGAAGAAGTACGTGGAGGAGAGAGAGAGATACCCTCAGCACAGAGTGAGTTATGGGAGAGAGGTGTAGGGTCAGAGAGTGTTTAGGTGTCTTGTCTGAGTGAGTACTGTATGTTTTGTGTTGAGACGTTGGCGCAAAAAAGTGTTTCATCCAACACCTTTTCAAACTGTTTAACCGTTTATTTTGTATCCTGCTTGTAATTTGTCGAGTCTGAAAGTTTGAAAATAAATAATGATGATTGATGTTGGGAAGTTTTTTGAGAATACGGCGAGAAAGCAACACGACAGACAAAAACGTGAACTTCTCTGACTTTTAAATTTTGGTACTCTCAGTGATCTTAAGAAATGTGTGGACCAATAGGGTATTTATACAATCTACATTATGTTGAAAGTTTTATTCCAAAATATGGACAAAATAGAACTTTAGTCTGAAAAAAGATACACAACAAAAAAATCTAGTTTGTTTGTTTCCATTCTTAGGGCTTAAATACTCGGTTGATCCCAGCATGATTCAGCTCAGTGGTACAGAGCCTTACCTGCGCAATAGAGTAGTCGGAGGAGTTGCAGGCCTGCAGACCCTCGTTCCCTGAGATCCCCACCCCCACATGAGCGGTCTGGATCATTCCCACATCGTTGGCTCCGTCACCGATGGCCAGAGTGATCACCTTGACGTGTTTCTTCACCATCTCCACCACCTCCGACTTTTGCAGCGGAGAAACTCTGAAAGACAGGAAACCGGTCCAGTCATTTGAGTAGGAAAAAACACTGCATGTCTGTTTCATACAAGTGTGCAAAGCAGTGCCAAAGAAAAGGTGGTCCCGTATACACAAAAAGAGAAATGAGTGGTACGCCTTCATTCTTCAGCAGAGCACGGCAGCATGATTGGGGTTTGCATAAAATAACATTAATCTTATAAGAAATTCTTCAGATCAGCACTTGGCAAACGCAAAAGCTCTTCCTTGACTTTGAACAGTAGGTTGAAGCATGCAGACAGTAAATGAGGACCACCCTAAAAGTAAATATGGTGAAACTTCTAATGGGCAGTGTCTCCGTAGAGGTAAGGGTGTACCCGCCAGTGTATCAGTTAATATAGTGAATTGATATCATTAATCAGGTCAAAATGGTAGAAAATTATATTGTTTTGGGAACTTTAGAATTAAATTCAAGTCAATTTGAAACCACAAAAAATAAATAAAACCCATGTCACTATTTTCGAGCTCTCAAAACTGTTCTATCATTAGTTTGCACATACATGTATTTTAGCCACTTCTTCAGATCAGATTTCTCAGTGGAAAAGACTCATGCAGCCCTCATTTCTGAGTATGTAAAATATTGAATGTTATCTAATAAGATAAAAACATCAGGTCGGATTTGTTCGCAAAATGTTACTTAAACAGGAGAATGTATTTTCAAAACAAAAAGTGTTGTACTCCAAATGTAATATTGTCATTAATTTGAATGATAACACAACGGTCCAGAGATACAAATTGCTTTTATTCTCCCTCTAACTTTAACTTTACAACCCGCTACCCACCTCCCACACTGATGCTTAATGTGACCAAGGTTTTCCCAATGATGAATGAACCAGCAAGTCCTCGGAGATTATGTAGTAAACTGCAAATCTGCCTGCAGGTGTAAAATGGCTCAGTTTAAGCTATTTCTTTGGTATTGTCCCAAATAGTAGGACAAATAGTTGAGGAAGTGATAATTTGCCCCAGTTTTAATCAATTGTAGGGACCGGAGCTAAACGATTTAAATCATGGGCTTTTATAATAACACAGAAACTTAGTGAATTAGTAAATTGCATTGATTAAAATCCCAATGTGTTAGTCTCGCTGGCCTAAAATGTGTTACAGGAGTTGCCGACATACTGTATCTTTCTTACAGACAAAACTTGAAGAGTGAATTTTACCTGCAGCATATGACCGCTTTACACGACAAGGCGAGGTCAAGAAAATATTGTCGCACTCCGAAGGTGAGCGCGTACTTTAAAGTCTTCCCATCAATAATGAGGGCAAAGTCGTTTTCCTTGTACAAGGCATCTCCCAGCATTCCACAGTGATGGGTCAGGGTCTCGCGTGTTGCCTACGAAAAGAAGGAAAACAAGGTTAAAGATTTACACACCTAAATAGAGCAAAAATTGGAGCTTTGTTGGAAGTTTGTTTGTCCCATTTTCTTATATGACCACGACATACTGTCTTAATGTTACTAGAAAACATGCTAAATTTGACATGCTTGTAAGAAAGAGCCCTGGGAGTCACTCTTTGACACTTTGGGCTGAGTTTTTCAATCTGAAAAAGCCAATCTAAATGGTCCTTAGAAACTGGGGTGCTATAAGATAAGATAAATATTGATATTGATCTCACAATGGAGAGTTCTCTCACTCCCAAGATGCTCAACTTATATTTCAAAGAACTGCAAATACATTTATGACTTATAATGTTTGTGGAACGCCTTCTTATGGTGCTTAAAGCTGGTATACCCAATTTTGAAACAAGACAAATGGAACTATGTATCCAAACCCATTTACAGTAACTCTAGTTTTGGTTTTACATGCATGGCCTCCCATGTTCAGATCAGCTTTTGCAGACAGAAAAGTGTGCAAAAGATAGTATGTTTCCAATAAGATGAAGATAGCATTTGTTCACAATATTTTGTCCTTTATTTATTTATTTATTTCAAAACATACACTAGATGTACCATTATTCACAGAAAAAAAGAAGAAAAAAAAGCAACGGGATTAGATTAAGTACTAATTTACTTTTACAAAACTCTTCCTGTTGGGACAAACAAAATGTGGTATTTTGTTGCAGTCTTATGTTGCAACTATGACATCATCGCTCCATCATTTCCCCAGATGTTGAAGTCATTCAGATGAATCACAGTCACTCCAGGTGCATTTGCTGTATATTATCACAATCATGAGGAGAACATATTCAAATGTCATTACACAAGTACCTCATAAATGTTTCTAATTGCAAATGAAATGAAATGATCTACCGAAATAAACAACAGCTGTAAATAGATTCATAACATGCCATTGCTTGTGTACAGGAGACGTTTGCATCGGTATCAAGCTCAATGTGCTACACAGATGCTTAAACAGCTGTAATCATTAGAAAATAACTGGCCACGAGCTCCAGTGAAAGCCGGAGGGGCCCAGGCTGGTGAAGGTCAGAATGTCAGCGCCGGCAGATTGTACCAATGGGACCCTACAATGTTCCCTTGGCATAACAAAACTCTGAAACCCCAGCTTTAGGGAAATATTTGGAGAACGGGGCTTTAAATTTCACAAAGCAAAAGAAGGGAGAGAGACACGCAAAAGAGATGATGGATTAACGGTGGAGAAAACTGAGCAAGAGGATACAAGCCTAGAGCAGCTGTGAGGATTTAGACTGTCCTGATATGTAACAGGGCAAGGAGGCGGCTGAAAAAGGCAGGAGATGTCATTTAACCCACATTAGTCTTACAAACTGTGTAGAGAAGGATCACTTAGTCTAACATCTAATTTATCATATAGCGCGCTAAGTAAAGTTTACCATTTGCTCAAGTGCAAAAGCCATTTTCCCCTAATTTACACTGAGGGATTTTAGCGCTAATGCTGCACGTCTGCTCCTGAAGACCTGATGTTATGGCTACAATGACCAGTTTAGTTTGAGTCTTTGGTTTTGGAATGTGGCAGACGTTCACAATCTCTAAGAGCTGTCCATACAGACGGAGCAGCGCTGTTGACATCTCCTTGAGTGATATCGCCAACAGGACGTGACACTCGAGATGTGGAATCTGGACGTTTGTGGGATGAAACGTCATCATCTGTCTTACATTTGAGGCGCCCACGAGGGGAGACTTAACTTAAGTTAGACATGATGTTCACAAATAAGACTGGATTACCGGTTTGTGGCACTTCAAAGGAGCTTTGTTTCATTTTATTTTATATTTATTTGTGCTGTTAATAAAATATTGTGTTTTTGTTTAGCGGTATAGTGTGTCTTTGTGTGTGAGATATAGCCGCATTTGTCCATCGCCACGGTGATGCCACCAGTTACAGATCATGTCTGTGGTTTCGCAACCTGCTCACTGGAGGAGCCTCACTAGAATAAAATGATCAAAAAAGAGCAAAAAAAACAAAGCATTCTCAAACAAGTTTCAAAAGACCTCAGGCAAGCCCTATGGAATTCAGTAGACATTTTTATAAATTTGTTTAAGCACTTTATTTTTGTGGCATAAATTTAGTTTTTAGTTTGAATATAAAGTATGCAGCAACTGATCGAAATAGAACATTTTCAAATAAATCCAAAAGGCCCCCATTGGACCTTAATGCATAGATTTGAGGATTAGGCCCCGTTTAGACTGAGAAGCTGCGACAGTAAAAAGGTCGAGTTGGGTATCGGTTTGGCCTCCTGTTTACATGGAGACTGGGGGAGGGGGCTGCCTGCTATTCACCACTTCCCTGCACGTACATGTGGACATGTGCAGTAGCAGAGACAAAAACGTGAACAACAATGGCAACAGGCTTCGAGTGCTACTCCTTCGTTCGTCCAAACGCAACCCCGCGAAGCTATAGTTCCAGTTTCCATTTTCACTGTTGTTAAATGCAGAATTAAACTGGTGCATTCTTTCACGTCTTTGCGACTGCTACACTGTTTTCCGTAGTCATCTAAACGCTCTACAGGAGCTTGGTTGTTTTTGCTAATTGTTTTGCAGCGTGTCCACAGCGCCTCCATCTAAACAGGGCCTTGGGTATCTCGACCGACTCAACTATTCTTAAGTTTACAAAACATCCACTGCACCTCCAACAGCCTTTCAACTGTAAACAAGTGCAAATATCAGAAGTGGAAGTCATGCTTTAGAAGTCCAGAACAGACCCAAACCTAATCCCCTCTTTGATAACCAGCTCTAACAGTAATACTTTCTCTTCACAAACGCAGACTTGAAACCAAACGTAAACGGCTTTCTCTGCCTTTTTACTTACAAACCGTCTTGTGTAAGCATCTGCTCAACCACAGCAGAATGGGAGCTGACATTTCAAAGAGCGGGGCTTGTATACACTACGCGCCGGCCCCGGACTTCTACCCCGGCTCCATTTATCACAGCAAATGAGTAGACGACAGACTGAAAGCTGTCCGTCATCACCCCCACCCCCTCCACATCCTCTCCCCCGCGCGCTGTGGACTCCTCTGGGCTACATTTCAGGGCTTAAGCCGTCCCTGCTCCCGATGCTGGAATGATGTGCCCTTTGCAAATGTAGAAACAACAGACAAGACGGTCCTGCTGGGGGGGTCAAGGCGCTGCTCTGTTGGGTGTCTTACAAAAAGTTCAGTGGAGATTTGTGGATGCGGATTGGGACACGCTGCTCTAATGATTCCTGCAGAGTCAGTCCAATTGTTTGTTTTATTATGTATTCTGTGGGGTCGAGAAGAGTGAGTCAGTAGAGCGTATCTAAAATTACAATCGGACTGAATTGTGAAGATTAAAATACTGTTCCAGTCAGAATACTAATGTTTAAAACTATATTTCAAAGTCAAGGACAAGGGCCACAAAAAAACCTGACAAAACCGTGCTTGACTTTCCCCTTGACTTTTAAGTGCTATGATTGAGTGATCTTTAATCTCTTTACCTTGCACATTTATAGCAGTTCAAACCAAGATCACAAACTCTATAAAGTAATGGTTTGATTTGTTTTGACAACCCTACTTCTAAGCAGTGCAAAATGAGTAAAAAGAATACTTACATCTAGAGTGTCTTCGTTGACCGCAAGCAACCCCATGTTCTTGGTCAAGAGCTTGCAGGAATGTCCTAAAAATGCAAACAGAACAGAAGATTATGATTTGTATAAAGACGTCTCCTTAGAATATTCTGTCTGTATGCTGGGTTTTTTGAGAAAAAGCCACAATGGAATGTGGAAATGTATGTTTAAAAATGCAGCACATCTTTCAAAATATGACTAATAAAAACAGAACAATTCCAGGAGTAGGAGACAAACCAGAGCCTTCTAACCTTCTATATTCTGTAGTGGTGAGTCTTTGTAAGACACACCCCACTTGCAAATAATAATAAGTTTACTCTGTGTCTTGCTTTGTATCGACAGTGGAGGAAAATCATCTATATATGTATGCACAAGACTTAAAAAGACATTTATGTTTTACAGCTTGAAGTCACTGTCTGAGGCACATGAGTAATGAGTTTGGTTTACAAGGGTCTGTCAGTTTCCTGTTTTAATAGGCAGTTACAAGTGTGGGGTGGCCAGCACAGCTCTCGGGGGAAAGCTCTTGGCTGGGACAGTGGCTAGGGTCACAACAAGGTGGTAGATGGTTTCCCATTAGGGAAAACATAAATGTTCCCAAACTAAACTGAGGCTTTCAGTCGGATCCCACAGTTGTAGGAAGGGCTGCCATCTGTGGCACAACCACAGAAATATTTGTGGCCTTCGACACTTTGCTTCTGTCTGGAGAGAGCGCTTACAGATTGCCACAGAGTAAATGCATTTTGGTATTTGTCTATGAGATATGGATAAATCACGCACAGTGCTAAGCACAAGACCTTACGAGGGTCATGCACAAAGGAAACGAGCGAGTTTCACTTCTATGACTCCACCGGACTCCAAACAGTTCTGTGTCTGGCTTCTGGGAATGTTTATATAAGAGCAAAGGTGCAAAAGTCCAAAAATCTGCCAATGTGTGGAAAACCTCCAACCACATCTCTCCTCCTTCCTTACCGCCTTTACCTTAAGAATAAAATAATACAACATGCAACGCTCTTTTGCCACTTAAAGAATGCGATTCCGTGACATCAATGCCACAGTCAAGAGCACATCACAGGAAAAGAGAAAAGATTCCACATTTCTGGCACTGGTGTGACCCAAACTCGATCAACAAGTGGGCACAGTGTCCCAGAGAAATCCTTACTCCTCCCTCAGACAGAGTGTCAGAATATTTACTTTACATTTTGAAGTGGTGGTTTGAAAACACACCACACAGCATGTTAAGTGTGTAGTCTACCGAGCCATTGCGGTACGTCATTCAAAGCAGGTACACTGTTTTATGTCAGAGTTACACTTTTAATTCAGGTCCACACTACCACTGCCAAAAGTGGCTTTCACTACCAAAACACAAGACATATATTTTAATGGCCCATTGCAGCTTTCTAGTTACTCAGGGATGATATTTATACGAGTAAAATGTCAGAAAACAACATAAATATAAAAAGGGAGATTTTACAGAGCAAACTTGGTAGAAAGAGGGCGAATACTTCTGCAGCTTTTGGCAAGGCCGACACAAAGGCTCGATTCAAGCAACCGCAGGGGAAGGCCGCCTCAAATGGATCCACTCTTAGTATATATTTTTCTAAACTCTGTGTTAATATGTCAGGGGTATAGAAAGTTGATCTATTTGTAGTAGCCGGCCACATTTAAGACCATGGTGGAGAAATCCTTTTTATAGATAGGTGTCACTTCTGGACCAATATTAGCAATTCTTTCCTGATAAGATCTGTAGGAGTGGAATCTCCAGGGTGCAACATGTGTGCAAGGTGAGGCCTGGTGTGCACATGCATGTTATTTATTTCATGTCTGTGAAGTGGGCTCATACATCATTTAGTGCTTTGCAACAGATGCTTCTGCGAGATATGTGCGACAAGGAAACGCAGTGCTGTCAGTAGTTTGTCCAGAGGAATGAAGAATGGCCGCGTGACTGACTGGAGGAGCTGTTCAGAGCTGCCCTTCTCCCGACGGCGTGCAATATCAAGTTAACTCCTGACTCTTAGGTAAGGTTACATTAACCAAACTTCGCGAGTGCAGCCACCGAAAAGTCCTCTTGAATCACGGGCAGTTTGTGACACTGCTTTTGCTTCAAGTACATAATATGATATGTTACACACAAAAAATATATATGCATATAATTTCAGGAAAACATTTTGAACATTATTAGCTTAGCTAATTTTAGCTTGCTTTCTCTGGTTTGTGAAAATGTGGTACACTTTTATACAGTTACTTCCATTGGACATAGAAGAATAAAAGCCAATATTAAAAAATGATTTTCTGATTGATGCCGATATGCATTTATCATTTGTTAAAGCTATGGTATCCAACTTATTTGTCCCATCGTATATAATTTTGAAAAAGTAAAATCATTGAACCACAACATGCTGTCTTGTTGTTATGTTAAAAATAAATGTTGCATTAATGTAAGAAAGAACCCTGTGAATCCCTGTAGGACACTTTGGGTGAGAGCTGATTGGCTGAGTGAGGGTGGCCCTCTCCTTTTCACTTTTGTGTCTGAAAAAACTGATCAAATAGAGGCCAAAATAAATCCATGTAAATAACAGTGATAGAACCAATCTGCTTTAGAGCCTGGAAACAGTTACATGGATTGTACTAAAGTTATATTTTTGCGGTGTGAAAGTTAGGTACCCCAGCTTTATTTAGCTTGGGTTAAAATTAAAGGTAGAGGAATTCCTTTTCAATGAAATGTCGTCTTGTTCATTTTATCCGTCTATTGAAAACTATGGGAAATATTCAGCACAGATCCTGCTCTCATCGACCACAGTAATAACTAAAGAAGTAACCTGTCAGACCGACTTTAAACAAACATTACTCAAACTTTGGAGAGAGATTTGTGTGCACTGGGGACTGCATTTCAACTCAAGTCTTGTGTACGAGTCTTACCAATATTGATAGCCGTTTCTTGTTTGTCTCCAGTCAGAATCCAGATCTTGATGTCGGCTTTTATTAGGGTTTCGATGGTTTCGGGAACTTTGTCTTGGAGTTTGTCTTCGATGGCTGTGGCGCCCAAGAGCTGAAGGTTCTGCAAGCGGACATGAAGTCAGTAAGAAATTCAATAAGCGTTAATTAAGAGGGAGGAAGGCCTTTGCTTCGTCATATGTCAGTGAAACATGCGAGTCGGGATAGTTTCAGTGCGTTGCTTCTAATCAGCTGCTCTTGTTTATCACCCGAAAGGTTTTACGCCGGTCTGGGATCAGTGACTTCCACCGACTACATAGTGAGACCTTTTTCCCGGTGAACAAAGCAGTTTTAGAGCCACACCGTCCTATCACACGACCAAGACGTGACAAAACACAGGGCGCAAGAGACGAGAGGCAGCGGCAGAGTGGGCGGGAAGGGAAGTGTGTGAGACCCCAGGCAAATATAGTCAAGTCCAAGTCTGCCTATGTATGTAACTCACATGTTCAAGGATATGAATAATTGTGTCTATGGCTTATTATGTGGACGCCCTGAATTAGTTTAAGATTTTGATAATTTTATAAAAACCTCAGAGTGCCTCGGATCCATTGCTCTGTTTTGACCATGTTGAGGTAAAGGTGAATCAGAGGTAAATTTTTTACTAGGAACATGCTCACTAAAAGTCCAGTTTGACCCTTTAAGCGTGCAGTTTATTCATCATCAGTTTATTCAGGAATTCAGAAATCTGTGGGAGCTGATTCTCAATATGGGCCTCCCCGATGTTTCTCACTTTTCCCACTGGGTTTAGAGTTTTTCCTTGCGGATGCAGGAGGGTCTGTTAAAGCCTTGGGAGGGTCTAACTAAAAGGACAGTGGTGATGATCAAGGACACTCAACATTTAACAGCATTTATGGACATTTGTCAACATTAATGGACATTTGTCAACATTTATGGACATTTGTCATTTGCCGCTTATGGACAAATATCAACGTGTTTTCTGTTTCATTTCTTGTGTCGTCTGTGATAACTGATGTTGTGATTCAGGGCTATAAAAGAGTTAATTGCATTGAATTGAAATGTTATGGAAAACATGAAAAAGGTGAAGCCCTCAATTTTGATAAGAAAAAGAGGACGACCATATTGAAAACATTAACAGTAATAAATAATAGAAAAATATGTTTAAAAAATGTAGGGAAACGTTTTTTTCCCTACATTTTTGTGTACAAATTTGTGTATAAATTCTGCTTTGTGAAATCATATGAATGTTGAGCTATACTCTATAGTTCTACTCTATGTGGAACCAATGTAATAAAAAATGGACACAAATTAAGTTCAGATTTGTGCAAAAATTACCTTCTTTTGTAAAATAATGTTCTTGAAAATTTTAGGAAGAGAAAAAAACTGACCTGAAAATAATAAAAACTACAAAATGAATTGTAAATCAACATATTGTGCACATGAATACGTTTATTTTGATTTACTGGTTGCTACAGAGAAGTCTATGAGCTTCATCTGTAGCTCAGGTGCTCCACCTTGTGGCCAAACGCGGGACAGGTGTGTGTGGCATGAAAACTGAACCTCAAACATTGGCAGTCGTGTTGCTTAATAAGCAGCAGGCGCCGAATGTACTGAGAAAAATTCAAGTGCTTGTCATGATTGATCACTTCCACTTGTTTTGAGCAGCCAGAGCTCCCTATGAAGAACAAGATGATGATTTAAGACTGTGGCTTCCTGTGTTTGACGAGAGCTTCCACACGGACCTCCCTCACATGAAACTCAATCTACCTTCTGCCCAAATCTTCAGACCTTCAGAATAAAAAAACATTTCATTTTGCCATTTGCAGGTGTACTGTCTTTTTGGAGGTCTTCTGTGTTCCTCTTTCAACTAATGGTAATAAATATGTGCAGATTCCATAGCTTCCAGACAACTGTAAGATATTGAAGTTATTACCATGACACCTGGTGCTATCTTAAACGTCTGGTATGGAAGAACCAAACTTAATCTACTAAGAAGACAAGATGAACCTTCCTAAACTTTTTCCACTTTAGGTCTGTAATCTTAAACATAACAAAGAATTGAGCAACCGAGAAGAAATGAAAAAAAAATGGGCCGTCTCCACCTTATTATAAGACATGTTATATTTTGCATGTGTTGTCAAAATTGTGATTTGTATCTTCGTAATGATTCAGTTTTCATTCATTTGGTCTTGGATTGTGTGAGACAGAAGTTTTCACCTTTTCAATGAGTTCGTAGCTCTCCTCCATCTTCAGGGCTCGGTTCTGCAGTGACGTGGAGGCTCGATGGTGGATCTCCTGCCAGTGTTTGTACGACGACTCGCTGATCTCTGCCACAGCGAAGCACAGCGTACGCAGCCCTGGGGGAAAAGGAACATTCAACATCACACGATTGCCTTTGTGTTCTTTTTTTAACTGCATGGATCCCATCAAATCTGTGCAATCATTCATACAGAACGTTTCCAAAACTGTCCCCAGCTTGTCAATGACTCTGTGTCATCATTCAATGTGTAAATATCAGCTGGAGCAATTTATTTACAACAGGAGGTCTCCAACTGTGGATTTCTGTGTGGCCTTTAAAAACAACCAATTCCAACCAAATATTCTGGATTATTTGTTTTTCATTAGTAATTGTATGTGTATAAACCTTTTAGTGTGCTAATAATTACATGAAACCTTGTTAGTAGCAGTCAGAAACAGTAATTTACATTTTCTGTACGGTAATGATATATTTTTTCTTTGTATTAAGATCATAGACTGTAAATTATGATACAATTTCATATTAAGTGTATTGCGTTAGCTCCATTTTTAACTGAGGACTTTTATTAATGGTCCCAGCATAACTTAATCACATAAATCAATCCCTTCTTCACTTAATTTGGTGAATGCAATAGTTTCAAATAAAGTCTTGTTTTCACCACTTCCACTTTCAGGTTCAGGCAGAGAAAATGCATAAATCTAGAAATGTCTTTGTATTCGATCGCTTCAGGATATGTTCAGACAGCCTGAAGGAAAAATTATCACCTATTTGAGACTTTTCAAAGAGCTTTTAAAAGAAAATCTGACCTAATCACAACTAGAATTAACAAATAATAAAAAGCAAAGAATGTCAATGTATCAGACAGCATTCACGGGTTAAAATCAAAATCACCTGCAAATGTAAAGAAGGTCAAACCAGTAACAAAGACCAACAAATTGTCTTGAAATCATTTTAAAGCCTAGTGGGGGAAGGGCTGAAATAAAAACCAATTAAAACCCGAGTCTTCTGCAGGGCGCTTTTGTACAGTAATTCAGCATCGGGCCATTTCCATTCCCCGTTTAGTGAAAGTACATTAACATATGCAATATAATACAGTATGCATGCATTCCATTACAGTAAGACTTCTTAATTTAGCTTTGAGTTTATACATTTTCCAGGGCTGCACAACCCCTGCATTGAGTCTGGCGAGTATCTGAGTGTGCTATTTAAAATCCAATCCATAGGGCAAACACGCCCGGAGAGCTATTTTTAGCTTTCATCTTCTATTCTGGATGACATCATTTTGCTGTTGTCTCACAAGGGGGCAGTAAAGACACTTGGAAGAGACTGATGCAGCAGCTTTTGGCCTCATCTCCTTACCATAAACCTCAAAAGGGGTAAATAAATGAACACGTGGTCTATTTCTGTTGCATCCTTTGAACACGTTATGACGGGTGCAGACTCACCTTCTGTGGCAAACTGTTCCAGATGCTTCAATGTGATCTCTTTATACCGAGAACTGTCCGAGAGACGGTCGTATATCACAGTGTCCTGGACAGAGAGAAACATCAAACGGTTTCAGGCACAAAACAGCAACGAGAAAACCCAAAATAACTCCTTATAAGGATATGGAGGTCTTTGGATGACTTTGGCCAAAAGAAAGTGTTGTTCAGTCCAATGAGACATGGTCCAAATACTATTCAATACTCGACATCATCACTAAGCAGTTATTTATATACAGTAGTAGATAGATATGAATTTGTGGTTTACAATGTTAAGAATGCAGTAGTGAAATGTAACCAATTCTGTCTTTTTTTAGTTTGAAAGTAGTACATTTGTATAAGTAAGATAATATTTAAGAAGGGACGTCACACTGTCAGTTTATATAAGTCTGACATCTTGATTGAGGACTTTTCAGTTATGAGTGAAAGATCCATAATCATCTTTTCATAAATATTCATTCGTTCAAGTCTCTCTCCAGCCTTCTGAATAATGAAGTAAAGTTAACGTGATGAACAGGCCTGCGTAAAAGGCCAACCTTTAGGGAACAGAAATGTTACTGAAATTACTATATTTTGCTGAGAGCATTTTTTTTGCATTTATAATGTGAAAATTAATTAGATTACCATTTCCTATTCATACTCTGAGGTGAAGCAATCATGGCTCTGGAATATAAATGATTTTCTTTTTCCTTTTAAATAATATTAGTGAATGATTTTCTCTCCAACGCACTCACACTTACACTCTGAGCCCTTCCCACGTCTAATGTCTAATGTTACAACAGATCTCTTCTCAATTTTAATGTAATACATTGTACTTTGACACACATTTATTTCTGTACTTTTTGAATCTCTTCAAATGACATTAGGTTGTGTTCATGTTGTAGAATTCCATTCCAGTCGGAGGACAGGTACCAATAAAACTATGTAAAAGACATCTCAGAGATGTTGAAGAGGATTATTTGGGATTAGATTCAAAAGCCAAAGTTGATATGTACTGACACAGAAGATGTGGAACAACAATGTCTCATGTGAATTGGCCCAAAATGAGCTCTGAACTAAGAAACTACTACTTTTTAAATGCCCTCCGCCGCAATGTCAATCATTGGGCTCTTTGGAATGTTGTGATGTCACATTAATGCAAGCTTTTGAACATGAAATAAAAGAGAAAAAAAACAACCTTTCTGATGAAAACGGTTTTCTCGCTCTCACTCCAACAACTCTATACTTAAAACAAACTGCTCTCCCTAGAACGATCTGTGGCTGCTGCAGTGCAACATGCTCTAGCTTTATTAAAAGAGGAGGTGGTGGATGGGAGATCTCGGGCAGACGCAGCGGGGCGGCCTGTCACGCGTTGCCATGGAGACAGACACTCACAGCGCCTTTGCAGTAGAGCCGGATCTTCCCAGATGGGGTGCGCATGATGACGGACATCCTCTTTCTGGTGCTGTCGATCACAGAGGGACAAAGTGACAGTGGATGAGAGTCGCGTCACGACCTGTTACCGAGGCGCGACAGCTGCTGCGCTCAAACACCACGTACAGTTAAATATGCGGCAAAAATACAAAACATGGAGCATTTTAGAAATTATAAGAAGGTGTATTGTACTTTGACTGTTGTATAATTTATATCTAGATCAATATGATATGTTTTATACCAAAGGTGCATTCCTCAACTCTGTTATTATTGCATTTCCTGTGTTTGAACTGGACTTTGTTAAGTCCTCAGAGAGGACTGCTGTCCTGATTTAGGGTTTTACAAATACATTGAATTGAATCCACTGTCCTTTTTGCAATAGATATGTTCTTGTGTTGTGCTTTATGTAAACTATAATACTAAATCTAAATACTGAACTAAAACTAAATTCTCAAAATGAGAAGGTTGGCCTCTGCATATATATAACTTGTAACTTAACAGAGGGAAGTCACCTGCTTGTTTCCGATGTAAAAGGAAGATTAATGACAAATTATATAAATACCCAGAAAAAATTTAGGCAAACCAAAAAGTGGGTCCCTTCTTTAGAATATGCCAGAGTAACGTATGTGCATGAATCCCTCTAAAATCAACATCCAGCAGACAAATATTAAGACATAATGATTATAATATGGTAACTGCTCTAATCAGCCGTTTCAAAATCATTTTGGCTATGGGTCATGACTTTACTGTATATAGGGTCTACCTTTATAATAGGTATCCATTGTTTTATTTTGTGATAATATGATCTGTGGTGAATGCGAAACAATCCTTTAATTATCTTTGGATGTGTTTTGTTTTTTATTCATCCAATAATTTCATACAGAGTCGAATTGTCAAAATTGACACAACAAATTATTGCGTGTTTGACTTGTCTTTTCTAGAGTGTATTTTGCACCATTAAAAATGCAACTGACCTTGTGAACTCCAACACATGAAGAAGTTCGTACTTGTCTTCTTTTCCGAGCTGACAAAGGGAAAAAAACTCCATTAACCTACTGTGTCAATGACATAGTGCTTTAATAGCACACGCTAACCCTGCAACCTTACAACAATCAACTCTAATTGAAGTTTGGATGCGTTCATTACTTTGTGGTATTGGCAGGGGAATAACAAGGTAGAATTCAATTAACATCCGTGATTCCGAACAGTGCTGGGAACAAAATAGAGCAGAGGTTTGAGAGGCCTAATAACAGGTGATGAGTGCGAGGAACATATTGAAGATGTAGTTTTATCAAAATAGATCAAATAAATGGTTTGGCCTTTGTGCTTTTGGACTGTGAAAGCAATCAGTGCGTTAGTCTATTAAGGGGAATCAGAGGGACGACAGGACAAACAGCTCATCCGTTAGAGACTTGGTAACAGGATTTTTACCTATAAGCTCTGTCATGTGCTTTAGAAGTGTACCTGGGTAACAGCTGTGTGCGTTATGCTTATATAAGATTATATTAAATTGGGAAATGTTCAATGTGATTAAGTAACATTATGAAGAAAATTTAACTTACAATTTCCACAAAAACACTGTCTGGAGTTCTACCAGAAAACGCAAATCCCAAGTTGCGTGCGGCTCGAACCAGAGCTCCTTCGTCTAGAAACAAAAAGAGAGAAAAGTTTGCATGTATTCAAATCATGTAAAAGGACAATGTTGTTTGCTTGGACAGTGGAGCAGAAAAAGTAGGTCTTGGTATTTAGCAAACTGGTTCATCTGGACGCAGTGACATGACAAAGAGGGCACAAGTGAAAGCAGTGGACCAGGTACTTTCAGCACGAGTCGCTGACGGGAAGAAAAATGCTCTTTATGTGTTTTACATTTCAACAACGGAGGTCTATTTTGCAAGAATACAGTGAAGCATATCCCAAAGTTTTACTATGGAGTTTTGTTTTGCTCTGTCCAAAAAGAATTCTATTATCATTGAGTAATACCATCAAAAACATTGGTTACCAGGAGCGCGACTGCAGGGCCTTCATCCCCACCGCTGTCAGACTGTACAATAAGTCACTTAATGACAACCCGCACTATGAAGCTTATGCTGCTATAGTCACTTTTGAATAGTACTCAAAATATCTTTCTTGCACATAATATACTCTTATTACAATTTCTGTTCTTCCTTTAACATGTTTGCACATCTCCTGTGTTATGCATACCCTGAGTGATGCCAAAAGTGTACATTTCTCTATTATGACATCAATAAAGTTTTGTCTTATCTTTGGCAATTGTAACATTTCAAACTATAGTCAAAGTCAAATGTATGCACTTTTTAAAACAACCGCATTAAACCCAAGTGCTAAGCTGTCAATATAAGCAAACATAAGAAAACATAGCAACATTTCTTGAGATAAGACTAAATGGCTTTGTTTGGCAAATCTTTTTATTTTTAATCAGAATGTCAGAATGTACTTAAATTAAGATGATAACCACTCAATTCAAGCAATTATTACAACATATTTGATCTATTTTTGCAGCGTAAGTATCACTTTCTGACATCACTCAGGTGTCCAAATGAGTATTACGTGACTAAAGACACATGTCCGGTAGAGTCAAATAAAGCAGCTGTTATTTAGTACTCTGAGTTATGAAACTTGACTTGGTCCGTTTCCAGAGGGTGTACCTGGAGACGCAGCTTGGTAGGCAATACCCTCCTCTGTGCGCTCTGGGACCGCGGTGTGACAGATGGCCATCATTGTCATGAAGTCCAGGATGACAGCAGCTGTGGGCTAGAGCACAGGGAGAGAGGGCACCAGGACTTTTAGAGCTCCACCATAAAAATATGTCACAACACAGACACCGAACCACTCCGAGGTTGATAGTAAGAAGCTGAGGAAGAAATGCGACGCCAGCAGCACATTTGGATGAGAGCATGATTCAAGTAAAAAGATCAGAGGCAGGGCAGTAGAGTTAATGGGAGAGATGAGTAACTAGCCCCAGCCCACAAGCAGAGACATCTGTTGGGAGTCCTGTGAGAGCCCCTAGGACCACCAGCTCTCAGTGACCTTACAAGACACGCCAGCCTGTGACTAACACGGCTGGTGCAATATCTAACTCCTGCAAAATTAAAATGGCCATACTTCGTTCATTTAGACGAAAGTAATTCCTGGCCTGTAACAGATAAGAGAAATTCTTGGACGACTGTTAGAGCCGTATACTTTCTTATTTGTTGAATAATGTATGTTTACTGAGCTCATTTAAACTGCAAAAAGTGGGAAGGCCAAGCAGGACAAACGTAAATGTACGTAATGCATTTGTTACTAACCAATAATTTTAAAGCAATCCTTTTATTTTAGCAGAAAAAATGTAAGGTTTTTTTCAATGAGTACAATGTTATTCAGTTCAGTAAAACCAGCCAGTACTCCATATAATCACCTTTCTGAAGCTGCCTGATTTAAATTCTAATCATATATCATTAACATTTGTATATATTCGCCTCCTCTTGGATGGAACACGTTGGCATTGCATGACAATTATAAAACAACAAAGTCTTTCCAAAACACACACGTAGAGCGCTAATAAAATGACATGGAAATGGTGCAGGGGAGTTAGAGGGGAAATGAATGAAAGGGGAGAGAGGGCAAATTAAGGCCTACTGTAAATGAAAGCACATTGTCCATTACTGTCCAGGTGGCAGAGAAAGCTCCTCTCTGCCTCCGAGCCGCATGCTAATCTGCAGCAGGTTGACAGGTATCCTCTGAAGGGCATGTCAGCATATGCCATACAGTTCAGTGTGCGTGTGCGTGAGCATGTGTGTGTGCGTGTGAGTGTGTGTGGGCATGTGTGTGTGTGCATGTGTGTGTGCATGTGAGTGCGTGTAGTGTTTGTCCAGTACAATGTTACAATTTTCTTGAGTGAGGACCACATGCCTCTTACTACGTTTTTTTAAAATGTTATTTTATATAAAAACGCATTTTACACAATAAAAATTAAACTACAGACAGAACATTCATTGTGCAAATATTTAAAAGGTGTATGCCATCTTTTGTTTTTATATATCTATTTTTTCAGTAACAATACTTTCTCTAATGAGTATCTAGTTGATACTATACAATACTATATTTTTGACATTTTTCTGTAATTTTTTATATGGAGAAAAAAATGATAAATATTCCCTTAAACTTGTGTATCGTGTATCGTAATCTAAACGTTGTGTTGGGCAATTCTCTCCAACAAATAAAATAAAAGCAAGCATTGTGCGGCAGAGGGCAGGACATGTTGAGAGCTTCTGATAGCACAATTAGAAGTGACATCAAAAACCACGCTGCCAGCTCTCACCCCCGCGGCCTCCTGGGTAATATGTGTCACGGCAACACTGACAGACAATCATCGCTGCCGACGTGTCCAGATAGAGAGAGAGTGGACGGGTCAAGCGCAGCGACGCAAAGAGGGGGCAGCGAGCAAACGAGGACCCACAGGACTGGCTCTGCGGAGGCGGAAATCACGCAACGGACAGCAGAGAAACCACAGGGGATCCTTATCATCGGCAGTGAGTATTACACTTAATGGAGCTCTTCAGAAGTCTTCCACCTACTTACGACTGCATCAACACTACTCCCACGGCCAGAAGCTTTACTGAATGCCGATGATAAACAAACAAACTCAACAGAGCGAGAGTTCAAAGCTATAAGAAGTAGGTGAGTCAAAAACGCTACTATCATGATTCAGGATGGATGTGTAAATGAACAATTACCCAGTCAAGCTTTACTGATATGGGTGTTTTCATGGCTAATGACAAAGCCACTTTTTGAGAATCCGGAGAAACCATTAAGTGTGTAATCTTTGGCTGATACACAAAGCCAGTTTTGATTATTTCCGCCCAATTCCATTAGGAGAAATGGATAGTTCTCCAGAGCCCTGTGCTAATACGGTCTGAATAAGAGTGTTGCTTGTATATTCTTTTGTTAATGGTGAGTAAAATATAAAGTTGGATATGCCACTGTTTCTCTTCTCACATAAAAAGTTCATATTTGTTTGTATAAGATCAAATATTTTAGATTCTGAATGCCGATGATGCTTTTGAGTATATCGGCCATATCAGGGCTTGTAAGATTAATCGCCATCAAACAGAAAAAAAAAAATGTATCTGAAGCCGTACTTTAAGTACAGTAGCATGAATTTCAGTTGAGAGCTCAGCAACAGGCAAAATACAGAATAGCGTTTTTTTCTCCCTCTTTCTCCATCAAACCTTGCAAAGTGTGACTTATGTTGTAAAATTGAATCTCAATTTTCCAATATTTAGGCTTTTTCAGTCAAAAATACAGAGAAAGATCAGCTAAGTATAATAGCGTTTTTTTTTTTCTCCCTCTCTCTGACAAACCGTGCCATATGGAAGTGTGACTTATGCTGTAAAATTGAATCTCAATTTTACAATAATTAGGGCTTTTCAGCCATAAAATCAGACAAAGATAATCCCAGTATCACCTGAACGTGCACAACTCCAACGTTATTATACCTGTTAGACTTTGCACTCTCATATAAAATAAATAATAGAATAGCTGCTCCTGGCCGTGTGCAACATGTGGACATTTCAAACTGTCATAACAGACGAAGCCTCCCAGAGGGCTTACTACTTTACCCACTGCACTAATGTTTATAATTAGATGCGACATTCTCTCTGGCCAAGCTCGTGCTGTGACTCAACTGTCTGTTTGCACCCATTTCATTCATTATAGTGAGGGGCAATCATTTCCGTTATTTTTTGGAGAGCCCTAAACATCGAATTGTTTACCAAGAAATGTCCATTTATGTGCCAAAATCTAAACTTAGCCATGTTGATCGGAACATGTACCAAATAACACTGCACTTCTAACATTACAAGAGGCTGCAGTGTTTCAAATCTGACCTTAGATAACAGCGCGGCAAAGGGGAGACCTGACATGACTTACGTGATGACTTTGGAGGTTTTCCAGTAAGCTCGGGTCGTTAAATCCTGCCTCTTCGGAAGAGTGAGTGCTGTGCCTGGAAAGAGGAGAAGCAAAAGTCAAAACAAACCAGTAGGTAACGTTTAAATATGGATAGGTAAGATGGACAAGAATATTGTGGTGGTACCGAGCTTGAAATCATGAAACACAGGAGACATGGTGTACAAGTAAGTCTAGAATTCATATTTTTATGTAATTCTTTCCCAGATTTTAAAGTCTGTTCAGACCTGCTTTAGTCTATATACTGTATACTGCCAAAGCTGGGGTACCTAACCTTTCCCCTCATATAATGCATTGTGTTTTTCCCTTGTCTTGTAAAAATAACATTATATGAACAAATCAGACCACAACATGTTTTTTTTTCATCTTAATAGAAAACATGATCTTTTGCATACTTTGAAAGAGTCACTATTTGACACTTTGGGAGGAAAGCTGATGGTCCTCTATATAATTATTCTGTTTGAAAAAGCTGTTTTAACACGGTAGCAGAGGCCAAAAAAACATGCATGTAAAAACGGTAATAGATTTGATCAAATTCATTATTTTGTGGTCAGAAAGGTAGGTACTCCAGCTTTACTGTTTTCAATACGAGTCGACGGATAAATTATGTTTTCTGCCCTCATACACATCGACAGCTCCCCAATATGACACACACATATAAAAAGACATTGTGAACAGCATTTCAACCACAGATTTCGAGAAAAAAAAGGCAGCATTGCTCTGTCAAAGCCAGGCACAAGACACTAACAATTGAAGATGCAGTAATGTACATAACACATAAGCCATTTACTCTGAAGGACGACAAATAAACAAACATATTAGCCTTATCAGTTCAACAATATAGGTTATAAAAAGGCTCTGAGCTCTGGGTGGCCGTATCCGAGTGCTGATCAACCTAATGAAATCTTAAGCTACAGCGCTGTGTTAAGAAGACACCAAGTTATTGATTCTCTGCCAGCGCACAGAGGTCCTGTCACTATAGAAACAGGGGAACAGGCTGCTCACAGTCGAGACAAAAGACCTCTGACACAACATGCAATTGTGTGGAGAATTTCTGTTTCAAGACTGCACCATTCATATCATATATATATATATATATCTTTACAAAGCCAGTTTATTATTAGATCATCTCATCTTCAGGTCAACGACAATGTGAAGGAAAAGAGCAAGGCGATACATGCTTTCTGTAGGATCGTCTGAAACCAATTTGACGTGTGGTGGTTTTTGCACGTCAGAATCCCTCCGTGCAAAAATGTGTACACCCATGCTTATAACTGCAGACACGAAGAAACAGGGCTCTGTGTGAGAAGAGGAGAGGTGTGTTCTGAGCTGCTATATTCTTTAATAATAAGAAGCTACATTACATTACACATGCATAACTAGAGCTGGGGAAAAAATCTGATCCGTTACTTTATTTGATTATGAAAGTAAGCAGGAAGATGCTGCTTCATATCTCTGCTATCGATATGAAGCAGCATCTTCACTTTAATCTGTTTAATTTGGTACAGATTGTTCATATTTTGAATCTGATTTCTTTGCTGTTCTGGACCTGTGCATGTTTGTGTTGTTTTTAGAAACAGATAATATATACAGTATCTTAATTAAATATAGTACGCAGTGGCTCTATACATCATACAGCTGTAGTAGCGTACCTCGGAAGTCACGCCTAATACCAGCATCACATTTCATTCCATCACAAACAGACTGTGTAAAAGTCCCACATTCCACACAGATAAACACAAATGCACATTTAGATTTGGTTCATAGTAAATTCCCACAATGCAAAGCATCACTGAACACATCACAGAAGCAGAGAGAAATCAGGTCACTGTTTTGCAACCATCTTACCAGTCCTCCTCTGTAAAACTACCATCCTCAGCCTCTGGAACGTGGCTGTAGGAGTGAAGGTAGGAGAGCAAACCATGAGAGCTACTTCTAACATGTGCAGAGTGGAGGAAAGAGTACATGGCCTGATAAAAAGGGAGAAAACAGCCTTGTATTGGACTTGCCTGTACATTTGGGATTTGCATAAATTCACATATTGCAAATCTGCACCAGTAGTATTTTTCTGTATGTTCTCATGTCATTATCAAGTACAAACATATGACAATTATTATTCAAAAGCCATACATTGAGACGTAATTCGAAGCACCGAGATACACATTGTCACAAAGATAGACAGTGGAATAATCCTAATATTGCTTGCAGCCACAACAGCAAAACATATACTGTACATCCCTATTGCCATCCAGTACTCCATGTAACAGAGAAATCCACGGCAGACTACTCACTCTGCCATAAAATGGGAGACTGACTGAATATTCAACGCTTCAGTATCTCTTCAGTGACTAGAATTTGATGCAGTGTTATTTTCACTCTCTTGAATCTGACAAAGCCCAGGAGGCCTCTCTACTTGAGGTTGTTGTTGTTATTAGTATTAATCATTGTCTAAAGCACGGGGGAATGTGTTAATAATTACAGTGGTTAGAAGATTAAACCATCATGCAAATGTCTGCAGCAAATTACAAGCGCATTATGCATGTTTGTTATGGGTATGTTGACTCATAAAAACTAAAAGGAGATACTCGAAACCACAACAAACAAATATCTGCACTATATATATTCTTCACAATTTGTTGGTCCATTTTTACAGACACAATGTACAAAAGCAACTATAAAAAGCTTTGCCTCATTAAAACTCATCCTTCAACCCTCCTTCATAATGAACAAAAAAAAGACAGACAGAACATGAAGACCTCAGGATTTTGGAGTAAAATTAGTTTTAAAGGTGAACATGTGTAAAATAATACATCAAGTGCGAACACCTCAGGATTAACTGTGTCTGAAGTCTGCTGCCTTCGTGACCTGACGTTGAATAGAGACAATGGATGGATGGATGGATGGATGGATGTTGGCGTGTACTATAGCTTCACAGTCAGACCGAGAACGCGCCTTAATCCAAACACAGTGAAACATTTCAAAGAGAAGGTCCAGATAAAATGTTCCTTTGCCTCATACTTCAATCACACTTTTAATTGAATCCTAATGGGATTAATCACCGAGTGTGACGGCTGTACTTCTCAGCAGACATACTTGACTGAAACCACTGAAGCACTGGGAGAAAATGACAAATATTTCAAAGCAATTAAGAAAAAGAACATAAATAGCTTTTGTGACGTTTTGAAAAGGTAATTTGTCTTTGCCTCAGATCTTCTTCATTAATTCATTGGGCGACACGGTGGCTGAGTGGATAGCACTCTCGCCTCTCAGCAAGAAGGTCCTGGGTTCGAATCCCGGTCGGACCAGGGCCTTTCTGAGTGGAGTTTGCATGTTCTCCCCGTGTCTGCGTAGGTTTCCTCCGGGTACTCCGGTTTCCCTTACCACTAAAAATATATCCAATAGTTCTGGCATGTGCCTCCTGTACTGGCGACCCCACTCCCATCTCTGTGTGGAGTGAGAGACAAATGCCCAAAATTAACAATTGTAAACCGCTTTGAGACTCAGATCTGCAGTGAAAAGGCGGTATATAAATAAAAACTTACTTACTTACTTACTTACTCATTGTGACTCAAACACTAGGGCAGCAGCCATAGAGCCATGATGATAGAGCTCCCACTGAACATATAAGTCCTGCAGAGAGTTCAGACTCTTTTTCATGGATATACTGGCCCCAGAAGTGAGAAGCCTCGTGTATATGTTTGAAGTGGTACTGTAAGTCAGATCGAAACCCCCGGAGGAAACCTAAGTAGACACAGGGAGAACATGCAAAGGCCCACTGCCCTCCGGGTGTCGCAGAACCCAGAACATTATAAGTGAGAGGCAAGAACGTCATCGTGGGCGCACTCTTGGTTAGTGCCCACTTGTTTTACTATAACAACTAATTTCATTTTTATACATATAACAATATTAAGCAGAAATGATTGTTCCGGGCTGAAGTGTCCAGCTCCGTGCTAAGTTGGCAATCTATGTTCATTTCTCAAAACAAGACCAAACCCAAGACGGTTTCAATAGAACAAACTCAGTGGGTACTACAGTATGTGATGACAGATAAATACATTTATCTCAAAAACTGTTTTTATGAGACTATTTTTGACATATTTGCGCTCTTAAAATCATTTTGTTCGGACTTTATAGATGTATTGTACTGTCTCCCCTTACAGATTAGAAAATTAACTAGAAAGTTTGGATTATTTGTTTATTTTGCACCCTCTAACCCTGCCTGGAAGAAATATCTCTACATTCATCACCATTATAAACATCTAGTTCATTGTAAATAAAATCTTCTACTCTAATACAAACAGGGCAACAGCTAATGACGAGAAAAGAGGGTGAAAAAGCGGTGACAAACTCTCCCCTAATGAAGATGAGAATGGTCGACACAAGGGTGAATGTGTAATAAAAGCTCTCACCCATATGCCACTCCAGCAACGGTACACTTCTTGAACTGCATGACATTGCAGGTCAATGTCCCCGTTTTGTCAGAGAAGATATATTTCACCTATAAAGAAAGAATGGAACCGAATTTAGCATCCTCATAATGAAGTCTGAAAAGGTCAGGACGCAAGTGCTTTTGTCCACTGTTACCTGGCCTAATTCTTCGTTTAAGTTTGAAGTTCGAGCCATAGCAGGTGTGTTTGTCGGCTCGTACAGCATATCTGTGTCCTGGAATCACACACACACACACACACACTCATTAGCTACTGAAGATTTTGTACTTCTATGTCTTCGTATAGAAAAGACTATAAATAGCATTGGCAACATTAAAAACCACCCCAGAGATTTTTTCATTAGGGAAAAACCATTTGTGACCTGTCCTGCTCTACCTAGGGGCTGCTCCACCTCTGCTGCTGTGACCTGAAGTGCTGTTGTTTATTATTACTATTGTTAGCTTTTTATAATGATCAATTTATTTGTTTTGTTTGTGTGGATGAATGGATGTATTTTTGCTGCAGCTGGACCCCTGAATTTCTATAGTATCTATCTATCTTGTGTACTTTAGCTTTAAAACATCAAATCATACAAAAGCATTATTACACTGCACACGCATAAACTCACCCAGTTGATGAAGAAGGCTTGGATGAACTTGATGACCTCCAGAGTCACCAGGAGGCTGATGGGAATCAGGTTGTTGAACAAGATGATGAAGGTGAGAAAGTTGAGGCCAAAGTTAGCTGCGCCGCCGTCTATGAAGAAGTGAGTATTGAACAAGGGAGTAGTACAGAAACAACCCATCAGTGCTGTCACACAAACACAGGTTAGTTTAAAGGTGCACTGCGTAACTTTTCTGGTGGGGGTCTGCTGCCTGCTTGTCTGTGGAGAGGTGTCAAAGCATAGTACTCAACTAAAGGACACGTTTTAAGGAATGATTGAGCAATAAAAACATCTGCAGTTGGATAAATACACAAAGGACAACATTCCAGGCACCTCCATGGGGATAAGCAGGCGGTGGACCTCCTCATCAGAAAAGCAACACAGTGCCCCTTTAATGAAAACGCCCAAAGCTACTTCCAGCTAATGTTTGCCATTAGCCCACTCTGGGTAATGTTTTAGGCTAACGTCATGCATTAGCTAGAATTAACTATTTCTTCCACCCAACCTCATCCTCTTAGAGCTCAACCAATTAGCAGTCCAATTTAATGTTCCCTGAATTCAAAGTAGCCAAAGGGACTTAGGAATCTCAAAGTCATTAGTATCACAGCAGCAGCCTTGGCATCCAGCATGATCCAGGCAATGGATTTCACAAAGCACTAATGCAAAAGAAATGATGCTCATCCCCAAATCAAGTGATCAACATGTGCCCCCAGTGACATCCAACACAGAACAGGAGGGGAGTGAATTACCTTGCCACAGCTTGCAGGTAAAACTGTTACCTTCCCAAGCCTTGATCTTAGCATTGCAGGTTGAGAGGGAGGGTGCGTCCCCATAAAAGATCATTTTGCGAAGGGCAAATAAAAGAATGGCAACGAAGGTGGCGGAATGAAGCTACTGCTACAACACATAATGGTGGGATTACTTGTCTGAAGTGGGGAGGAAGACAGACACATCAGATGCTCTCAAGACAAAGGGGGGAGATTCAGTCCATAGAACATTCACAACCAACAAATTGTGAAAAAGGGTGGGTGGTTTAGGCCAGGGAAGTGTGGAAGTAAAATGGGATTCTCTATCCATTATAAAACATATTCTTAACAAACCCCAAGTATTTTGTCATAGCTAAAAGATTAGTACAATGAATTTGCAAATTTGGTATTTCTGTATTTATACAAGTAAATATGCACAGGCAGCACGGATTGCATTATATTAAATAATTGATGCATACATAAACTATTCTGTCATTTTTCATATCAGCATTTTGAAAACAGTCTTGTCAGGAAGTTTGTAATGAAAGCACAACCTACTTAGCCCGTGGTGCAGAGGGCATCAACATTATTCACTTGTGCCCCCAGTGTCCATAAAGTGAAGTTGTCACAATGTAAAAACACTGCCTGCTCAGACCAGTGTCAGCACTCTGCGATGGGTCAAAGTCAAATTAATTATTCACTACGTGTGCATAATCATAGGCTGTATGACTCATATGACCCGTGTGGTATGTGGCAGCAAACAACGCATGTGCCACTTCTCAATTAACTGCATAAAAAGCTGACAGAAAATGTTGATACAAACTGAAAGTGGCACCGCTCCACCTGTCTCTTTTGTCACAGATTGGATAATGTGCACTGGACAGAGCCTCAACCACCCCTTATAGATATACAATCAAGATGGAGACCTGCTTTATGACTTACATTTGCAATCATCAATGAAATAGAGTTTAAAGTTTGAAGCTTACATTGCCAATACACGCCAATGTAAAATCTTGAATGCTGGAAAGTGTAAGTCACAATGCAAGCTGTACTTGACCAGGGCACAACCTCTCCTACACAGACCTATCAGGTCACAGAAAAATGACCAACGTGTCACGATAATCACTTCTCAAACCAGGTTCAGAGCTTCCCCAGAATGTTTTCAGAATTTTCAATAATATAAAGCCTATATAAATTTATTAAAGTTCTGTTTTTTTAATCTTATCTGTATTTTCACTAAACAAATAGAGAATGATTGTATATAAAAGGTGCTTACCATATTTGCAATAGTTCAAAATCAGCAGTAACAGTAACATGTTTCATATTCAATGTGTGTATGTATTTTATGATGTCTACTGGGTAATACTACTGTAATGAAACTAGGAACGAATTTGCTGAGGGTCTGAAGCTTGGAGAGTACAAAGTGTTTAACGATACACAAAAAATGAAAGAAAAGTGAGACACTGTTTGCATCAGGCACTGAAAATAACTGGACAAAGGAGTAAGAGCTGGAGGGGAAAAACCTATTGTTGAATCCCTGGTTTGTGCTTGTCCATGGCACGGCCCATACAATGTTGGGCACCATTAAGGGCGAGGACAGGGGGCTTCATTTGCTTAGCATAGGTAGAGCTTCAGTAAGGGGTTAGTAAGGGAGGGTCATTCACGGATGGCCAAGGCTTTTAAATGGTTGTTACCTGGAGCTGTTAAAAAACGACAACAAAGAAAACAAAAATCAAACAGAACATTAGAAAGGAAACAAAACGTACAGCAGCGCAGTGATATTCAACCATTTCTTTAACAGACACACACATCAAAACACATCTAAGCATATCTCAGTTAGAGGGAATGGAAGCATTCCCACATTGCCACATATTTCACTTGTAATGTGAAACGTAGTTCAACTGAGGCAACAGAAATTAACAGAACGCATACCAGCATTAAGTAACTTAAGATCAGACAGAAAATAAGCTGATATGGAACAAGTGAAACAAAATATGTGGAAATAGATGCAGCATGTGCTCTGGGACTCTTACAGTTGAGATCCATGTACCAGGCATCATTGCCATACTGGTACTTCCAGATGGTCTGGCCAATGGAGCAGACCAGAGATATTGCCAGCAGGCAGCCAAACAGCACCAGGATCTGAAAGTTAGTAATCCGCTCAACGTTGGACAGTTTCAGCGGTGGCCGAGTGGAATTCTGGGAAAACAAACCCAAACAACATTGGACATACTGATTCCTGTATTTACGGTATATGTAATAGCGATGCTATGTACAGTTGCATTTGAATGTGTGTTATCTGTTAACTTAAACATGTTGTTTACCTGCATTAGCTTTGTGTCATGTCCTGTGTACACAACGACTCCATGGACCCACTGCGTGTTCCTCAGCTGGGCTCCCCTCAGTAAAATCTGGTCCGGCCCCAGAGGCACCGTGCTGCATTTAGACACTAAAGTCAGCCAAGCAGAAGCACGGGAAAACAGCCTCCTCAAGCTCACTTATTGGATATACTCCATGAAATATACATAGCAACACTATGGTCACAAATGTCTGATCACCAACAAATGAATGTGATGCATGTTGTGTAGATTGTGGCAAACCAATAATATGCTATCTACCAAACAATTTATGGTCCAAGGGTCACACTTACGTTTAAAAGGACGTTTAAGTGGTAAACAACCAACTACATTTTTAATAGCCATTTATCTTGTGTATAAGGGACTTTCCCATTGAGTTCGAGAATCTATTTTTGCCAGACATTGCAGCAATCGGTAGAAATTTCTTAGTAATTAATAATGTGTTCTTGTATGCAGCATAGGTTCGAACTGATAAAGTTAGTACAACATGTAAACCAATAGGAATGACACATCTAGGCATATAGTAACTTTGCATTAGCACTGGAATATTGATAATAAACTACATTACTTTGAGCATTTTATTTTCAGTCACACTAGACATCCATGTACTAACAGACAGAAATCGATTGTTGCTTCTTCTACCTGTGGCCGTCCAGCCTGATGTTGCCGACAAACTCGTACAAATGGCGGTTTGGACTTTCACACTCCATACGCCCCGACAGACGCATGAGGCTATCGATATCCATTATCTCGGAGGTCACCTGGAGCCCCTGTACACAACATTTTTAATGTTTCCACAATCTGTCTTTCATGAGTCATAATTGGAATATACCTGTCTGATCTTAAGGTTGGTCTCTCCATCCAAGTTTGAGGTTTCAATGTAGCACATTCCCTGCGGTTCACTGTTAGGAGAAAGAGGAAGTGCATGCTTGCAGCTGATATAGAAAGTACTGCAGCTAAACTAGATGTACCATGATATCTGGATAATAATAATAAACAATAATAAACATATTTTTTACAAATCTAGCAGAGTCAAAAGACACAACAGAAATGCAAGATTCTCTATTACATTTAAAGGAGAAATATTATGCATTATTGTGACAATTGAAAATAATTATACTTTTTACATGATATAGAATTATATTTATATTTTTTACATGATATAGAATTATATTTATATTTTTATAACATGTGTCAACAGATTAACCAAGGATAAATTATGCTTTCCGCATGTAACTCCCTATGCTACCACCAGAGGAAAGAGTTGAAGCTGTTTTTTCCTCAAATTTGAAAATTAAAGACTGCAAAATAAACACAGCAATATAATTTTAAGAATTGTCAAAACCTCTTTTAGAAACTAAAACATTACATTGTTCGGCTAACGTATTCTTTTTTTTTTTAAAGGGCAGAAAAAACTGATAGTATGATGTAATTGTACACCTATTACAGCGCTGAGACAGGAGCTTTTAGACAGAAGGAGTGGAGTTACATGTCTGTGCCAAAAGTTGCTGATAATAGCGTGGATGGAACTAAAAAAGGTCTGTTTTTAGATGAGAGAACAATGTTGTAACATTGTTAAAACCTGTTAAAATTGATTTTGCATAATACGTGTCCTTTAAATGAAAATGTAAATATAAATGTTACAAATACATATGTTGGTAGTTTACTATATTCAATTAAATTGACATAGAATAAAAAGCATGAGTGAAAGGGCACATCACAGTGGGCTGAGAAGGCGGGCCGAGGACTCCAAAGCAAGCAGACAAATGGGTCGCTGACTAAATCTGGGCTCCGTGACAGAGAGCGCTAAGCAAGCCAATATTAAGAGCTGGGTCGTTGGTTAGATTGTCTTTTTAACTGTAATTTATTCATACAGAACGCTGGGCCAAACACACACAGGGCAAATACTAAAAAGCAAAAGAGATCTCAATAAAAAGCCTAACCACAATCAATAAGGCATTTGCACAGTGGTGTTGGGCCATCCACAGTGTGCTGGGTTATAAAAAGCAGCAGTCCGTTATACTGGGATAGCTGGTGTAAATTTGGCAATTACATTGAAGTATAGGTGTAAATATTGCATTAGGATCATGTGAGAGTCATTAAATCCAAGATGCTTTTCCTTCATCTTGCATCATAACTACATGCAAAAGTGTGTGCTAAGCCATGCAAAGGCAAAATTATGGAAAGTTTCTTGAGACGATCATTTGCAAGTAAAATTACATTTGAAACATAGATAAACTAATGTTTACAACATATTAGCAACACATATCAAATGTAGATTTAAGAACCATTTCGACCACAGTCCTGTTTCTTGGCTCAATATATCAATAACTTTTTATGAGACATAAATAATAGTGTTTGTGTTAACCGCGCCCTGATCTCTCCCACAGCTGTTTGGTTGGTTGGTTTCTGACCTGGACGACAGTATGACGAGGTCAGCCGGGAGGTGATCCCCATTTGCAGCTCTGACTACTTCACCAACAGCCACCTGATATTAGCAACCAGCACCAGCAGGGGGCGAGAGAGAGGCCATGGCAGGAACAGGGAGGATGAGAAATAAAGGAGAGCAAACACAAAAGGAGAGAGTGTTTCAGTCTTTGCAGATGACAATGGCCACTCCTGATAACCTCAGGGTATAACTGCACTTGTTCTCATTTTCACAAACCAAAGACGCGTTGCAAAGTGTTTTGGAAAACCATTTCAGGGTTAGATGGTTTTTGATAAGGTGAAGAAGTGCATAATGCAGACATGACTTTGGGCAGAAGATTGCACTATAGCCCACCTATAGAAGTGATGGTTGGCTTCACATCAAATATTCAACAGTTAAAATATAGTACATTCCAAATATGAACGAACCACCACCTCTAGTGAGGGCTAAGAGAGCAAGAGGGAAAGGAGTTCCTGATTGTCAGGCAGCACGCTGGGCTCCGATACCTGGTAGATAAAATGGCAGCATCCGCGGGGACAGAATCACTGCCATTTACTTTAATAATATCGCCCACTTCAACCTGTGGAAATAAACTGGTTAAAAACTACATGGAGTTAAGTGGATAGCAGGGAAATATTTAGCAGACCATTCCATCTTCAGTAAAACTAAAGGTTTTTTAATGTATTCCACCATATTGATAAAAGTGTGTGAAAGTCTATTATAATGAATAGATGAGATAGTCCTATACCCTGCACCATGACCTTCTAATAGCCAGCCTTATAGTACAGCAGGTTTGATTAGGGCAAGTATTTTCTGTCTGCAAAAAAATCCACGGAAGGTGTACAATAAAGCATAATTTTGGGTTTATTTGTGGTGAACACATACCTTCTCCCAGTGTACAATCTCCCAGGCACCATTTCTCAGAACTATTGAGCAATGAAGAAGTGAGTCAGACGAAGGGAGGGAAAACAAGGGGGAAAAAACTGTTATTGCACAAGATTAAAAGCACCATTTTATACTTGGGATACACACACTGCAGATCCCTGTGAAGTCTATAATTGAAATACTTTTTTGAACCCACCTTGACATTCCTTTTTGTTAACTACACCGTCAGCATTATGACGTTTCTGAAAAGACACACACAAGAAAAGTATAGTCAGAAGGCCCGCCCAGAATAGAACCTGAAGCAAAGCGTATTAAAAGGGAATAAGAGAAAAGATGAATCAGTGCATTATCTTCGTGCCGAATGTAGATGGTAGATCAAAGTGGATTGGGTTGCTGCTGGCACTGGTTTGTGGCCTTTTGGACTAATGGGAAAGAGAATGGAAGTGGGCCAGTGAGCGGCAGCACTTATTCTTCACACCTTTGCACTGTCTGGACACGGTTCAGACCATTATAACATAATAGCATAGTCTCAGTGCAGTGCGGCAACGGCTCAATCAGAACAACATTGAATGCCCATTTCAACAAATGGTTTTCAATAGAAAAGAGACATCCTCATTGTTGATACAGTAAATATTGTATGATGAGTTTTTTGAAAGCTTGTCTACCGTGCAGCACTCCTGGATGATATAGGGATTATAGAGTGCATACAGCAATTATTCAATGCAATTAATTTTATCTAGTACATCCTAAAATTACAACAGCAAACAACTTTACAAAGTTGTTGATTCACCAAAAACAGATCAGAGAATCAAAGAGATCAAATACAGGAAATTTGATAGTAACAAAACCATACAAAGCGGGATGACCACTGTCCATAAATGTTAATAAATGTCCTGGATCATCACTGTCCTTAGACCCTCCTGCATTGACACGGAACACCTCAGAAGACCCAGTGGGAAAAATTTAAGAAACCTCGGGGAGGACAGGCTATGGAAGCAGGAAGCTTTTTTTAGGAGATTTTATAGCATTAACAGCAGCTCTCAATCAAAATGCCTTACCATTTTTGACAGCAAAAGCAGGGTTATAGCCTTTTATCCAAAGAATATTATTTATATTTGTTTGACATTACTCAAAAACAAGTGTGCATCAATGATATGCAAATGATTGAAAGAATTTTTACTTCTTGAGTTGGAGAAAACCACCAACAAAAAACATTTGCATATCGATCTGGGCGGCTACTGGTCACACATTCATAAAGTGTCCATTATAATCACGTTTCTTTCCAATAACTTACACATGCTTTCATGTCGATACAGCATCAACCTCCCAGAGACTGTTCAGAGATGTGTTCTTTATATGTCGATTGGGGATGGATCAGGTGGGAGTGGAGCCAGGTTATTAATTCCCAATATTTTAGGCCCTGATTGGAAAGCCATGCTGTGGAATACTTTTATGCAGAAAGCATAAAGACCGAGCATTAACACTGCATTGAAATCACGGTCTTCTCACAAGATACAGGCGGTTCTGGTTACACGTTATAAAACATGTATCCTAAAGACTTGCAGGACATTTTTAGTTGAGTTTTGATTTGAATTGCTCCAAGAAAAATCTGCCACCTCCTTGTTCCTGGCATCTGATCAGACTGGAGCATTATGACCATCACATCCTCCTCATGGCAGCCGAGGATAAGTCTGTATAACTTCCATCTGACCAAAATAGTAGTTGCATCTGCCATCTTCTCAGAAAATTGTGCAATCTTCTTCGGTCAAAGATACTCCATCACAGTAGGTGCATCCGATTTTTTTCTGTGTTTTGTCCTTGTACCCTTCTGTGATTCGCTCTCCCTGGTGTCCCAGTGGGGCCGGTGAACAGGAGAGGTTCTGCATTTAGATGATGTGTGTAATCACAGTGCAGCAGCAGGGAGCGTAGACCATATAGAGAAGGGTAAATACTGCAGTATAGATCTCTGTAGAGTTCGGACAAAAGAATGGACAGCAGGTACATGCAGCACTGCTTTGATTCATTTACTTGTGACTTAAATGGTAAATAATTTAGTAAAGCACGGATGAAGCCTACCTTAAGGTTTAGGAGTGTTTTGTTTGAGATTTGTTTGGATACACAGCATGAATCTATGCGACCATATATTTCACACTATAAGCAGTGACAATCAAAGATATCATTCAAATAAAGTGACTCTCAATGAAAACGGAATCTTTTTTTTTTGCCTTTGTCCTTTTGATGAAATCCTTGAATCCGTTAAACTGATGTTTCAGCGTTAAAAAGGCCTTGTATTTAAGTTTTCACATCCTGCATCCGTTGCAAGAATGGCAATGGTTTTATTTGGACAAAAAAAAGGCAGGACAAAGGCAGGACAATGCTTTCACTGTCTCTGCTGTTGTGAGATGGGAGGCAACAAGGTGAGCTAGCGCAGTGTGTCCATAGTGCATGATTCATGAAGTTGGGGTCGATCGTGCCCTGTCAGGTCAACTCTTGAGAGACAGAGCAGTGCAGAGACCAGACATGTGTGCTGCTTGTGACCTTCATACAAAACAAAAACACACACATATACACACACACACACACACACACATACACACACACACACATACACATCTCCACTCATTTGCCATGTATTTCACCACAGTTCAAGAGGAAGAATTGCTGCGCTGGCCTCTTCACGAGCAGATAGAAGCTAATAGTATAGAGTAACTGCCCACTGGGAACTGCGCGGGCGGATCGCATTGCAGGGTCACCGCAATACAGTAGCATGCAACATTCTCTTTGCCAACGTCACAAAAGGCAAGAGAGAGATCACTTATGCATGAGCGAAAAGTGTATGAGGCTTTTCAAACATCTTTCAAACAGTGAATGAAGCACTGTTTACAATTCTCAGCCACCTGTTCCATCATTTCCGGGTAGTTTTTTTCAGTTAAACTAAACAGTTGTTGTGCATTAAGCCTGTGAGTGTGTGTGTGTGTGTGTGTTTTGATTCGGAAAGAGCAAAGGAAGGCACAGCTGTGACCCCAAATGGCCATGCAGAGTCCATGTTTTTAAATGAGGTTTCTGTGGCTGTCTTGATTGCATGCCAGTAATTATTTTTCTTGAGGACAAATTCAAGTAATAATTAGAAAAAAACAGCTGAAAAATCAGGTGCAGTATATTCAAAATGCTGAGTCCTGACCAGGAACCAGGAAGTACAATCACATTAGTCCAGGACTCTATTCTCTGAGCCACAGGAAGCCAGAGCAGAAACCTGACTTTAAATCAACTCTGCTTGTGTACAAGTCTCTATGGCCACGCATCAAAGTACATTTGAGACATTTTAGTGCCATATGAATCAACACTGACTCTGAGGAGCACAGGGACTGGCCTCCAGCTGGTGCACAGAGTCAGGACTAAAACACAGGGAGGCAGTGTTTCAGATTCATGCAGATAAACCAAGAACTGTCTTCCTGAAAATGTGAGGCAAGCTACTACTCTGACAATGTTCAAATCCATGTTTAAAAAAAAACGGTTCTGTTTAAATGTGCATAAAATTGAAGGATTGAATCTTCACTCTTTTAAATACCATTACTATTTATGATTTTATGCAAAGCACTTTGTGTTGCCCTGTGTATGAAATGTGCAATAGAAATGTGCCTTGCCTAGAGCACAGCCCTTCACCATGAGGCACCAAAACCTTTTTTGACCTATCTTGATAATTAACAAACAGAGAAACAAACCCAGCTGATTACATTATATCACCCCCATGGAGGTAATTAAAGCATACGAAACTCCCCTTTATTGTTTGGTAGTAGTAGTAGTAGTAGTGTTTATTTCGAATTACATGCGCAATACAACACAAAACAAAAAGAAGAAACATATATATGCATAATTCGAAAAGGAGTAGGTAGAAGTGAAACTTATGCTTCCTACCCCTTGTTACAAACTTTTCACTTTACAGGAGTTCAAATGATATACAGGCATATTTCTCTCAGATATACAATTTACACTCGTCTCCATGAATAGTAATTTTAAATGCTGATTTCGCACCAATGATGTTCTTAGGTCTTGTCACTTGTTGCCATTTTTACCCAAAGCTGTTTATTTAATGTTAACATGGTTATGTATGTAGACCCTACATAGTGCAGTGCATTAAAAACAGTGGGTAGAATGAGCCAGTCGAGAGAAGGTAATAGCCCCCACTCAACCCGCCCCACTCCCAACCTCCCTGACCAATGGAAATGTAGGAAAATTTCCGTTGTATATTCTTGCTGTGTGGTGCGTTAAAAACGAGGTGTTGAGGCCGCTTGGCAAAAGGGAGCCCGCCAATCCAACCATATCTCGTCTGCTCTGATTTACTTGCATCTGTTTAAACAGTAATGGCAATCACAACATGACAACTTGTTTTCCTGCACTATAGATCTTGGTCATGTGCTATTCATGGTTAAGAGTTGTCCATTGCATCTAAAAGATTTAACTGCTCCAAATGATTTTTACACATCCCTTTTACAGTTTAAACAAATTACATTATTTACACATATATTACATAATACATACCTTAATACTTTACCTTACACTTTATGTATCACACCTTACTTTCCATTTCTTCAAAAACAAACCATCAATTTAAATCCAGATTTTATTCTCATGTAACACTCTCATATGTCCTGAATATAGTAGTTTTGATTTGTTTCTTAAAAACTATTATGTTTTTTGACTCTTTAATGTCTTTGTTAAGTGCGTTCCACAAGTTGATTCCTTTCACTGAGACTGTTCTTTCCATGACTTTTGTTCTGAATCTAGGTTTTTTAAAGATATCAGTTCCTTTCAGATTGTACTGACTTTGTCTTTTTTCAAAGTTCTCTTGAATGTTTGCGGGTAATGATTTGCAATTTGCTTTATACAATATCTGAAAAATATTATAATCCACTATATCATAAAATTTTAACACCTTACACTCTAAAAAAACAGGATTTGATGAGTCTCGATATCTTTTGTTATTCACTATTTTTAGGGCTCTTTTTTGTAAAATAAATATTGGCTGTGTATATGTTTTAAAAGTTGTCCCCCAAATTTCGACACAATAGGTTAGATATGGTATAATCATTGTATTATATAAGGTAATTAATGCTGTGTGGGTAAGAAAGTATTTCACTTTATGTAACACACCAATTGATTTGGCTAATTTTCCTTTTGTATAGTGTATGTGAGATTTCCAGTTTAGGTCCTCGTCAATGATGACTCCCAAAAATGTTGTTTCCTTTACCCTTTGGATTTCCAGGCCGTCTATTGTTATGGATATACTATTTCCAAGATTTTTCTTTTTATCATTGAATATCATGTAATTGGTTTTTTTAATGTTTAGCGCCAATTTATTTTGATCTAGCCAGCTTTTTATTTTTGCAAGTTCTTTGTTTATTACTATTTCTAACTCTCCTATATTATTTCCAGAGTAAAATAATGTAGTGTCATCAGCGAATAAGATGCTTTGTAATACAGTTGATGCTTTTGGAAAATCATTCATGTATAATATAAACAAAATTGGTCCTAGTATTGAGCCTTGCGGCACCCCCCAACTGATATCGCATGGTTCTGAATACGTACTGTTTATTTGGACAAACTGTTTGCGATTTTCAAGATAACTGGAGATCCATTTTTGAGCAATGCCTCTGATTCCATACTTCTGGAGTTTCCATAATAATCTGGGGTGGTTAATTACATCAAAAGCCTTTTGCAGGTCTAAAAAGATACTTACTATATAATTTTTTTGATCTATTTCTCTTGCTATTTTCTCCGTCAGTTCCATTATTGCCATTGCAGTTGAGTGTTTTTTTCTAAAGCCATATTGATTTTTAATTAATATATTTTCTTTTTGTAAAAAGCTATCCAGCCTTATTGCAAATACTTTTTCCAAGATTTTTGAAAACTGTGGCAGCAAGGACACTGGTCTATAATTTGAAAAGTGGTGCTTGTCCCCGTTTTTGTAAAGAGGTATTATTTTGGCTGTTTTCATACCATCAGGAAAGGTTCCTGTTTTTAGTGACAAGTTGCAAATGTGTGTAAAAGGCTCAATTACAGA